GCAACATCTCCCCTTCGGCTGTGTTGGGACCCACGCTCTTGGGCTTATTAAGGCAACGCAGTTTTAGAGTCACTTTCAAAACCAACGGTTTTGGAGTCACTTCTGGCGAGTCACTTTTGGCGAGATCCCCGCAAAGACAGCTCTAAAGACATCGGCAAGCTCTCTTCCCTTGGCGATAGGTTCAACTGGGAAGATTGGGGGCCGAAACCGGAACCGGAAGCGCGGCGGTACCCACTTCCCCTGACCCACCCGGGAAGGGCTCCACGAGAAGCCTGGGATTAGAAGCCAAGCTTCCAAATCCGGGTTGGCATGGATTTGGGTCCTTCCCCACCCAGAGCCACATAGGAGCTCGGAGAGGGTACTGGAAATGCGCCCTCTCATAGGCACATCAAGGGAAGTTTTGGGGCCTTAGAGCCTGACACCCTGATTTCAACGGGTTCAGTGAGAACCCGGCAGTTAGACCACCGGTTGATGGATTCGATGGCAGGGTGTCCCGTTTTAAGAGGGATCCGGATCTCTCTTTGAGGTGACACACTCCCGATGAATGATTCCAAGAGGTTCTTCTTGAATCCAGGTCAGCCCTCATTTCACAAATCACCAAGACCCACCCACATTTAACCAAGACCCTCATTTCACTCATTCTTATCCTCATGTCACTACTACCCTCATTTCACTCAGACCCTTTCAAGCCGTTGACCTTTCAGCGTGTTCGGATCAGGATCATTGCCATCGCTGGCGCGACACCCGCCCAGTCTTCATGTCCAAAAATGCTGGCCCAGCCCTGAGAGGTTGTCGCATGCTGCTGTTGGGGGGGGGGGTTGGTCTCGAAATGTGGAGATATGGCTGTGGGTCAAAAATAGGTGCCCAAAATGGACCCCTGGTAAGTGGAATTATGGACTAAGACCTGTAAGACCTGCGGTTCCCTGGTGGTTTCATGTTGATCCATACCCATATGGGCATGAATTTTAATTGGGGACCCTCTGGTGGACATCATTTAGGTGGGGTTGCCACGTTCTAGGGGGTTCCTTATTTATTTTCATTGCCATATCCTGAACCAGTTGCAAAACGCCCACATTGGAGGTGTGACTATGTACATGGACTGCTGGAAAGCACGTGAAGGGTGCGGTGAGATAGAGATGAGCGATACGACAGCTAGGTCCCCCAGTAGTGCCCTTTCTCACCCCTTTTTTGGTTGGGAGGGTTCCCCCACTGGTAGACTACAGAAAAAAGTTGGTACCCTTATTCTAACCTCTCTACTGGAGAACCTAGACAGAGAGACCCAACGTCAGCACTCAGTCTCTTCGCTGACGTTCACGAGTCTCACCGGTTGTAAGCTCTACGTCTTTGGTGCATGTTGCTTGGATGTTAGGACTTTAACTTTTGCCAACTAATGGGTTTTCCATTGAAACACTAAATTTAAACATTTAGCAGGGGAGCAGAAAGCAACCGAGTACTCGTATCACTCAACAGCATGTCTTTATTAAGTCTCACCCATTGATTTCCCTGGGGAGGTGATGGCCAACCGTTCCCTCTCTCCGTTCATCATTCCCTTCACCAATATATTACGTTTGGATGCGCAGAACCCTGAAAAAGCAGGAAACGCTTCGATACCAGAGGATCAAGCAAATTGCAGGTGGAGAATGTAGTGCGTTTCTGGTGTGCCACTATCTGAGCTAATTGCAACTGAACGGGCAAAGCGAGCAGTTCCATGATAAGTTAGTATACGTCACTTATGGGAGATACGTCACAACATAATACATCATTAACTTAGTCGCTCGCTCCTGTCAGACTAGAGCAAATATGTTTGTTTCTCACTCATGTGTGCTGATATATATATATATATATGTATTAATATATATATATATGTATGTATATTAATATATATATATATATATTATATATATATACGTAGTTGGGTGTCTCACAATGGTCGACCCCCTTTGGTTGGTTTTTCAGCAGCCAAGAGGAGGCCAACTCGGGGGCGAGCTGTGAGCTGTGAGTTCCGAGGACGGAAGGTGCACATTGACCACATGAACTGGCGCGTGCCTCTGTTCACAGGCCAACAGACCCCGGCGCACCAGTTTTTTGCTTTCTGTTTATGCATGGCGGTTGGGAAACATTTCACACGTTTCTGCTTATTGTGGTTTAGTGGTTGAGATCCAACCACTGAGCTGCTAAAACGGTGTATTTGTTTTGCTCCCCAAACCCAACGTCAACCAAGTAGGTGTGATGAGCTGGGCAGTTCTTCGGAGGGAGAAATCGAAGCTTCGGAGGGTGCCAAGCAGGCGTTGCAGAACACAGCCAGGAAGTCTCAGCAGCATCCTTGCTTCCTTGCTTCTTATGGCAGGGCTCCTTAAGAGATACATGTTGCCCATTTGAAGCATGGCCTGTTCCACCAAAATAAAGGGCAACCACCATTTACAAGGCAATGTTCAGGTGTATAATGCAAGGATCCCTGCTATGACATGGTTGCAAGAGCTGCAGTTTTCCGTGTTGCCTACCCCGTTTCAGTGAGCGCCCAGTGTTTGCCGATGCGGTCACTTCAAATCCAAAGTGCCCAACACCCACGAAGCAAGCTTGAAGTAACTAATCCCGTTGCTGGCGCTAGACACAACCAACAGCAAACCTTGAGTTGCTTCAAATGCCAAGTGAGTCATGTACCATGACCAATTGAGCGGGAACCCAACAGCTTGACTGCTATTGGGTTGGATCTTTAGACTTTAACTTTTTGGGAAATCAAGGCGTTTTCCACTAAACCCCCCAAAAAGTTAAACTTTTGCAGGGGGGTCAACAGCAACCAAGAAAGTGCGTGTTTCTCTTCTTAGCGGCAATCCGATCAGGAAGCGATCAACACAACTGATGGGCTCTCAACTTGTTCGATGCGGGCGAGTCAGATCCGTCGGATCCCTGGGCCAAGCACTCCAACCTCCAAGATCCAAGCATCGAGCTTTCCGAGCTTTCGACGCCCACCCCCCCCCCCCCCCCCGTTTTCTTTTTTTTTTTTTCCGGACAAGGGAAGATCTTCTCCAACGTCCCAACGGGAACGCCAGGCCCAACGGGAACGCCAAGCCCATGCTGAGAAAATCCCTCACGAAAATGTTTCTTCCGGCCCAGGTGCCATCTCCACGAGTGGCTGGTCCGCAGGGCGCCCCCAGTTTTTAGATGCGCGATGCGGGCGGGCGGAAGACCCGAAGTTGGAAAATTGCGCTGAGAAGGCCCGGGCTGTTTGAAGTGCACACCGGACGGAAACGGTGCCCCAAAGGCGCCCGTGTTTTTTTTGCCTTGTGACAGAAGGATCTTCGAGCCTTGTTTGAACACCGGCAGATTATGATGGAACCCCACACGCTAGCTTTTGGGGAACCCCATCACGCCGCCTACCCACGAAGCAGTAGCAATGGCGGGAACTCTGCAGTTGAAAGTCTTCATCGACTTGGATAGGGTATGATTGCCTCGTCACCAATGTTGCAGCTCTGAACAAAGAGTGCAACCAACGTCGAAACGGCGTCGCACAGGCACATCGCACCTGTATGTGTTGTTTCTTGGTTTGGAAGTCTCACCGTTCCACGACGGATTGTTTACCTGGTGTTTTCAAAACGTTTCGGTTTGCCCTTATTTCCACGGACCGATCCCGCTTCCCCCGAAGAATCTCTTCGCTGCCTGCGAAGCCCAGGCCCCGCGTGCGCGGAGAAGGACTGCTCCCTGATCGAGATGCTGACCAGCCAGGAGCAGGCGATCGATCCGAAGCCGTGCCGCTGAGCCGATGGTTGAAAGCTCGAAGATCTCAAAAGCCCTGTACAGGCTTGTTGGGAAACATTGGACACATGTTTTTGCTTCTTGTGGTTGAGTGGTGGAAATCACCACCTAGGTGCTAAAATTTGATTTTTTGCTCCCCTTCCAACGCCAACCAAGTGTAGTGGTATGTATTATATGGCTGTGGCTCAAGAAAGTGGTACCAAACTGGCACCGAGCAGTAAATGGAACCAAAGAAACTACTACCTGCGTAACCGTTGCACTTTAATTTTGAGACACCCACACCATAAAGTTGGGACTAGGTGGGGCCTGGTTGAAACCAGGCGTAAACAACCCTCAAAAAAAGGTTTAATTTAAGCGTCTTCAACAGCGTTGAACGCGGTGACTATGCAAGTATCCCCGTTCAAGCAGACATGCTCCTGGAAGAACCTACAAAAAGTGGGGAGGGGCAGCGAAACCAGGTTTTGCACCTGCTACTCGTTCAAAGGCAGGTGTTCGGTTGAAGAACCTGGCGTTGCTTCTTGAAGCCCGTACAAAAACCGTAAAAAACCCAAACAAAAGCCGTACAAAACCCGTATGTTCCGGGTTTGATTTTGAAAACCTGGTTTCTCCTCTGAAAACCCGGTTATGTCTCGGAACCCTCTTTTTTTGCAGGCTGTTGGAGTAGCAGGTTAAGCCTTTGTTTAAACGAAACCGTGGTTGAAGCCACCAAAGTGGTTACGGGTTGAGGCGTCTCAACAGCGCAGGCGCCGGCCTTCTACCTGGTTCACTACTGGGGCGACTTGGCCCGGGAGCCGAGAAGCCGAGGCCGCAGCCGTTTGGTGGGTGTTTTTGCCGCCGAGGCGGCTGAGGGAACTCGGAAGACGAACAAGTCTTTGGCGTTCGGCTTGAAATACGTGACCAGACCAGGAAGAAAGAGCAGTTGGTTTAGAGAGAGCCTTGTTTTGGCTTTAGTGGATTCCCGCAAGGGAACCTAGCAGCCCTTCCTAGCTTGCCAAATAATTTTAACAATGATGGGTACTGAGTTGCTTTTCCAGACCACCTATTTGACACCTGGCTATGTCGAAGATGGATTTGCACAACTTCGATTGAGTTTCACCGATCGAACAGGGCTAAAACGAGGGATCCGATTTGTTCCGGTCAGAAAGGCCTCTTATCGCAGTCGACCAGGACGACCGTGACTTCTGACGTTCACTTCGGATTTTATGAAAGGGGGAAAATACAAGTCAGAGAAAGCCACTTCTAGCCCTGATCATTTGTCCGGTCCTCCATATGTGGCTTCCGTGAATGCTTGCGAATTGGTGTGGATCAAACCGAGGCTTTAAATCCCTGAAGCCATTTGTGAGACCCTTAGGCCATACTTGGCTTCGATTTGGTTGATCTTGAACCCTTCAAAGCTTGTTGTGTGTGTGTGTGTTTTCCACTCAACCAACCAAGACGTCCAGCTTTCCGGAAACTGTCCCACTCCCCCACCCATGTCAAGCAACCTGGGACCCCATATGGCTTTTTTATAGGTCATACGCCTTTGACCGAGCAGAATGGCCATACGGATTGTTTCAGCTTTCTTTCAACAACATGTCGGAAAAGATATGGGTTTCATACGGGTGATTTGCGACCGGAAGAAAAAAGCAAAAACAAAAAACATGGCGTTTACGGGCAAATACAGCCAAATACGGGAGTTAGACCGGGGGATAAAAAAAAGCCCATACGGGGTGCCAGGAACACAATGCGCCGGGGGTCTTCCAGCGAAGCCGACTCAAAAAAAAAATCGCGCCGGCCGCGAGGTGCTGAACCTGGTGGACGCCATCAAGGTGCACATGCAGAGCCGAAATTTGGAAGAGACCACGGCCTATTGGCTGGCCTGCCTCGCCAATCGGCCCCACTCCTTGCAGGAGAGGTGGGAGAGATGGGAGAGATCGCGCGGGTCAATAGGGTAGCCCCAAGCTGGAACCCTGGCAAATGGAAACATAGACTACAACCTGGGGTCCGATTCCTGGTGGTTGAACTTTGACCCATGCCCTGAGATCCGGTAAAGTGGGGAAGACCGGGAAGCTTGGTTGGGTTGCGCGGTGGGGGTGCTGTGGGGCTTCAGCCGTTTAGATTAGAATGTGCGAGTTTCTGAAAGCCGACAAGGGGTATAGAACCGGGGTCCACAGATATTCATTCAATTTGTGTTTGTGTCTCGGTACCCAGTTGGATTGTAGCGGCAATTTGGGGGAAACATGACATGAGGTTGGAGTTTGTCTCATTGCCACGCACACATGTACACTCATTCAGCCGAACATGGAAGCTCCCAAAAGGCCTCTGTAAGTGGAAACAATTCTCCCACACGGGTCCTCGGAAGCTCCATGTTAGTCTGGGGGAGGGTAGATTGTTTTGTTTACAGGACAAGAAGAAACCAACCTGCTTCGCTCCAGGCAGATCTCAACTGCGTCAAAGGCTTGACACATGCGCGCGCCAAACGCGCGCGCGCGCGCCATGGGCAGGATGCGTTTTGCGCCGATCTGAAGATGACATGCTTCCACAAGGCGGGAGGGGTGGGGCTGACCATAGCTTCATCAACACACGACGGCTTACTTAGGACATGTTTGTGTACTCCTTCCAGGGACATCAAGAGCCTGGGCCCCCCTCAAACTGTCAAAGAGAGAGGTGGTTTTCATGCTTCCACCAATGCCTGGCTTAGCGCACCGCACATTGCATGGAATTGTCTAGAGCAGTGTGGAATGAAGGTGCCTGGGCAATTGATAGTCTGACCTCACCTCACTGACCTCACCTCACTATTATAGGGGGGTGGCTTGTGACTGATTTGGGCCGCATGATTCTGCGTGCTGAATTGCTTTACCCCGAGCGGGGGGGAGGGGGAATCATTTTTTGGGATACTATACCATGAGCTACTAAAAACAAAGCAAGGCAGATGTCCCGCAAAAACACGGTTTTGACGGTTTTGTACAGCAAAACCTGGTTTGCAAGATTGTCGTTTTGCGGACGTGTGTCTGTGTTTGCACGGAAACATACTCGTGTTTCTTGTTTTTTTTTTTTTTGTTTCTTTCGTGTTGTTTTACGGGCAGGTCCGAATTCAAAAAAATGCTCAACCACGCCAGCTTGGTTGGTTCTGACTCGCTTTTTTCCAGGTGTTGGTTGCCTAAGACATACCCAGAGATGTGTGTGTGTGTGTTTCCTGGTATGTTCTAGACAGAGATATGTGTTGGGGATTCTTGTGTGTGGAAGAGAGGGTATGAACAATTGCTGGTGCACGATGAGTTTAGCAGCAAATGCTGCCGCTGGACCAGTGGTTGTGAAGGATTGCCCATCCCGGATTCTAGTTTCACTCAAACAAACACCCCTTGACCCAAGCAATATGTTTTTTGAAGCGCTCGGATTGCCAGTCCACGGGAATGCTGCAACAACAGTTCAGACATGGCAAGCACGCCTCACAGGTTTTATCAATTTTCTCTTGGGCATCCCGGCATCTCTTGTTTTGTGGGTTCAGGCTGGCAGGGAAGAGAGAGGGAGAACCAGAGAGCCACAAGTTAGGGGCCTATGGCTTTGCCATAGGCCGGATCCCAGGCAAATGCCTCCTTCTCAGGGTTTTGTATAATATCCTGGGAATACACCCACTGGGTATTGACCCCATTTAGGCACATTTCTGGACAAAACCGTGTTCTTTTGAACCATTCCGGGTCATTTCCAACCCAAGGGTGTAATCTCAGGGGGGAAAAAAGAGCCTGAAACTCCTGACTCGCTTGCCCAGCGGCCAGGCCCCCCTATTTTTGTGGTTTCTTGCGGGGGGGGGAACAAAAAAAAAACGAGCGGGTGCCCAAACTGAGGCTGGAAACTGGGCGATGGAAATAGAGTCTGACTCAATAGAGCAGAGGCTGCTTTTTTCGTCGGATGAGTTCGATGTTGGGTTAAGCGATCTCAACTACAAGAGATGGTTCCAGAGGGAGGAGTAGGGACACATGTTAACCCAGAACCCCCTAGAAGTTGGTTCTCAACGAGCTCCAGAAAACGTTTCTTTTTGGGGGAGACGAAATATATTCATGGCTCATCCTCTTTTCTAGTCTGTGCCCTTCTAGGATTCAGATAGAAACAAGAGGGGAACCAACAAGGACACCGAAGCCCATTTTGGGGGGTGCCCCCCATTTGGGTATGTCTTTTTTTTTAGGGGACACCCAAAAAAAGGTGGTTGTTACCCATTGTTTCCCTTAAAAAGAAAGCCAACCAAAAGGGGGTAGCAACTCCAAAAAGAGCCTTGAACCTCTTGCACTGTGCAAACCCACCCATTTAATACGCACCTTGTAAACCCCGGAATGAACCCAGAAGCCGCCCATTTGGCACAAAAAAATCCACCCGGAGCCCAAAGCGGTCGCGGCAGGCGCTGACGGCCGCCAAGCTGCGGGCTGTGATCGCGGTGGCCAGGCCCTCACTCGGTGTCTCCGATTTGGATGGTGCGAGAGGGAAGGAGACACTGGAAGGACCCTGGTGAGAGAACTGAAAATCGGGGTTCGATAGAAAAATGACAACAGGGAAATCGTTTTTTTTTTTTCTAGAAAAAGGAATTGACCTCTGGAGATTCTGGAGGTGGTTGACTAGGTGGGAGGGTTCCCCCACTGAAAGGACTACAGGAAAAAGTGGGTACACCCTTATTCTAACCACAAAAACAGCCGTTTCCTATGGAATGACCCCGCGACTGTGAGACCATGCACCCGTTTCACCGTCACGGTCTAGCTTCCCTGAACGGGAATCCCTATAAGCCTCTGTGGTTTCCTTTCTTCGGGAATCCCCACAACCGGTTGGTTCCACGTCCCGTGTCCTGCCGATTTTTTTTCGCACCTTTCGCCGATGTCATGCCGCGATGCTTGTTTCGCTCTGAGGATCCCAAGACGGAGGTCAGTATGCCGGCGACCTGCTTCTCCCGGCTTTGGCGCCTGCCTCAGTCAGGGGAGTCAGGGCTACAACTGGTGTAAAGAAGCAGACCCTGGTCCGTAGAGGGAAGGAAAACCTGTGGTCCTTAAAACAAAAAAGGACATCAATCTGGTAAATGAGTGGTCCGTAGAAAACGAACAGGACCTTTGGAGGTTGTTGAATCAAATGTGTTAACACGTTTTAAGGTGGGTGGCGTTTCCGGGAGCCTCGTTCGAACGAGCTGTTCGACTCGGGCCAAGCCACAAGCATGGGGCGCTGAGCCGAGCCCCAGAAAAGCCACGGGCGGAAATGGATGGTGACTGGAAGCAAATGGTTTCTGTTTGGCCGAACTGGGATCTGGTTGGACTCAAGAGTTGAGTGAGGTTTTCTTCTTGAGGGCTTCGAATCTTGAGGTGTTCAGGGTTTAGGGGGTTCTACGATTTCAAGCCGAAGGCTTGCTTTAGGTTGCTTCTGGGCTTTAGGGTGGTCGAGCTTGAGCTCTGGCATTTTGCCGGCAGCGGCGGGGTTTGTCCGTGGCAGCCGGCGTTGTTCCCCAGCCAACAATCATGTGTGGCCTTTCTCGAATTGAGGGACCCCCCCCAAAACAAAAAGCAAAAGTTCTTCCAAAGTGTCCCTGCCAAACAAGAGAACAGGTTTGATTCTGCCTTATAAACCCAAGCATGTAAACTGCAACCCCTTTTATGTGGTGTAAACCAGTGAGAAATCAAGGGTTCTGACTGGGATCTTCTCTAGGTTCGAATGGCGTTTTTTTTTTCATTGAGCACCAGCAAGTCATCCAGGTGCTTGTATGAGCTGGCCATGTGTCGGGAGCCCGGGATCGTAGGCGTGTGCGCAAAGGGCCTTCGAGATCTTACGCTGTTAGCATCCCTGCTGTTTGCGGGGTCCGGAAGAGGCAGCCATTTGTTTGGCGACTTCGGAACCTGAAGATGCAACCAGACTTGGTCGCCTTCAGATTTTTCCAGGGTCATTGGTTGCTGGGTTCTTGTGGGATGATTTCAGTCTTCGGCCTGGCCAGTTTGTCAGAGGCCAACCTCTGCTAGGTCCCCCGGCTAGGTGCCCTTTCTCACTCAACGTTTTTGGGGTTGGGAGGGTTCCCCTACTAAAATCGACTGCAGAAAAACGTTGATAGCCTTATTCTAACCTCTCCACCGGAGGACTTAGCCTAGTTCTTGTGGTCTGAAACAAGACGCCTCTTTGAGAGGCCAGGATCATGGGCCTTGAAATGAAAAGCCTGGACCACAGACCGCTTCGAAATGCGGTTTGTCGCTAAACTGGCCAAGGGGTTTGTCCTATTGGTTTAAAAGGGTAGCCCGAGAACAAGGAGGAGCCACCCATGTCGTCGCTTGCCATGGTTGCACCTTCTGTTTCTAGGGTTCATTGAAGGCAGAAGTTCATGTCACTTCCCTCTGAAGTTGTGTGAGTCGCAGGTGTGCCCTGCACCACCTAGTTGTTCAGTAATTAGTTGGGTTTCCAACTTGAAATCCCAACTCCCCCCAAAGCCCATTGCTCGGAAAGTGTCTTTCAGCCTCCAGATGCCGCAACCACTGATTCGCAGCTGCCTCACAAATGCTCACTAAAGCTGCGTTTGGCAGACCTTAAGCGCTCCGTGGGATCTTAAAGCAGAGAAGTCTCTGCGTCGCACTCCAAGCCGTTCCAGTGGACGAAGAAGCCGCAGGCCACACCCAGACTTAGGGTTGGATCAAACTCCGCTGGACGGAAAACCTACCAGCTGAGCCACAAGCGGAAGCCCAGCGCTCGTGAGCATATCAAAGGAGGTTCGTATGCTTGGTTTGACAGTTGGGCTTGTTGGGCCACAGTCAGAAAAATATCCGCCATGATTTCCTGTAGTAAGGATTGGGCACATGCACCAGATTGCCATTCGGAAACGAAGAGTTGCTCACCAAATGTCCATGTCGGATGGGGACACCAAATTACCTTTCAGCCCGGAACAATGGATACCCATGGTTTCTGTTTCTAGACACATTGTATAAACGGTCATATAAAAATATACATAAATATAGACACATCATGGGAAACTCACACCCACTAGAGACAGAATGGAAAGGATGTGTCACACATCATTATTGGGTGCGAGTTTTTTTCATCCCACCCCGCCCCCCCCACTCCCCACCTCGTCCCCCGCCCCTCTTTGGGACCCCGGGCATTGGGAAGCTTCGGGTTCCTTTGATCTCGGAGGCACAGAGCCCAACTGCCAGCTGGACTTCATCCAGACCAAGGACGCGCCTCTCAGCCCACCCCACCCCACCCCCCCTCGCCAGCGGCCGCCGGGGCTGGTGGTTTCCTCAGGTGGTCTTCGCAGTTTGAGGCCCAAAAGGGTGGGTCGGTAGGTCTATTTGTGTGTGTAGAGTACTCATTTCTGTGGCTATGTGTGGCTGGACGGCTGGCACATAGGCCTTTTCATTATCCCGAACCTTGTTTGGCAGGCATTCGGAGATGCAAAACGCAGAACCCAGTTCAGTCCTCCCTGGATGCCAAGGTCGTCTCAGCTTGGGGAACGGTTGCCATTCTAGGTGCAGTCGATCTCTCGGCTCGAGCTGTTCGCTTCTCAGTGAGGTGCCTGTCCGAAATCGATGATGAACGCATCTGCCACATGTTCATAGCCAACCCAAAACGGACTCAAAGGAGCTGAACATTTATCTTGAACTTGGCTTCTTCAACCAGGCGCCTGGATGATACCCACAATCAGCACTTGTTTGGATCATCCACTTACCCAGGCCGCCTCATTGCGCCCCCCTCCGTAAATTAAAAAGAACAAATCCACTTACCCAGGCCGCCTCATTGCGCCGCCTCCGTAAAAAAATCCTCAGCTCCAGCCGCAGCTGATGTCTCTGCGGCAAGCGGCCGCCACGCTGGGCTACCGCAACGCGCTGCTCAACGGCCCCAAGCTGCTGCTGGCGGCGGTCCGCTCCAAGTTGGCCGGGGATGGCGCCGCCGACGCCGTGCGCCCGAAAGAAAGTCCCTCCGGTGGGTCGGTGGAGTCTACCCTCCGATAAAAAGGGGTCCCCCGGATTCCAAAGCCGATTTTGATGTGCCCAGGATCAGCCAGTTTAGATTGACTCAACAGGGGTTTTCTGGGACGAGTGTCGAGAATGCTAGGGGGTTAGTTTTGGGGTTCGAAGAAGTCCAGTTCAGTAGCCCAGAGTCTGATGTTTCTCCCATGAGACCAGGGACCAAGCTATCGCCGATAGCGAATCCCGCCCGCCATCCGTCAGGTACTGCGCTATGTGATGGCTGAGCAGAGCACAGGGGAGCCGGGCCGCCTGCCGCAGCCCCCGGAGAACGGCCGCCTTCGGCTCTACGGCCGGACGCTTCGGGCTCTTCGGGCGGTGGACGCCTTTTTGGTGGGAAGAAGTGGGTGGCGCGTCTTTTTTGAGAGTTGGTACATTGGTACCCTCCTTTGTTTTGGTGGATTGAAATGAAAGCAAAAAGAAGAATAGAGCTCCTTAAAAGATACATTTTGCCCAATTGAAACATGTTGTTTCCACAAAAATGAAGGGCACCACCATTTACAAGGCAATGTTTAGGTGTATAATGTAAGGATCCCTGAAGAACCGCCTGTTTGGGGGTCCGATTGCTTTAAGAATTCAGAAAGAGAACCCGAGTCATGTGCTTTGCAAACAAACCAAACACTGTGTTGTGTGTGTGTTTCTGTTTCGAAAGAAAGTCCGACCCGGCTTAACATTGGTTTTGGAAGGTCATTTAGCGGCAACAAACCATAGTTTTTCAAGAACCCCTATGTTGCGCTAGGCTTAGCTAACTTCGCAATCCGTTTTGCTGCCTAGTGAATGGTGAGCTCACCGATTCGGGGGTATAACGAGCTCACCATGATAAAGGCTATGTTATTGGGGGTCCCTTAATTCAGCTTTTGGAATCCCATAAAAAATGCAATTTGTGGGTTTCTTTGAAAAACGCTATAATTTGATGTTCTTCATCTTTGTATCCCTCACTGTTTCCTTCATGTTTCCCTGTCGCACATTAAAACGTTCGCTCCTTGATCCCGTCCACTTCTCGTTGCCATGGTGCAGGTTGGGAGCTGAGCTACTTCACCGGAAAGATTCGGGGCTACCTCCGATACAAGGCAGGGGACTGGTTTCCGCCAGAAAGAAACCGGATGCGCCGCTTTAGAAGGGACCTTTTTTCAGCGGGTGCGGTGAGAAAAGTTGTGTTACACTGAGAACAGTTGTGGCAACATCCGTCTATACATGTTGTTTTAAAGGAAAGCCACCTCGGACACATCCCAAACATGATTTTGAGAACCCTTTTTCTCAGAAACCATTCCCCCCCCCAAAAAAAAAAAAACACAAAAATCAGGAAGCCGAAGAAAAAAACAAAAAAACAAGAAGCTGAGAACCCCTTTGCAATGGAATTCCCTCCCAGGAGCGGCACAGCAGCCTTCGGTTCGAAGAGTTCGTTGCAGACCCGGGCGTCGTGAAAGACGTGTTGGTGCCTGCCACTGGCAGCACCTCGCGAGAAGAATTGGCAATGGGTTGACTTTGCCCGGTGTCACATATGAGCCACATCCTCAAAACCGATTCAGGTAGATGAAGGTTCAGAGAGAATCGCAACCACAAATGGGGGCGGATGTCCGCCATGGTCATTCTTTGCATGGTTCTGGGCAGACCATCGCAAGAAGGTTTTGATTGCGACTCATTTTTCGTCTTCTCGTGATTCTGGATGTGGGTGGGCAATTGTTTGTGGGGGTATTCTTTGTTTGGGGGGTTTTAGTACCCAACCAAAGGAACCCTTTGCTATGTTTTTTGTTCATAGGGAGCCACCTCGCAAGTGTTCGGATCTATGAAAATTCACGCCCATACTATGAGCCACAATCAAAACCCGGGTAGATGAAGGTTGGCAAGGGCCAATCCCAGCCTTAAATGGCTGCGGCCGCCTTCGTAATTCTTTACATGGTTCTGGCTTGGCCATTTTAATACCGGGTTTTGATTGTGACTCAGGTGGTGTTTCTCAAGGGGATGAGCTTTAAGAGTTGGCACCACCTCACAAGTGGTGGACATAGATTCCCAGGTCAATGATGCCGTGAGGTTCCCAAGTAAAGTTCACATCCGGGAGCGAGCTTATCTGGGTTGGTGTCAAGATAGGGAGCGACCGTCCCAGGCACCTTGGTGCCGCAAGTGCAGCTCCCGGACGGGCGCTTCGTGCAAGACTCCACGGAGATCATGGACAGGGTGGAGGCAAGGGTATCACGGGCTTCTGCCTGCCCTTCTACCGTTTCTTTTTTTGGGAGGGAAAGCCCCTCCTAACATAGACTACAGAAAAAAAGGTGGCACCCTTGTTCTAACCTCTCAAATCTGGAGGACCTCTCTGGAAAAGCGAGCTCACCGATTCGGGTCGGGGCAAAGGAGCTCGGGGGTCCCCAGAGGTCCTCTTGGGGATCCCTGGCCGCTTTCGGAACTATAAAATCGTGCGGCGGCGTTGAAGCAGCGAGCCGAGTTGAAATTGCCGGTGCTCAAGAGAAAGAAGAAAAAAAGGAGTCTTATGGATTTGAACCTTTGAGGTGCCAAGTTGGGGGGGGGCAGAAGAGGTTGTTGAATCATGATGTATCAAAGCACATTGAAGAATGGGGGGTAGTCGTAAAATTGGATACAGTGGACGCGTCTCCTTAGCCTTCCGAGTGTTCGTCTATTCTATGACAAGCTGGTCTGGGAACAAATCGGGTCGCTGGTTGGTTGACGTTTTGTTTATGTTTAAGGTGCACTCCGCAACTAAGAAAGGGATCAATCCGCCAAAGAATGTTCCGCCAAACAATGTTGAACATTGTTACCGGGGATTCCTCTTGCAGTTCTTTGGCGGTGTCCGACACCAAACACGGGATCGCTCCCGACTCTCGCGTCCCAGTCTCAACACGTTTTTTCTTCGGGAAGGCCATCTTAGTGGTACGCGCCGAACCATGGAAGCTAACAGCAAGGCTTCTAATAAGGGGCGCCCTTTATATGGGATTAGCCTTTGGGGTTTGGCCTTTGGTGTATCCCAGATTCGTGGATTCCATTTCAACCCCCTCCAGCTAGGTGCCCTTGTTCAACCTTTTTTTTGGAGAGGGTTCCCCTACTAAAAATAAACTACAGAAAAAAATAGGGTACCAACTTATTCTAACCTCTCCACTAGAGGACAACCCTGGTGAGCACAAGCAGATGGCAGAGCTCCGCAGGAGCTATGGCCTACACCTTCCGTGTTGCCCCCGGAGTCATGCCCCAAGCAGCGCTTGGTGTGTCACATCGTGGAGTTGCGGCTCACTCAGCGCAGCAATATTTTTCCTTGCGCTTCTTTTGTCTGATGAAGGTCCCAAAAGGTGGACCATGTTCGTGGTTACCCTGGTTTTGGCCACCATGTTGTGTCATCCCAAAAATGTGAGCACCTGGATAGGCAAGTTGCTGCTGTTTCCAGACACACACTTTGCACCAAATGCAGTGACAGTTGCTGTTGAAACCGCCAGCAAGTAGCCATTCAGGTGATTGCTTTCCGGCTCCTTCTCCAGGACACCGTTTCAACCGCCTCCTCTTGGTTTCCCTTTTAAGGCAACAGGCAATTGAATGTTTACAACCAGAGGGTCCCCAAAAAAACCGCCCCCTTCGGGTTTCCCACGCCCCCCCCCCCCCCCCGTGCCAGCCCTCAGGATGATTATAATTTGTGATCTTGATGCCCAGACAGAAGCAAACCCTCTCCCCGGCAAATTATACATACTCTTCCCTCTTACCCCCCCCCCAGGCTCAGCGACGAGTGGCTCTTGGTCCCGGCTTTCCACTGGCGCTGGGCCTACTCCGGCGACGGCTCCGCGGCCCACCGCATGCCCAGCTTCATGGGCGGCGTGACGCCCACGCCGAAGCCCGGCCGTCGGTGAGAAAAAAACGCCGAACGTTTATGAACATCCTCCTGAAGTTTTTTGGCCTTTGGTGTGGTTTCGAAACGCCTCGCCCTTGAGCCTGCTTTACATATATGTTGCTCGCTTGGTTTCAAAACGCCTCAGCCTTGAACCTCCTCTACATATGTCGGCCCTTCTTCGGCCCATCAAAAACGTGGTTGGAGCCTTTTTGGGGGCGGAACTTTGGCCCCAGGAATCACTTGCAGTACAACTTGGAGCAGTGGGGCGCCTTCCTGCGTCCCGAAGGGACTGTGGAAGAACAGGCGCTCGACCTGTTTCGGCCGCGTTTGCGCGGAGACTCTCAGGTGATTTGTGCTCCTACGACCTGGGGGTTAGGGGGTAGGGCCCTACGTTTTTGTTTTTTTTGCAAGAAAACGTGTTCTGAATTTTGCAAGGTAGGAGATTTCCCCAGGTTCCAAAAGAAGAACACGTCTTTCGGAAGGTGGGAGGTGTTCCCATTGTCCAGCGCAAACAAATCAACCTTCCTCTGCCAGGTAGGACTACCCCCCCAAAAAAAAAGAAGGAAGAAGAAGAAGAACACAACGATCATGGATACTCCAGGTATCCCCCCCCCAAACAAAAAGAAGAGGAGGACGAACACGCAAACAACTCGTCGATCGTCACTGGTTTTCTTCGGAGGTGCGAAGCGCCCAGTTCCTCTTCGACCACATCTTCCTGGGCGGCCTCGGCGGCATCAAGCGCGGTATGGTGGCCCTGGGCGTCACCGACGACACGGTGGCGGCCTGGGAGGCACTCGGAAAGGGGGGGCAGGGGCACCCGGGAGGGGAGGGGAGGGGTCCTCTTCTGAAAGGATTGCGGGTCCAAAATGTTGGGCCTTGAAGGTTGTCCCTCTTTGTTTCGCTTTCTTTGGGGGAGGTATCTCCTTCTTCTTCTTCTTCTTCTTCTTCTTCTTCTTCTTCTTATTCTTCTTCTTCCTTTTGTTCAAAGCGGGATGGTTTCCTTCGTTTTTTTTTGTTGGGGGGGGGCAGGGCGCAAGGGGAAACAATAGGATGGACTAATTACATGTGAAGCAGAATCTGAACATATGGCTTCTGCGCACCCCGAATGGTGGGGGGGGGGGGGGCGGGGAGGTTGCCAGCTTCAAACATTCACAATCTAAAAGAAAACTTGTAAGGAGAGGTTTCAAGGACATTGGTCGTGGTTTAGGGCCAGGTTCTTGATGGTGATGGTATGGTTTAATGATACCATCGCCCTAACGAAGTCCTGGGAATCAACCAGTAAACGGTATCAAAGAAAGGCACCGGCCCCAAACGACCTCGCACGACCGAATTAACCCCAAATGGTGGCCAAATAGTGGGGAATAGCTCCGAATTACCGCAAGGAATCGGAGCGCAGGTTTTAGTCTTTGGTTGCATTTATCAGGGCAACCCATTTTGGGGGTCCCGCTTTTTGACCGGCAGCGATCTCTCCCATCCCATCTCTCCCACCTCTGCAGGGATTACGCTGGTTTTGGTCCATGATTTTCCACTTCCCAGGGCAACCCAAATTTTGGGATTCCGGTTTTGTGAGCCGCCTAATATGAAAAATGTCTCACCAACTCACCCAGACGTCCATTGGGTGAGGCCTCCTGTCGGAACCTCCTGGGGCTCTTTGAGGAGCACTTCCGGCATCACCCTTTTGTCTTGGGCTCCAGGCGGCGGTGGGGCTTCAAGCAACCCATCCGGTGGGGTGGGTGGGGTGGGGTGGGTGGGGTGGGTGGGGTGGGGTGGGGTGGGTGGGGTGGGTGGGGTGGGTGGGGTGGGTGGGGTGGGTGGGGTGGGTGGGGTCCCCTGAAGGTTTGGCAAAGTAAGTGTTTAACACCTAGCCAGTGTTTTTTTTTGTTAAAAGAACTACAGAGAACTCATTCAAACAAGAGCATGTGTTTCAGAAGTTATATCAAGAAGTCATATATCAGCTTGTGTTTTTTCAGCTGGTCGATCTGCCTTGCAGGCCCAGCACGGCAGACTTCAGTCTGCTGGGCCCCATTTGGGCCCACCTCCTCACGGACCCCGTCCCCGGCGCCATGCTGCGCCGCGAGTTCCCCCGGGTCTCCTCGTGGGCGGAGCGTCTGCACGCAGGGGGCGCCCCCTGCGCCGCGGATCTGCGCGCGGAGGCTTGGCTGATCTTTGGGCTGGATCTTTAGACTTGAAAAGTTTTTGGGGGGTGGTCAAGCTGTTTTCCACTAAACCCCAAAAAAGTTATATATTTCTTTGCAGGTTATAACTTTTTGCAGGGGGGTCAACAGCAACCAAGGAGGGGGACTGGCTGCCGGAGGACGCGGTGCCGGAGACGATGCTGCCGATCCTAGAGGCGACGACTTCTGCTCAAAGCGAGTACCCGAAACGGCGCCGAGCGGTAAATGGAAGACTAATAAAGACTAGAGCCTGGCGAGGTCCCCCAGCTAGGTGCCCTTCTACCGTTTCTTTATTGGGGAGGGAAAGCCCCTACTACCAAGAAAGGGTACCCAAAATCTAACCTCTCAACTGGAGGACCTAGCTGGGTTGCCCTAGCTAGTTTTTTTAGCCATCCCCAGGTTGCAAACTAAGTGCGTGTTCAAATAGGGGACGCCCAAAAGTGGTTTTGCTGGTGTTGCCCTTGAAAATCCGCCAAAAACATTGGGTACCCTCAAAAAATAACAAACTCGAATTTGGGATTTGGCCTGAAAAGTACCAACTTAAACAAAATGGTACACAATTTGATGTTGGACCACCCCCAACAAGCGGTTCTCTTTGATTTCCCCACACCCAAAAAATGGAGCACACCTCAGGTCTTCTTTGATGAGATGTGGCCGGTCCTGGAAAGCAGCTGCGTTCAGGTGACCGGATACTTGCAGGGAAAGCCCCCGGATTTTCGCCTACCCAACAAGTCGTTTGTCCCCGTGACTCGGCGGCTTTGGCAATCCTTTGGCACCGATCTGATTCGCTTTGGAACCGACAGGTATGGAATCTATACACTCATCTTGTGTTTGCAATTTTTGTTGGCACAATCTTTTGGGCACAACCTGTTGAGCACAACCTCTTGGGCACAACCTCTTGGTACAACCTTTAGACACAACCTCTTGGGACAACGTCTTGCTACAACCTCTTCAACCTCCTGCTACAACCTTTCGGTACAACCTCTTCAACCCTTTCGTTCCCTTCCAACCCTTTGGAGGCAAGTGTGTTTTTTTGCGTTTGTTTTTTGTTGTTTTCCGGTTCTCTTCACTTTCAGTAGGGGGCTGCTCCACGCCGAGGGTTCTGAAGTGTTGGTACAAGCTGTTGGTACAAACCTAAACCCTGTCTTTCCCTTACAAACCTTGGGAGCTGACTCGTTCCCCCGGTTCTGTTCGTTTTTAGTAGGCTGTGCCATAAGCGTTGTGAAGTTTGGAGGTCGGAAAATCGCCCAGGTTTTCCAACCCAACCTGGCCATGGGTCAAAATCCAAATCGTACCCCCAGTGAACATCCCAATCCCACTAAAATAGGTTCTAAAATGGATGGTGAATTCACCAATCCCAACCAAAATGGGATCCGATCCAAAACGGTTTTGACAACAGCCACCTCTGTTTCAGTCGTAGGTCAGGTCAGCCCCAGGTGAGCCCAGATCAGCTGCACCACGGACCGCTGACCCATGACTTCCGCCTGCCCTTCGACGCCCAAGGGCGCAAGGAGGGCGAGAGCCTGGGCCGGCGGATGGTCGCGCCCCGGCGGCAAGACACGCCTCCTCCCAAAAATGTTTGTGTGTGTGTGTGTTTTTTTGTTTTGGGTTCCTTTGTTCCCCACCAGGCAAAAAAAAACATAGTTGTGTTGTTGTTGTTGTTTTGCTTTTTTGGGGTCCCTTTGTTTCCCACCAGGCAAAAATACATATATATATATATATATAGTTTTTTTTTGCTGGGGTCCTAATTCCAGCCTAGAAAAGGGCTCACTTGTGGGCTGGTCCGGGACGCGCAAGGGCAAAGATCAGATGAATTAAGGTGGAACTTGTTCAGTAGTTTTCTCCAAACCTTCCCAGCTCCGCTTGCAGCTCAGACACAGTTCTTCCCCAAAAAAGAGTTGAAAAAGGATGGACAGACTCGTTTTCTTTCAGATTCTCCCAGCTCCAAGCAGCCCTGAAGACGCAGTCAGTTGTTACCCCCAAAAAAAAGTTAAACAGTTGGACAGACTCGTTTTCTTTTGGAATCTGAAAAGCTCCTGCAGCTCTGAAGACGCAATCAGTTGTTCCCCCAAAAAAGAGCAAACAACATGTCGGACACACTCGTTTGCCGCCATCTCCCAGCTCCAACTGGCCTCATCATTTTACCATGATCAAAGTCACCCCCTAAGTCTTTAGGCCATTTTCCGGCTTTGATCATCTCTAGGAACAGTCAAAATAATGACAGCTCCAAGCCGCCCAGGTCCCGTACCAGCTCTGGATGCTGCAGCGCCTGGAGGCCGCCGTGGCTTCCGCGCCCGAAACGCCGCTGCGGGAGTTCCCGCGGGCCCAGCTGCTGCGGAAGCTGCCGGCGCTGCTGCGCGGCTGCCGGCTGCGGAAAGAGAGCCGCGGCCTGGCGGAGCGTGTGAGCATGACCAGAGGGGGGAGGGCCCATGTGCATGCTTTCCAGGAATCCTTCTTTTAACTTTTCGCCAACTAAAAGTTGAAAGTTGAAGGGTTTTTCCGTATTAAACCACCAGGTTTCCCCAGCCAACCTCTCTTTGGTGCACTTTGCTAAGGCATGTTGCCAAGGCCTTGGTTTCAGGTTCCCTTTTGCCTTTAAACCAACCTCAAAAGGGTAGCCTTCGGAAAGCAAAATACGGGATCCTTTTCTTTGGTACAGTTTGCTTGGGGATCTTGGGACTTTTTAACTGTTTGCCAACTAACACTAAAAGTTGAAAGTTTAAGGGGTTTTCCGTATTAAACCACCAAAAGTTAAAGTTTTAGCAGGGAGCAGAATGCAACCGAGGCTTCCTGGTGGCGGATCGTCCGGTGAGCAAGCTCTGACGTGAGCCACGTGCTCAAAACCCGGGGATTGATGAAGGCAAGGGACAATCCCCTTGCCAGAAATAGCTGCGGGAATCCGCCTTCTTAATTCTTGAAGCATGGTTCTGGGATTACGACCATTTTGATACCGGGTTTTGATTATGACTCACGTTGTGTCCTTTTGATCGATTAGTTTTTTGAGAAATCGATTCCACTGGTGATGGGTTTTGCCCAGTTGCCAGGCACCCAGTTGTTCGGTTTCCACCCTTCAAGCCCTTTTTGGTGGTTTTTTTCCCATGGAATCGACCGCAAAAGGAAAGGACTCGCCCTCTTTGCTGCCAGGGTCGCTGGACAACAGGGCTGTTTCGCGCGCAGCTGGACTCAAATAGGTGCCACAAGAGCCGGAGATGTGATCCAAAAGCACGGCGTGACTGCACGATGGTCCGCTCCTGCTGTTCGGCAAAGTGTATCCCACTGCAAACGGGGAATGCAATGGATGGTTCCCAAGCAGAAATGAAACTCAGCCAAATTCAGGAAAAAAAGAAGAAGAAAAAAGACAAGGTGTCCAACGTGTTTCTACTGGCGCAAATGAGTCGAATCAAAACCCGGGCAAGTGAAGCTGAGCGGGACAAGAGCGGCCAGGAATCTGCGGTGCGCAAGTCCGACCTTGGCAATTCTGTACTTGGTGGGTAGACCATGCTACCCGCTTTTCAAATATGACTCCGTTGCCTTTTGTTTAGTGACCATGCCAGCTGTTCAAATCTCACTCCAGTGTGTGCTTTTTGAAAGTGTTGGTGACCATGCCAGCTTTTCAACTATGACTCCAGTGTTTCTAAAAAAAAATTTTTAAAAAAAAAAAAAAAAAAAAAAAAAAAAAAAAAATAAAACGAGAAGAAACACGGTTCCTCTAACCACCGATGTTTTTTTTTAGATTTTCAGACGTCTCCACTTGGCAAGCTGGGCGCCAGGAGGTGCGGGCCGGGAAGAAGGCGGTGGCCCGGGATCTCGGAACCCTGTGAAAGACGTGTTTTGTTGTTCCTTTGTTCGTTTTTTTCTCCCCCCCCCCCCCCGTTTTTTTTTTTTTTTCCTCCGGGAGGCTGGTTGGACTCACCCAGAGCAACGGGTGACGTCGGAAGCTGGAGGATCCTAAGGTCCCCCAGCAATTGGTGGACCTCTCACCCAACTTTGTTTGCCCGACCTCTCACCCAACTTTTTTGGGAGGGAAAGCCCCTAGCAAAACAGAGTACGGAAAAAAAGAAGAGGGTGCCAACTTATTCTAACCTCTCTACTGAAGGACCTAGTACAAGGAGAGGAACCGGTAAAACATGTCTTACTCAAGGGCTTGCCACCCCTGATTAGTACTAGTTCGCCTGAATAGTACGGCAAAGCTCGCTAAGATCCGAAGTTGGCATGGGCTGGCCAGTGAGCAACGACTGAACGGTGGCTTCGGGATGCCTGTCACTCCAAAACCTTTCAGGTGATTCGTGACCCGGCAAATGGAGTTTGAGGCACGGGAGAAATCCATGTTTGGGGTTTGGGCGTCAATTTCAGCATGGTGGTTTTCCTTTACCAATTAGGGGGTGACTTTGAACCAGCTCAGTCCTGATCATGACGGGATTGGTGTTAAGTCATCTGGCTGTGGGTCAAAACCAATGGTACCATTTTGCGGTAGGTGCACCACCCAGTTTAGTCGATTTTAGTTGGGATTGGGATGTTCACTGAGGGTACGGGCTTTCGACCCATGGCCATATAGCATCTTATCTTGCCTCGTTAGCCTTTGACCCATTAGACGATGGTAACGGTGGTAGAGGCGGAAGTGGAGCAGCGTTTAGTTGCTTGTGGTGCGAATCCAGCTCCCCGCTTCCCATTGACTTGCATGTTTGGCAACCCCCAAAATCAAAAAGGGGGGGGGTGCCCGTCCCCTCAAAACGGCGAACCCACATCTCCTTCAACCCCCTCCAGAAGAAAAGAAGAAAGCGCTGGCCTGTCTTTTGGACCAAGTCGCCCCACCCTCCGCCACCTTCTCCCCTCAAACCCTCCACTCGCATCTCTCTGAGAGCGCGCGAAGGGAAATGGCTGTAACTCACAACCAATGGTACCATTTTGGGGTAGGTGAATTCACCACCCATTCCAGGCTTCCTATTTTAATGGTTGGATTGAGTCGGATCACTGGGGGCCAACCTTGCCCATGGCCAAATGGCCATGGGTCAAAACCCCGTACCCCCAGTGAACATCCCAATCCCCACCAAAATAGGAAGCCTAAACTGGGTGGTGCATTCACCAATCCCAACCAAAATGGGATCCGATCCAAAACGGTTTTGGCCACCACCGCCAAATGGGTCGTGTCTTCGTTTCGCTGAGGTCTCCCAGTACTTGACCAAAGAGGAGCAGGACGCCGAGCTCCGTGTCCCCCAGTCCGGGTACAAGGCCGGGGCTGGAGGGCTCGGCTCGGGGAGGGCTGGAGGGGTTGGGATGGAGCAGTCCAGCTGGGAACGTCGGAACGGGTCCAACTCGGATGGAACGTCGGATGGGTTCGGAGTGTTTCGCCCCATGTTTGACGCCAAAATGGTTGATTCTTACAAAGCAACGTGTTTTGCCATGTTGATCATCCGATTCTTTAGCCATTCTTTAGCCATGGGGATTGTTCGCCAAAATGCGGGTGCTTTGTTTTGATCCGCGCGGTGGCTTAAACTTAATGGAGGCATCCTCTTTTGGGCCCCCCTGAATGCAGATTTATCTACCCTTTGTCCTTCATGGTCTCCATATGTCAGTTTAAGCCAATTCTCAGGATAGTCATTCCCCATGAGTATACTCAGTTGTTCAGTGGCACCCTTTTTCCTGTTTTTGGAGACTGCCCCACTGAAAATGGTCTTCCACAAAAAGGGTTGCCTTCTTTTGCCAGGGTCACTGAACAACTGAGTATAGATTTCCAGCCACAACATGGGATCCCGGATCTGCCAGCAAGTCCACCAGCGTCTCATCAAGAGCTTCCGGAGATGTAGCTGTGTCAAATGCGAGTGTGGAACCTGTGCCAACCTGTTATTGGGTCAACGTGTTTACTTATTCCAGGTGGTCAACTTGAACCTGTCAGCGGGCGCATACCCACCGTGCATGATCAGCGCTCAGTCACAAATCGTGAATTGGTCAAGATTGCAAATACTCCATATGCGCCATGGTCGAAAGTTCTGATGTCGGTCATGACCGTCCTAGAAGGAACCCCCCAAGTCTACCTCGCCTTCAAAGATCCAGCTGAGTGGATCGCCAGGGGCGATTTCTTCAGGCGTTCCCAGCTCAACTCGTCAACTCCCAACGGCGCCATTGGTCCAGGCACAGAGCGATAGAGAGAAGTCCTTCAGTCTACAAACGATGGAAATCGCTCTGGGCGCCAGGCGCTGAGATCGATCCTTCGCTTCAAAAGTTTCTGCCTGGACATCAAAATAGCTGGCAAATGGATGAATTCATCCGCCCCAAAATGGGATCGCCATAGGTTATGACCCGCCATGATGTGAGGTAATGAACCCATCCAAGTCGTAGGAGCCCCTGCAGGCGGACTGTCGAAAAAAAGCAAGAGACCTCCGTCTTCCACCGCCTGAAACCGTCTTTAGAGTTGGGTGAAGGTAGATGATCCCCACATAACCACATAGGGAATTGTGCCATCTACTTTGATCCTGTTGTTTGTGCTCGGTTGCGTCTATGCACAAAGATAATCCTCAGCAGTTCCAGGGTTTGTTCTTTCCCTCTAAGTGTCAACTTTGAGTGGTATGCGGCTGCGTGTCGCACCTTTTGAGAGGATAGACACCAAGCTGTGGGAAATTACTTCCTTTCCTTTCTCCATGCTAAACGGCCCATGATCGTCAAGGTTCGGTATGAATCGCAAGCCTAGAGGTGGTAGTTTTGTTTGGTTTCTGTCACTCCTATTTGGTGCCCAGCTTTGGCATGCTTGCCCGTTGAAAGCAAACAGACTCCTTGACACACAGACTCTCCCAGGAACTATTTAACTCCACCACGAGAAAGTCCCCCATGTCAAAAGCAATGAACCTCACAGAACTCTTTACAGCACCGAGTTCTTGTCGGGGTACCTCCACCCTCACCCCCCTCACCCCCCTCACCCCCCTCACCCCCCTCACCCCCCTCACCCCCCTCACCCCCCTCACCCCACCCCCCTCACCCCCCTCACCCCCCTCACCCTCCTCACCCCCCTCACCCCCTCCCCAGCTCCGGGCCGGCACGACTCCTCATCTCCAGCATCCGAGGCCTCGGTGGCGCGCGCGCAGATCACGGACCCCAGCGAGCGCCGGCAGATCTTGACGCTCAGAATGCGTCGATGTCGTCGAATTCGTCGAATTCGTCGGCGTCGAATGCGTGGGGAAGGCGTCCGCGTGCTCCGCAAACCCGCGGTTTAGTTTTTTGTCCGGGTGGTTTCCACCATGAAACCCCAAGCTGACGAAGGGTGACCTAGAGGCAAAAAGATCAGGGGATTCCTGGTCTAAGCTCAGTGTGGAGAAAGATGAGCTTAAAAGACCGAAAAAGGGGACCCACAAAAATGGGCGGTTTTTCGTTTGGGGTATAAACGATGGTTCACCGGGGGTCTCCTGGTGGTGTTCCCTAAATCGGTGGCTTAAAACCAACCGCACAAGGGCACCGAGCAAACCGAAAAAGGCACGCCATAGGCTCGGTCCCTATCCCACATCTCCAGTGGGTCAGCAACTCGCAAAAACCGGCGTGCCCCGTCTTTTTCCCCATGGCCACTAGGTGTTTCCCTGACCCCAGCCAAGCAGTTGCTACCATCCGGTGATGCCCCTGAGTCTTGAAGGGCCCCACTTGTGGGGTGTTCAGACAGAAAATCTGGGGGGTCCTCTCTCTTATGTATGTTCATAGATTTGAGCGTTTGGTGATGTTTCTAGTCAGATGACGGTGAGTATTTGTCATGAGGTTCCTTAGCATGAGACTTCGGAGACGCCCTCTCTCAGGGTTTTTGTATTACACCCTGGGAAATTTTACCCAGAATGGTTCCAAATAACACGGTTTTATCCGGAAATGTGTGCCTAAATGGGGTCAATAATTCGTGGGTGTATTCCCAGGGAGGAAAAAGCAAAACCCGTCTCGGAGCCTCAGTTCCTCTCAGAATCATCAGGAATTCCCTGGCGAAGCGGGACAACTCGGAGGAGGCGGGGAGTTTTGTTGTTCGATGTGGGTGCTGGGGCAAACCGCGGGTAGTAGTTTCTTTGGTGCCCTTTACCTTTTGGTGCTATTTTGGTACCACTTTTTTGAGCCGCAGCCATGTGAGCCATGATTTTTTGATGGGAACTGCCAGAAGGTTTAGGTGCGTGCTCAAAACCCGCAGATTTAAGGTTAGTAACGGATACTCCCAACCAGAACTAGCTGCGGGAATCCGCCTTCTTAATTATTGAAGCTTGGTTCTGGGTAGACCATTTTAATACCAGGTTTTGATTGTCACTCAGGTGGTGTTTCTCAAGGGGATGCGTTGAAAGAATTGGCACCAGCTCAAAAGTGGTGGACATAGATTCCCAGCCAAGTGATGTCCGAGAGGTTCCCAAGTAAACTTCACATCCGGGAGCGAGCTTCTGTTAGCCGTGGTTGCTCGGTCGACCAAGAAGACTCCATCTCGTTGCCTTTTCTTACACGCGGCCTTTTTTGACAGCTTTTTTTGGGAAAAAGGCTGGAGCTGTTTTTCCTTCCAACCATAGACCCCTCCCCTTTGGAACATGGTAGATATTTGTTTTGTGTGTGTGTTTTTTGTGGGGGTATAGAATCGCTCTCTTTAAGAGATCTCGAGGGTCTCCTTGTGTTTCTCAGCGGGTCCAACGGCAAGCCATTGGGCGAGGGCAGTCTTGACTCGGCTACTGACGTGGATTGGTCTCCAGCGTTGACCTGCGCTTCCCTTCAATACGGCATGTTTGTAGGGGACACTTTCCCATTCTTTCCAGGGATCCTTCTTTCCAGAGAACCATCGGAACCCCAGGGGGAACAGCTGGTTGTTGAAAACAACCATGGTTGCAAAGAATGGAAAAGGAATGACCCTCTATGTTGTCCGGGAACACGAGCGTTCTGTTGCCCATGGTGTTTTCCATGGTTTGGCCCGATGCGGCCCCATGTGGGACACGGGCAGACCAAGAGGCACCGCACAAGAAACGCCAGAAGCAGAACGTGACAAGAACCCCCGCCCCCACCAAAAGGTGGGTATGGGTCAAAATAGAACCAACAGAAAAGGTTCTCCCAAGACTCCCAAAACCTCCGACCCACGGTGCCTCGGTTGCGATATCGACATGACCGGCAGGTGGTCGAGGGGCCCGGGCGCTCAGCGGCGATCTTTTTGTGTTTCTTGTCGAATGGCAACCCGGCGGTACCCTCCAGATTACCCTACCCCTCTCACGAACACGGCACCTGACAGGGGGCCGGAGGCGTTTGATCTTCCAGGTACCCTCCAGGTGCCTTCCGGATGTGGGAGGGAGGGAAAAGCACCAAACGAGGGTACCCTCAAAAGCAGAAAGACCCATGTGGTGAGTCGCCCCATACTGTTGACCCCATAGTAATCACACCAGTTTATGAGGGGGCCGTTCCCCTCCAAAAGTGAGGATGCCGATACTAAACTGGGGTTGATAAATATGGAGTCAACATTGGTGCAGATTCCGGCACGGAGAGCGTCTTCCTTGCCTATGTGTGGCGCGGTTGCCAGACATACAGGCACATTGTGTATTAATGCATGTATGTGCACACAGCCAGGAAATTAAATCAGGGGCATTGGTTGAGGGAGTAAAATAGGTTCAGACTGAAATCATGGAAGCCCTCACTTAGCTATGAGTTTAGGGAACCTCAAAAGGGTTGGTGGTGGCATGCAAACTTATGTGGGTGTGGCTCAAAATTAAACCACCAGGGGACCAGATTTGAGTCCATGTGTCCATTTTCCAGGGTTGGATTTTGGGGTTACCATATTTTTGACCCACACCCATGTAGCTGATCTCCACCAAACGGTTCCTGGCTTCATTTAATGGACCGCCCCGGCGCTCGGCGCTGCCGCCGGGCGCCAACAAAAACAACCGCCCGCCTCCCTCGCAGCAGGCGCCCAAAACACCTGGGCAGACCCCGCAAACACCCAAAACCATCCCGAAAAGAAGCACCCCTGACCACCAGCACCGAAACAGGCGCTAAAAAAACACACCCTGCCCCGAGGAATCGTTTCTTTGAGGATCTCGAAATCATGAGAACTGTCTGGCGCATGCCGCGATGTTTCTTCAAGTTCAGGCTGAATTTTCCTTAGAGAGGCCTTCCCTAAGAGACTTGTCTAGGAAGAAGTGTTTTTAGTCATCCCAGCCTTTTTTTGGGAGTCTAGGAAGGGATGTTCGGGTTCCAAGTCAATCTGGAGAGTAACCGTCAGCGCCCCGCAGAAACCACCCCAGGAGCTAAAGCAATGAACAGAACCCACTCTTCAAGGGTTTGCGACACCTTGAAAGTTCCTCTAAACTCGTATTTGTGAAGTCTAGTGCAAATGAGTGATACTGTGTGACAGCATGCTGAGCCGTAGTCTTCATCGGTCGGATCCGGCCGCTCGTTTGTCTGGTTTGTTTTTTTCTGCCTGAAATTCACCGAGACATCCGATAACATGAAGAAACCCCAACATGAAACCATCCCCAAGAGCCATCCAGCTCTGCGACCGCAATCGCAAACGCGATCCTTTGGGGGGGGGGGGTCCAAAAACAGGGGACTACTGTTTGGAAGTCAAACCAAAAGGCAACCACAACCTGACCCACGACTCGTCGCTGGCCTCGTCGCGAGGCATGCGGAGTACGACCTCGTGTCCAAACGGCTGCGCGCCCTCTTCGCCCTGACCTTCTGGCGCAGGAATCCCAGCAAGATGGGTGCTCTTTTTGATGGTTCCTGTCTAGGTCCCCCAGCTAGGTGCCCTTTCTCATCCTTTTTTTTGGTGGAGGGTTCTACTAAAATAGGCTCTTGCTGCACCTATCTCTGGCCGACTGGTTCAGTCGTGAGATCTTGCGAATGCGCGGCCCGGAGGTGGGTTTCGGACCCTTGGCCCCGGTTACAACAGGGGTTTAGCGTACATGACAAAACGAAACGCACGTGGTAAAGAAAAGCCCGGAGCCGTACATAAAAAACGTACATTCAAAGCTGACCTTTTGACCTTTTGGTTTTCCCTTGTTGGTCTATGTTTAGTAGAGGTCCCAAAAGGTTAACCTTTTATTTGCAGGTCCTTTGGGCAAGTGAGATTATACTAACACGCACTCCAATGAATTAAGCATTGAGGTTCATTTCCTAGGTTCTCAACCTCAGTTCCTTCAGATTTCCTCTTTGGCTTCCTCTGGTTTGTTTTTCTGAACACTAGAATGTCCTTTTGGGGTTTCCTTTCGGCCATCTTGGGCTTGCCCTTTCGGTTGTAAGCACGGAACAAGGGACAAAACCACAATTTTCACGGGATGCAAGGGCCTACACAGGTTTCATTTGGGGGGGACCCACTAAAAACAGTATGACTTACATGTTTTACTTGCTTCCCGCTTAAAAGGGCGCTCCCGGGCCGGAGCACCGGAGCAGCGCAGCACCGGAGCACAGTGCCGCCCGAGGCCGCGTGATGGGGGGCAACGTCAGCGACAGCGATGTCCATCGGGTGCAGCTGAAGCTGGCGAAAGACTCAGCTTCAGCAGCCCCAATGATGGGCTCAAAACTGGACTGCTATTGGGTTGGATCTTTAGACTTTAACTTTTTGGTTGAAATCAAGTTGTGTTTTCCACTAAACCCACAAAAAGTGATTCACTGTTTGCAGGGGGGTCGTGCCAGCAGCCAAGAAAAACTGGTGTCAGTATAGAACCTGGGTAAATGGAAGACTTAACCTGCGGTTTGCGCTAGCTCTTTAATTTTGAGCCACACCCAAATGATTCAGGATACATTTTGCAACCATTTACAAACATGTTGTGTTTCCACCAAAATAAAGGGAAACCCACCATTTACAGGGCAATGGTCAGGTGTATAATGGAGGGATCCTGTGATTGGAATTCGGGTTATGGGGTGCCGAAAAACACCAATTTAGCCGTGATAGGAGTGAACTGAGAATAGTAGGTCTTTGATTTAGAATGGGCTTGGTACGTCAAAACCAAATTTGGTCATGATTGTCGGAGCAAGCTGTCGGCATTTAGTTGGCCCCCCGTAGATTGTCATCCGTTTAGCCCATCTGCGTGTGACATGACCTCCCTTTGGGTGGACCCTACTATGGTGATGTTCTTGCTTGTCAACAGAGCGCTTCCGATGTTGTCCTGGGAGAACCCTTTGATCTTTCAACCTGTCAGCTTTTCATGTTGACCTTCTATACATGTTTGGCAACCAGCCGTAGTCTTGGAACCGATTCTTGTTGGCTAATTTAGTGAGGAATCCTGACGGGGTTGAGGAGAAATGCTGAAACCAGCCAAGCCTGGGTCCCTTTAAAAGGGAAACAGCCAGGAGGTGTTTAAGCAATTTTGCGGTCGTTTATATGATCATATGAGCAAGAGGGCGTTCGAACCCTGTTATGTGCGGTTTGAAGAGAGACATCACAAAAGCACCATGGGGTCCACATCCCTTGACGGGTTCCCGGGTTTTGAGCCCTTGGTGATATGAAAGGACTACGGACCAACCCAGCCTCAAGAAGCCTTCAGTCCTCCGGCCAGCGGCCCCAAGCGCTTGCGCTTGCGCCGGCCAGCGCTTGTAGGTTGATGTGCTGCACAAAGGCTTCAAGCACCGGTGCCTGGAGTTGGACATGGCCTTCATGCAAGGCGGGGACAGGGAAAATGTCGGTTCGGACATGGAAAATGCGATCAGACCCGGATGTGTCTGGCAACGTCGAGCAAGCCCGGGCTCCAGCGCGCTGAATTCCGGCTCCCTTGCAACGGTCAAGCAAAATTGGGACAGTTTCTGGGGGGTATCAAGAAATCAGAACCTCCAATCGGTTTTTGTTCCCTTTGACCCACCACTGAACGGGGGTCTGGCAGATGGAATTGGACCAGCTACAACAGCGGCCGCTCCGAGCGGCTGCGCGGAGGTTCGAAGGGGTCTGCCATTTGTTGAAGAATTCTTTTTGATTTTCCCCTGGTGTTAAAAGGAATCGATCAGTTTAAATCCTGGTGTTAAAAGGAATCGATCACTACTGGACACATTTGTTTCATGTTTTTTTATCGGGGGCTTAAGCGGATTCGAAGGGATTCGATTCGCATCTCGCGGCAGTTTGCTCGGAGAAGCTGAAGATGCTGCGGGCCTGCATCCCGTCGGCGCTTCAGGAGCTCAAGCTGGACCTCAGGCGTGGTGGACCGAGGGGTGGAGGGGGGTAATTAGGTGGGTTTCATCACAGGGGTGGGAGGGGGGTGGGGTGGTTTTGAGGCAAGTTTGAGGTGGTTTTGGGGTGGAAGGCGGGGATGGGTCTGATTTCTTGGGAAGAAGAGGGAGGCACTGCATGTTGGCTCCACCCACTTGCAAACATCTGCAATCATTCGCGTGTTGGGCTCTAATCTCACTACAAGTATCTGTGTGTGAAGAGTCAGGACTTCATTACGCTGTCCAAAATAAGATGTCTTCAAAGTTGCTCAACATGTGGGAATCGCGTGCCTGTCCCAGACCAATGGACCAACAATGCCACGGAAATCGAGATGCCCTGCATGTGCTCTTGAGGCTCATGGTGTTCAGGACAAAGGGCTTACTGTCTGGGCTCACAGCCCGGCAGTTTTGGAGACCCCCACTTTTCGGAGGAAAAAAGAGAGCACCTAGGACCTGGCCCTTTCCGTCCAAGAACCTTGGCAATGCCTGCCCTGGTTGTACCCATTTTTGTGTACCTTGAACCCAGGCAAGTTACCCTGCCCTTTCTGCCCCTAAGACCCCCAAGAACACAGGTCACAGTTACCCCTACTTTGTCCTCTTTGACCCTTCAAGACAATCACAAGCTACCAGACAGAAAAAAGTTTGGTTATCGCCTCAGAACTCTAAATAAGACTGGAAGCAAGGTTGCACAACATGGAAATCATGAGTTGAATTCAATTCAATTTGGCGCGAGGCTTCGGCAAGACACGCATGTGTGTCGGCCTTTTTGGCCCCCCAAGAACCCGGGCAAATGTTGTACCTCCGCCCAAGATTGTTTTCCTTGCTGAGATATCAAGCTTGATATGGTTCCGAAAGGGTTCGAAAACTTAGAAACCCTCAGGTGTCCCGCATGCCTGTTCAAAATTATCAAGTCATGGCCTTTTTTTTGAGCGCAGTTCATATTCATTTGTTGCGTAGGTTCGGCCCGGCACCGCATAGCTTTTGATTCAACAGTCCACGTGTTTGTGTAACCGAGCGGGTGTTCGATTTCGGCCCCATCGCGTACGCTGCTTTGGATAAACCAATCTAAAACCAGGTTTCACGGCGCATGTCTTACCAGGGTACTTTCCTTGATGCCGAAGGAACTGTGACTCTTGGACATAGCCACATACTGAAACTGGGCTTGGGATGTGCCAAACAGGTTGTGCTGTCTCTCGCAAAGTACATCATGACAAGATGTGCTATTTTGTCTTGGGCCTTTTTCTGAGGTTCCACGTTTGTAGGGTGGAACAGGCCCTGAAGGAAATAGAAATACAGCAGGAAGAACATGTCTTCCAGAACCTATTCCGTGTTTCTAGGGCGGAAAGGGCCGTGAAAGAAACGCAGGAAAGACTCCAGCTTTTCTCCCCCCCCCCTCACCCCCCCCCTCACGCCGAGGATGGCTTCCCTTTAAAGGGCCCCCTACTCGTTCGAGGGCGTTCCCTGGAAAGCCCCGAAAAATCGGCGTCGCATCGTCCGATCCGATCACGATCCGATGAGAGGGAGGTGGAGCTGAGCAACGAGGACCTCATGGCGCTGGCCACAGGGCTGCCGAGAGAACTGGAGGCGCGATGGATTTCGCTTCGACGCGACGAAACGGGCCTCGAGTGGCTGGCAATTGGTCCCCCAGTCGAGTGGTAAACCTCTCACCCATTTCTTTTTTTGGGAGGGAAACCCCCTAAAATAGAGTGCAGAACAAAAAGGTAGCCTTAGTCCAGTGTCTAGGCCCGACCTCTCTTTTTTTGGGAGGGAAACCCCCTAAAATAGAGTGCAGAACAAAAAGGTAGCCTTAGTCCAGTGTCTAGACCTCTCACCCATTTCTTTTTTTGGGAGGGAAACCCCCTAAAATAGAGTGCAGAACAAAAAGGTAGCCTTAGTCCAGTGTCTAGGCCCGACCTCTCAGCCATTTCTTTTTTTGGGAGGGGAACCCCCTAAAATAGAGTGCAGAACAAAAAGGTAGCCTTAGTCCAGTGTCTAGGCCCGACCTCTCACCCATTTCTTTTTTTGGGAGGGAAACCCCCTAAAATAGAGTGCAGAACAAAAAGGTAGCCTTAGTCCAGTGTCTAGACCCATTTCTTTTTTTGAGAGGGAAACCCCGTAAAATAGAGTGCAGAACAAAAAGGTAGCCTTAGTCCAGTGTCTAGGCCCGACCTCTCACCCATTTCTTTTTTTGGGAGGGAAACCCCCTAAAATAGAGTGCAGAACAAAAAGGTAGCCTTAGTCCAGTGTCTAGGCCCGACCTCTCACCCATTTCTTTTTTTGGGAGGGAAACCCCCTAAAATAGAGTGCAGAACAAAAAGGTAGCCTTAGTCCAGTGTCTAGGCCCGACCTCTCACCCATTTCTTTTTTTGGGAGGGGAACCCTCTAAAATAGAGTGCAGAACAAAAAGGTAGCCTTAGTCCAGTGTCTAGGCCCGACCTCTCACCCATTTCTTTTTTTGGGAGGGAAACCCCCTAAAATAGAGTGCAGAACAAAAAGGTAGCCTTAGTCCAGTGTCTAGGCCCGACCTCTCACCCATGTCTTTTTTGGGAGGGAAACCCCCTAAAATAGAGTGCAGAACAAAAAGGTAGCCTTAGTCCAGTGTCTAGGCCCGACCTCTCACCCATTTCTTTTTTTGGGAGGGAAACCCCCTAAAATAGAGTGCAGAACAAAAAGGTAGCCTTAGTCCAGTGTCTAGGCCCGACCTCTCACCCATTTCTTTTTTTGGGAGGGACACCCCCTAAAATAGAGTGCAGAACAAAAAGGTAGCCTTAGTCCAGTGTCTAGGCCCGACCTCTCACCCATGTCTTTTTTTGGGAGGGGAACCCTCTAAAATAGAGTGCAGAACAAAAAGGTAGCCTTAGTCCAGTGTCTAGGCCCGACCTCTCACCCATTTCTTTTTTTGGGAGGGAACCTAAAAATAGAGTGCAGAACAAAAAGGTAGCCTGACCTCTCACCCATGTCTTTTTGGAGTGGAAACCCCCTAAAATAGAGTGCAGAACAAAAAGGTAGCCTTAGTCCAGTGTCTAGGCCTGACCTCTCACCCATGTCTTTTTTTGGGAGGGAAACCCCCTAAAATAGAGTGCAGAACAAAAAGGTAGCCTTAGTCCAGTGTCTAGGCCCGACCTCTCACCCATTTCTTTTTTTGGGAGGGAAACCCCCTAAAATAGAGTGCAGATCAAAAAAAGGCAGCCTTATCCAGTGTCTAGCCCGACTCTCTCACCGACATTTCTTTTCTTGGGAGGAAACCCCTAAAATAGAGTGCAGAACAAAAAGGTGGGCCTTAGTCCAGTGTCTAGGCCCGACCTCTCACCCATTTCGTTCTTTTTGGGAGGAAACCCCTAAAAATAGAGTGCAGAACAAAAGGTAGCCTTAGTCCAGTGTCTAGGCCCGACCTCTCACCCATTTCTTTTTGGGAGGGAAACTCCCTAAAATAGAGTGCAGAACAAAAAGGTAGCCTTAGTCCAGTGTTCAGCTCCGACCTCTCACCCATTTCTTTTTTTTTGGGAGGGAAACCCCCTAAAATAGAGTGTAGAACAAAAAAAGCAGTCCAGTGTCTAGGTCCAATTTCACCCATGTCTTTTTGGGAGGGAAACCCCCTAAAATAGAGTGCAGAACAAAAAGGTAGCCTTAGTCCAGTGTCTAGGCCCAACCTCTCACCCAGTTCTTTTTTGGGAGGGAAACCCCCTAAAATAGAGTGCAGAACAAAAAGGTAGCCTTAGTCCAGTGGCTAGGCCCGACCTCTCAGCCATTTCTTTTTTTGGGAGGGAAACCCCCTAAAATAGAGTGCAGAACAAAAAGGTAGCCTTAGTCCAGTGTCTAGGCCCGACTCTCTCAGCTTGATTCTTTTGGGAGGGAAACCCTTAAAATAGAGTGCAGAACAAAAAGGTAGCCTTAGTCCAGTGTCTAGGCCCGACCTCTCACCCATTTCTTTTCTTTTGGGAGGGAAACTCCCTAAAATAGAGTGCAGAACACAAAGGTAGCCTTAGTCCAGTGTCTAGGCCCGACTCCTCTCACCCATTTCTTTTTGGGAGGGACACCCCTAAAATAGAGTGCAGAACAAAAAGGCTTCTAGTCCAGTGTTCAGGCCCGACCTCTCACCCACTTTTGCTTTTTTGGGAGGAAACCCCCTAAAATAGAGTGCAGAACAAAAAGGTAGTCCGCGTCTGTGTCCGACCTCTCACCCATGTCTTTTTGTTGGGAGGGAAACCCCTAAAATAGAGTGCAGAACAAAAGGTAGCCTTAGTCCAGTGTCTAGGCCCGACCTCTCACCCATTTCTTTTTTGGGAGGGACACCCCCTAAAATAGAGTGCAGAACAAAAAGGTAGCCTTAGTCCAGTGTCTAGGCCCGACCTCTCACCCATGTCTTTTTTTGGGAGGGGAACCCTCTAAAATAGAGTGCAGAACAAAAAGGTAGCCTTAGTCCAGTGTCTAGGCCCGACCTCTCACCCATTTCTTTTTTTGGGAGGGAAACTCCCTAAAATAGAGTGCAGAACAAAAAGGTAGCCTTAGTCCAGTGTCTAGGCCCGACCTCTCACCCATGTCTTTTTGTCGGGAGGGAAACCCCCTAAAATAGAGTGCAGAACAAAAAGGTAGCCTTAGTCCAGTGTCTAGGCCCGACCTCTCACCCATTTCTTTTTTTGGGAGGGAAACCCCCTAAAATAGAGTGCAGAACAAAAAGGTAGCCTTAGTCCAGTGTCTAGGCCCGACCTCTCACCCATTTCTTTTTTTGGGAGGGACACCCCCTAAAATAGAGTGCAGAACAAAAAGGTAGCCTTAGTCCAGTGTCTAGGCCCGACCTCTCACCCATGTCTTTTTTTGGGAGGGGAACCCTCTAAAATAGAGTGCAGAACAAAAAGGTAGCCTTAGTCCAGTGTCTAGGCCCGACCTGTCACCCACATTTCTCTTTTTGGGAGGGAAACCCCTAAAAATAGAGTGCAGAACAAAAAGGTAGCCTTAGTCCAGTGTCTAGGCCGACCTCACTCCATTTCTTTTTTTGGGAGGGAAACCCCTAAAATAGAGTGCAGATCAAAGGTAGCCTTAGTCCAATGTCTAGGCCCGACCTCTCACCTCCATTTTTGGGAGGGAAACCCACTAAAATAGAGTGCAGAACAAAAAGGTAGCCTTAGTCCAGTGTCTAGGCCCGACCTCTCACCCATTTCTTTTTTTGGGAGGGAAACCCCCTAAAATAGAGTGCAGAACAAAAAGGTAGCCTTAGTAGAGTGCAGAACAAAAAGGTAGCCTTAGTCCAGTGTCTAGGCCCGACCTCTCAGCCATTTCTTTTTTTGGGAGGGAAACCCCCTAAAATAGAGTGCAGAACAAAAAGGTAGCCTTAGTCCAGTGTCTAGGCCCGACCTCTCACCCATTTCTTTTTTTGGGAGGGAAACCCCCTAAAATAGAGTGCAGAACAAAAAGGTAGCCTTAGTCCAGTGTCTAGGCCCGACCTCCCACCCATTTCTTTTTTTGGGAGGGAAACCCCCTAAAATAGAGTGCAGAACAAAAAGGTAGCCTTAGTCCAGTGTCTAGGCCCGACCTCTCACCCATTTCTTTTCTTTGGGAGGGAAACCCCCTAAAATAGAGTGCAGAACAAAAAGGTAGCCTTAGTCCAGTGTCTAGGCCCGACCTCTCACCCATTTCTTTTTTTGGGAGGGAAACCCCCTAAAATAGAGTGCAGAACAAAAAGGTAGCCTTAGTCCAGTGTCTAGGCCCGACCTCTCACCCATTTCTTTTTTTGGGAGGGAAACCCCCTAAAATAGAGTGCAGAACAAAAAGGTAGCCTTAGTCCAGTGTCTAGGCCCGACCTCTCACCCATTTCTTTTTTTGGGAGGGAAACCCCCTAAAATAGAGTGCAGAACAAAAAGGTAGCCTTAGTCCAGTGTCTAGGGTGGACGGAACCCCGGACCTAGCGGAGCACCAGAAAGGGAACTCCCTTCAACCTTGACTGCTATTGGCTGGGATCTTTAGACTTTAACTTTTTGGGAAATCAAGGCGTTTTCCACTAAACCCCCGAAAAAGGTAAACTTTTTGCAGGGGGGTCAACAGCAACCAAGCAACTTGGTGGAACATCATCTTTGAAGGTTGGTGTTGTCGCGGACCATTGGGGGGATGGGGATGCGAAGGGGTGCGAAGGGCACGCGGCGCGCAGGGGTTGGAAGAATGCTGCCACCACGGGGGGAGTTAGTGGAGGTTTTTACTTGGACTTGTGGATGCTCGGGAAAAAAAAAGTTTTAGATGGTCCACCAGGCAGGGTCCACCCAGTAAACAACCAGGTCCCCCAGGATCGTGCCCTTTTTCACCCATTTCTTTTTTGGGAGGGAAAGGAAAGCCCCTACTAAAATAGACTGCAGAAAGAAGTTGGTACCCTCATTCTAACCTCTCCACTGGAGGACCACAAGATCCAATTCGCATGTCTCTTGGTGGATTCCGCCCAGGCGCTCGGAAACGGCTACAACCGCTCAGGACCTCACGCTGAACCTGGGCGGCAACGAGGATCTCAACGACGACGGCGTGGAGGCGGGGCTCGGGTGAGAGAAGCACGGGTCAAGAAGGGCACAACCAAAAGGAGGGCCCCACCATGGCATGGGTTCAGGAACCAAGCTCCTTCGTTTGGGCTGTTTCTGTGTGAAATGGTCAACCATGGCATGAATGCCAAAGTTTGAGGGGTGAAGACTTCAGCTGGTTGAGTTGTCAATCCTGCAATACTGTATCAAGAGCGGATGCAGCCGCCACATATCGCCATGCAAAACGAATGCGCCCAGATGACCGGCAATTATAGAAAGCAGGCCAGAGCATGTGAGCAACTCACAACCTGTGTTGGCCAATTGAGTGAAGGTTCCGCCTGGTTTGGTAGGGAGAGTGAAGTGGGTGCAACAAATGCACGGAAACGCCCGGTTTTCATCATGGGTGTTGCCTTTCTGCTTGGAAGTGTTCCAAAGCAAACACGACCTGTTCTTTTCAGCGCCCAGCTTCATGATATTATATTCCGATTCTCCAGCTGCACACCCTCACTCCTGTGTCTCTGGCGCATCATCTACGCTGCTTGGCGTGAGCGTCGAGGCCGAGCGTTACCCAACCCCTTCACCCCTGTAGACTCTTAACGCTCTCGGCGCCCCCACCCATCCGCCCACCCACCACCCATCCGCCCACCCACCACCCACCCACACCCACCCACCCACCCACCCACCCCCACCCACCTACACACCCCCACCCACGCACACACCCCCACCCACCCACCCCACCCCACCCCACCCCAACCCCAACCCAACCCAACCCAACCCCACCCAACCCCACCCAACCCCACCCAACCCCACCCAACCCCACCCAACCCCACCCCACCCAACCCCAACCCCAACCCCAACCCCAACCCCAACCCCAACCCCAACCCCAACCCCAACCCCAACCCCAACCCCAACCCCAACCCCAACCCCAACCCCAACCACCCACCCCTAACCCACCACCCCAACCCCAACCCCCCTAAACCCCCACCCCCAACCCCAACCTAACCCCAACCCCAACCCCAACCCCAACCCCAACCCCAACCCCAACCCCAACCCCACCCAACCACCCACCCCAACCCCACCCTCCCCAACCCCAACCCCAACCCCCCACCCCCAACCCCACTCCCAACCCCAACCCCAACCCCAACCCCAACCCAACCCCAACCCCAACCCAACCCCCAACCCCAACCCCAACCCCACCCAACCACCCACCCCAACCCACCCTCCCCAACCCCAACCCCAACCCCAACCCCCCCCACCCCCAACCCCCAACCCCAACCCCAACCCCAACCCCAACCCCAACCCCAACCCCAACCCCAACCCCAACCCCACCCACCCACCCACCCCACCCCCCCACCCACCCACCCACCACCCCACCCCACCCACCACCCCACCCCACCCCACCCGCCCACCCATTTTCCCACACTCCCGCCCAGGTCCTTAGGTGAGTCTAGGTCCTGCCAGGCGTTTATGGCCAAGCTGCCCAGCAAGATGAGGAGCCGGCGCCTGAGCGGGCGTCGAGTTTCGGAGGGGTTTGTGGGAAGACCTTGTGGAGAACTCATGATGTGATGTGTTCGCTCACCAAAAAAGGCCGGGGAAGTTCTTTGGTTTTCTCCAGATTCCTCCGAGCACCCAATCCACGTTGGGCCTTACGAACTGAGCTTTGTTCCCTGTATTTCCGCTTGTGGCGGCTGCAAGCATGACGTGTTCCACAGGTGAGTTTCCCTTAAGAAGGCAATGTTTTTTAAAGGTTGGAAGTATGGGGAGCCCTGATGTCGTCAATCAAGGCTTAGATCCAGAACCTGTTGACGCCCTGCCGCGGTGGGTCAGTTGCCTTAGGACTCCTTTCCGCACATAAATTCGGAAGAAGCATGCCGGTTACGATGAGACGTAACCGAAAGACACCTCGCCAGCATGACAAACTCTGCACAGACAATGCAACAGAGCATGTGCGCAATGGCGCGCACACGCAACTATAATGCATATTGCATATATATATATATATATGTGCGTTTCAATCCAAGAAGCAAGCACATCACGTAAAGCATCAAACGAGCACACAAAGACAAGACCAATCAAACACATCGCAAGACAAGAACAGGAAACACACAATAATAATAATAATCATAATAATAATAATAATCATAATCATAATCATAATCATGATAATAGTAATAATGATAATAATAATAATGATAATAATAGTAACAACAACAATAATCATAATAATAATCATAATAATCATAATAATAAGTAATACTAGAAATAATACTAACAATAATAATAATCATAATAATAATAACAACAACAATAATAATCGTAATAATAATAACAACAACAACAATAATCATAATAATAATAAGTAATAATAGTAATAATACTAATAATAATAATGATAATAAAACTAGACCACGGTTGGCCCGAAAGCAGAACATCGCAAGCGAGGTCGGCCCAAACGCTGCAGGATGCGTTCTTTTTCCCTACACGAAGCATTCGTGAAGCAAGCGCGAGACAGCACCAGGCAAGGTGCTCTGTGCAAGTTGCTCTGTGCAAGTTGCTCTGCGTAAGTTGCTCTGCGCAAGTTGCTCTGCGCAAGTTGCTCTAGGCAAGGCGCTCTGCTGCAAACGCAAACTGCGCAAGGTCTGTGCAACTTGTTGCGCAAGTTGCTCTGCGCAAGTTGCTTTAAAATGCAAAAGTTGCATCTTGCGACGCCCGCCCGCGGACCAGGGAGGAATCGAACCCGCGACCCGCCGGACCCACGACCCGCCGGTTCCGGGAGCAGGCGCGCGAACCACGAGACAACTCCCGAGGACCAGTTCGAACAACAAAAGTCGCAAAAAACCCAGTTTGCACCTCGACCACGGTCCCGCAGTTGCGCGAGCACCGTGGAAGCAAAAACCAGGTTTTGCACCTCGACCACGCCGATCCCCGCAGAGGGTTGCGCGGGCACCGCAGAAATCGCAAAAAACCCTGGGTTTTTGCACCTCGACCACGCCGATCCCCGCAGAGGGTTGCGCGAGCACCGCAGAAATCGCAAAAAACCTCGAGTTTTTGCACCTCGACCACGCCGATCCCCGCAGAGGGTCGTGCGGGCACCGCAGAAATCGCAAAAAACAACATGGGTTTTTGCACCTCGACCACGCCGATCCCGCAGAGGGTCGCGCGGGAACTTTAGAAATCGCAAAAAAACCTCGAGTTTTTGCACCTCGACCACGCCGATCCCCGCAGAGGGTCGCGCGGGAACTTTAGAAATCGCAAAAAAACCATGGGTTTTTGCACCTCGACCACGCCGATCCCCGCAGAGGGTCGATTTTCGTGTAGCGTCGTCGGCACTACCCCGCCGCCCTAAGAAGAGATTTTAACTCCTCGCAAGTCAATTGCACTTGACTCCTTGCACTTGCAACTTGCACTTGACTCCTTGCTTGTTTCAAGGAGTCATTGCAAGGAGTCATGGCAAGGAGTCATTGCAAGGAGTCATTGCAAGGAGTCATTGCAAGGAGTCATTGCAAGGAGTCATTGCAAGGAGTCATGAGAGTCATTGCAAGTTGCAAGGAGCCAAGTGCATGGAGTCAAGTGCAAGTTGCAAGTGCACGGAGTCAAGTACAAGTTGCAAGTGCAAGAGCCAAGTGCAAACCAAATGCATAGGTAAAATTACAAATTTACAAATTAAATAGAATCAAATACAAATTTACAAATTAAGCTAGATCAGAGTAAGTTTACAGTACAAAGATCAAGTACAAATTTTAATCCTTTACCATGACTCCTTTACAATGACTCCTTTACTGAGACTCCCTTTTACTATGACCCTTACACTTTGACTACAATGACTCCTTTACAATGACTCAATGCAATGACAATGACTCCTTGCAATGACTCCTTGCAATGACTCCTTGCAGTGACTCCTTGCAATGACTCCTTGCAGTGACTCCTTGCAATGACTCCTTGCAATGACTCCTTGCAATGACTCCTTGCAATGACTCCTTGCAAGGACTCCTTGCAATGACTCCTTGCAATGACTCCTTGCAATGACTCCTTGCAATGACTTTCATGATGATGATTCCTTGCAATGACACCTTGTAATGACTCTCATGAGAACAACTCAAGTGAACCCAGCGGAAGAACCCTTCGCCATGCTTTCGGGAAAAAATGATATCAATAATAACAATGATAACAATGATAATAGTGATAATAATAATAATAGTAATCGTAATAGTAATAATGATAATAAAAAAAAACTTTTAAAGCAAAGCAAGATGGTAGTTTTCAGGAATCCAACGAGACCCAACACGCAAGACAGGAGACCCACACCCATTTTCGAAGGCGCCGTTTCGGCCCGGGAAAAGCTGGTCCGAGGTATGGCGCTGGATCTGAAGAAGACCAACGTAGGCCGGGGTCTTCGGCGTGGGGAAAGCGCAGGTTGTGTTGGAAGGGAAGCCTGGGGTGGGGGTGGGGTGGGGTGGGCGGCTGAACGGTTTTTCTGATGGGGCTGGTTGACAGTTGTAACAACCATCAACCCCTGTCTGGAAAAGGGGTTGGACATTTGTTTAAGCCAGATCACTTTGGGAAACCACCAAGAGGCTTAAACATGTTAAAACACGAGGAATCCCCCGTTGAATGCTCCCCTTCAACCACGGGAAAGCAAGACCTGGCCTATCAATAGGGGGTGTTTTTTCTCCAACAGTAGTCTGAATCCCCTTTTACAGGAATTGGACACAGCACAGCAAACTGCCGGCATTTGGGTTTGTCTGACTATGTGGGATCCCTCCTGGTTGATTTCACTTTGAGTTGCTGGCCCCTTCACAGGCCACGTTTCCGGGCCGCTTTTTCGCGCCTCCCGGGCCGAGCCGGACCGAGGCAAGGAGCTGTCCCAGCGGCAGGGCAACTACGAGAGCATGCGGAAGTACCTGGCGGAGCAGGTTGGATGTTCCAGGGGACACTTCGCCCCATTCTTGTCCAGGGATCCTTCCGTCTTTTCGGAAGACCATCAGAGCACCAGGCGAAACAGCGATCGGTTTTTGAAACGAATGGGGAACCAACCCCTAGACGGTGTGGGCTGTTGGGCGGTTCTGGGAGCTTCTGGGGGTTGCCAAAATTCAGCAAATGGCAGTGAGCACGTGGCCGATGTTTTTTTAAAGGCCCGTGGACAGGTGCAACTGTGCTGCTTCTTTGTTTTTTATGGGGAATTTTGGGGTCCGCCAGTGTTTTTTTAAAGGGACGCCAAAGGAAAACCGCACAACTCATGTAGGAAGTCCATGTTTCCCAGCTTGAGACACTTTTTGGCTCACCCTTTTGGGGCTTTTGCCCACGGACCCAATAAAAAACAGCCCACCACATCGTGCTGTGTTGGTTCCGCGGGTTCTGCTTTGGTGCTTTCTGTTTCCCGGCTTGTTGCTTTAAAGCAATGTTTCTGTTCAGGGTTGTGGGATCAAACAATTATCCAACCACTTCTGTGATGCAAGGGAATCCCCTCTTGCAATGCCGGGGTAGTCTTTGGGGGACCGTTGTTGTTGTATCACAAAAGTGGATTCCATTTCCCACAGCCCTGTGTCTGTTGCTTTGAGGCGGAGCGACCTTTTGAAGCCATGATTAAAACATGCGACCGAGACAAAGCGGCCGTTGGAAAACCCAAAAGAAGTTTGGGGACTTCCGGAGAATGGCGACCTGGCAAGACTACCAGGTTTTTTGGATGTTCAGACCCAAAAAAAACAACCTGCCAGTATTGTACCCTAGGCCCTAGCCTTCAGGCCTTGGAATTTGATGGTCTCCCTAAGCCCACCCAACCCCTTCCCCCTTCCCCTTCTCCCATCCCCACTTCTTCCCCCCCTTCACCCCCTTCACCCCACCCACTCAAATCGCCAGGCCGCCAAGGCCATCCAGTGCACCTTCGTCAACATCATCCCCTCCGCGCCGCGGCCTCGACTCCTCGACGCCGCACACAAGCCGAGCCGCCCACGAGTGTGTGGATCCTTCTCGGTGGGGTCAAAGACTTCAGCAGTACCACAGCCAGCACGGACATTTGGCTGTAGGTCAAAACCAATGGGATCCCATTTTGGGATGGGTGCACCACCCATTTTAGAACCTATTTTAGTGGGGATTGGGATGTTCTTTGGGGGTGCGGGCTTTTGACCCAAGGCCATCTGGCCTTTGCCACGCGTGCTTCCAGATACAAGCCATTCCGGTTCGCTTAAGCCGTAGCTGCAAACGAGCCATTTTGGGGTTATGGGTTTCATCATAAAAAGCACCGAAGGGCGACCTACAATTTCTTGCAACTCGAAGAACTGGGTCGGAGCACGAGAAGGATCCCAGCAAAAGACATGGCACATCCCAATGGCTTCTGAGGCGATGCGCTTTTTTCCCCAATGGTCTTGGTGGGACCCTTTGGGCCACCCAAGAAGGCGGCCTGAAGCCATGTTCTGAGATGGAGAGTAGCAAAGCTGCATACGGGTGGTTGATTGCCTTTGGAATGGGCATGGGGATACGATTGGGTCGACCCTGTGAACATGGAATTTGTGCGGTCGGCCATGTGTGAGGGTTTTTTTGGCCATTGACCATCGCACCCAACTGGCGCTCTCGCATCGGACAACACGCCACGCGCCCAGGACGAGGCATGTGACGTACACAGTCACCAAGAAGACCCTGCCGCCGCTGACAAACAACAATTGACCGCCGGGATCGAGGGCCAGAAGTTTCCATCAGTCGTGTTTCCGCGAATACCCACTGGAAGCGCATGGAATGTTTGTTTTATTCTTCTGCCATGGCCCTTGTGACTGGTGTTAGCATGAGTAACTGCGCACGTGCCCGATGAGTTTTCACCTGGCTTGCCAAAGGCAGCCGCGAGAGGCTTGAGCAAAGGTTCCAGTCGAAGGTGGTTTGGCTTAAGCCAGGATCAACAGAGCGGGTCCTCCATTTCTTAGTTGGAACCCCCAGATCCTTCGCCCAGGGCAGATGCATGGGACGTGTGTCAAGCCGGCGCAAGCCCTTGTAACACCTCATGTCTCACGGGCTTCGCCCAGGTTTCACTGCTTTGTAAAATGGGTATTGGGTGTTCGCCAGGTCAAGCGGCTTGAGTACATGTGCAGCGCTTGAGCGCGGCAACTTCAGGGTTTAAATCCAAGCCAACTTCGGGAGCGATTCGAGTGAATGCCAACCAATGAATTGTCTTGGTCCCCAAAGTGACGGATGCCTTAACAAAATGGACATATAAATATACAGATTTCACCATTGATAAATATGCTTCCCATTCGGAGAGATGGAGGTCAAGTGGCAGCAACTCGTCGATCCTTTACGGTCTGAATGATACTAGAATTGCGGGGGGGGGGGAGGGGTCGGGCGCTTTGAAACTAAGTCATGATGATATGCGAGCCATGTGTGTTTTCATTTCGGCACCTTTTTTTACACATGGGTGAAAGTGGAGGGGCACAAGTTCCTTTGTGGGTAAAGGGCATGGCGAAAGGAAAATGGATGGAACAACCCAGCTGTCACTTGTGCGAAGCCTGGGCGCGATTTGGCCCAAGCCCGGCGAGTCGCACATCTGAAACGAGCGAGCCGTTCAGAGATTTATCCCTGCCACAGAGGCTGCAGTTGGGGTTTCCGAAGAGATAACATTGGCCGTGCTTTCTGAGTTCATCCCCATTTGGGGGGGTTGTTCTATAAAATTGTTGCCTCAGCAAGACATGCCCTGTGTTTTCTGAAGTCATGTGTATCTGTTCGAAGTTGTTCTACCAACTCAAGAGGAACTATGCTGATATCCCTATGAACATCACAAAAAAAGCACATGGAGAACCCCACCCATTTGCGGGGAGCGCTTCATGCACCACATGGCCACGCTCTTGAAGAAGCGCGATCTTGGCCTGTGGCTCAGATCAAGACGGGAACATCCCGCTATCGGTAGAGATAGACTTGGTCCGAGAAGAACCTCCAAGGAATGCTTTGGGTTACTCCTACAGCGCCAAGACCGTTTAATTTATTAGGACCCCCAGCTAGGTGCCCTTTCTCACCCAACTTTTTTTGGGGAGAGTTCCCTTCTAAAGAGAACACAAAAAAGGGTACCCCTATTCTAACCTCTCTACTGGAGGACCTAGTTTAGCACATTGTCAAAAGGCTAAGGCGCCGTTTGTTTGGCCATGGATGGACATCTAACCGGAGCAAGTTGGTGTTGTGAACAACTTGGGCTACTTGGCTGCCACTTGCAGAAGTGAATAGTTGTTAGTTTCCCCAGAATTTGGTTTTAAAGAGAATCTATCACTTTTGTGGCAATATAACTTTCCTTTGTTTCCAGTTGGCTTGAGCAAATAGAAGCTGGGTGTTCCCTTTGAAAGAATCCAAAAGGAATATACCAACAATTCCCATGGCAAGGCGACAACTGAACTAGGGGGGCGTAAGTTCGTTCGCCATCCACCTTCACCCTGCTGTCACAAAAAGCATGGGAGTTGTTCCAAATAGGGGACCCTGAAGCTGTTTCCTTTTGGTTTCCCTAAATCGTGAAAAAGGGCGTCCTTTATTTTAAGAAACAAAAGGGAACTCCGCTTGTTGCCAAAAGGATCCAAAAGGCTCACTGAGTCTCTGGCAATGTTGAATTTGTCAAGGCCATCCGTTTGGGACACATGCCCCCGTCAGAGACGACGGATTGTTCCGCTCCCGACCGAGCAGGCGACCGCACAAAGCTTCCAAACGCCTTTCCACGAGTCTCTTTTTGCATCAGTTGAGAGACTCGCTTTTTGATGTGGCAGTGGCAAAAAAAATCAACAGCTAGGGCCAACCGCAGGTTTGGGTCCATGTTTCCACTTACCGATCGGGCAACCCATTTCGGAATTCCGGCTTTTTTGAGCCATGCCCATTTTGAATTCCATGAGACAAGTCACATGCGAGAGCTGATCTCAGAGAGTTCAGATCCGCTTCTGGGGGTTTAGCGGATACCTCCACACTGGCTGTTTTGGGGTTGCGCTCTGATTCGCAGGGCGGCCAATTTGGCTGGGTTAGCGCAGTACTTGTTTCTCTGGGGTCTGTGAATTTGCAGCGTGGCCCTTCTTTTTGTTGACATTTGGTTGTGACATGTTGCAAAGTTGTGGAACCGTCAATCATTTTTTCACGGTTGACATCACTTGAATTAACCAAAGAGGAAATATGTGGGACAATCTCCAGTGCAAGGACATTAGGGTGCCCCCCCGGTTCTTTCTCCGGGGGGGAGGGGTTGGTCTTCCGATCACTCCCATTCGCTGGACATTCGTCTGAGAAGTGAGGCGAATGGGAAATGTTGAAATGGCTGGGCATTCCAACTCGTGACACGCATGCCATTGGGCCCACAGCGGCTGGAATCCAATCCCAAAGACGGTGCAACTAATGCCATTGACTCAACGGTCAACTCATTTCGCTGATCGGATGAGATAGGCAGACGCAGGTGCTTTCAGGCAGAGATGTCATGGTGTTACAGGTCACTGGCAGCAAGCTGGAAACTGTGTCGTTTCCCTGGTGATCTTCCTTCCAACCCAAAAAAAGGTATGGGAGTGGAATTTCGGCGGCGCGGCGGACGCAGCATTTAAACTCGAGACTCGAGACTGAATCTTCACGAAATGCATGCCATCCTTTTGGTAAACGAGCCAATCTCAATAAACTAGAAACAAGGCGACCCTATACAGGGTGGCTCAGAACTGAAAAGAAATTAGACATGCCCCGGAATCGACCGATCGTGTCGATCGCGAAGTTGAGTTGAAGGAACTTAAGGGTGACGAACATGGATCTGTTTCTGGGGAAAACAGGACAGGGAATCAGAATGATTCAGGTCGAATGAACCCGTGTTTTTGGATATGACGTTTACATGGAAGGGACAAAAGGAAGTCCCAGCAAAGCAAGCCACCCTGTATAGGGTCGCCTTGTTTCTAGTTTATTGAGATTGGCTCGTTTATTGTTCTCGGATGATTTATTTTTAGTTCAGAGCCAGTTTCCGGAAGGACCAACCGCTTCTGCTCTAGTTCGCTTTTGGCTGTGTTCTCTTCGGATTCCTTTCGAGAGGGAACCCAGATCCGGTGCCCATTTTTTTTCAGGATGAGCTTCTTTGGATCCGAAATGCTCAAGCCTTCAAGCCTGTTCGTTGCAGGTTTCGGGTTTGCGGACTTCTCGGGGATTCCACATCCATATGTGCCAAAATAGGGGGACGCCAAAAGGGGTGGCTTTCCTTTTGGTTTCCCATGCCATGAACGCCAAGCAGTGGGTACCCTCGAAAACAGAGCCCCTTGAAGAGCGTGGGCGTTTGGCCACGCGATGGGAGGCCAAACGCAAAGTGAGGGCGAAGAGACCTTTCTTGCCACTGAGGGAGTGCGGGCGGGGTCAAAGCATAAGTTTGGGAGATGTGTGCACTGTTATGGAAACATGTGGGTCCGTTGCATTTTGAGGGTACCCTTTTTGGGGGTTGGTTTGAACGACATCTATTTGGGGGGGGTCCCCTTTGCTAGATTTCAGATTGCAATATCCCATTGATTCCCGGAGGACCAGCTTCAGAACGGATTCTCATGCCTTCCATTGAAACAGGTTGATTTGTTTACCAGGACCCGAATGTCCACATGATTTCCAGTTCGGGCGGGCGACTGCGGTGGGCAAAGCTTGTCCGAGCCCCGCGGCATGACATTGAGCCAGCGCGAGCGGCTGAAAAAAGTGCACGGAGAACCGTGGGGCAACGTGGGGTTTTCACGACCCCTCGCCCGTCCACAAAAAAGAGGCCGGATGGTCCGGATCAGAGTTCGAAATTCAATCCTTTCGGAGACATCGGTGGTCAGTTTCACCGGTTGAGAGATTCCTGGGAGCTGGACAAGCGTTCCTGGAAGCCAAGCTGTTGCAGTGTTTGACCACGAAAGCACCCACGACCCAACCCTCTGAGGGCTCCTGGAAGGATTGCAGAAACCATTCTGATCCAAGTTCTGGTGGGGAAGGGGGCCTAATGATTCGCCTTATGCGGCCGGCTGCCAGTCCGGATCATGAGACAGTCATCTGGTTGAAAGATGCCGCGGTTGCCTGTTGAAGGGATGGCTAGACCAAAATGGATGGAATTGTGAGCCATTTGCTCTTCCCCCGACCTGTAGTTTTAGTTGCCTCGCGGCCGAAATCCAAGGCAGGTCACGGTTTGGCCCAAGCAGTGGAAGATCTAAAAAGCTGAGCCCATGGAGCCGTCGAGTGTTCCAGAACGCCACAAGAACCCAGCGCGTCTCCGGCAATGCCCCCGTCAAGACTTACGGACCACACGACTCTCCAGAGCCCTGGAATCCCAACAGAGCCTTTGGCTCTGCGATGTTTATTGTTTCTGTGTCTTTTCTTTGATTTCTTTGTTTGTTGGGCTTGAGAAAATGTTCTGGTCGGGTTCACGAGAAAATCCCTGCACTTCGATCAGGGGACCCCCCGCGCAACGGCCCGCGAAACGGCCCTTCCGCGGCTTCCCGCGCTTGACTGATGAAGCGCGGCCATGGCCAGGGGCTCAGATCGGAGGTGTGCCACCTGGTGGGAGCGGAGAACCAGACTGGGGTAGACTTAGGATACATTTTACATACCAGTGACTCAAAGGGAAGCAAACAGTAGAATATATATATATATAATATTCTATATACTGGGCCGAAGTCGAATCATGCAGAAAGGACACGTTCTTTCTCTTCTTCTTGTTTTTGCTTGGGGGAAAAAGGGTGTCCGGGAAAACAAGGGACACAGCTACATTGGTGGTCTGGTTTCATGAGTGTTCCCTAAATAAGCCCCGTAGCAAGGGTGCATGGCCTCCTTGTTTAGGTCCTTTTTCCAGGGCCTCAAACAGTCCATTGCCCCAAAACGGCCGACTCGAGCATTCGCGGCTAATATATGGGGGGTTGATCAAAAGGTCTGGTCAACATGTGCTGACCCAAAAATGGGAAACCACCAAAAAATGTTTGACTAAATCACCACTAAATGGGACAAGTTACCCATATACGACATGACCATCATGAGTCAGCACTTTTGCGAAATGTTGCATGGCTTGAGGCTTCCTTCGCAGGGTTTTCTCTCCCGGCACAAAATACGGAAGGCTCGTCTTGTCTGGAGTTGGTACCCTTTTTGGGGTTGTGAAGTGACAACAAAAGGCAAACACCATAGAGGGGGGTCTAAACAATGACGCAGGGAAACCCAAAGTCAAACACCTTTACTTATTTTAGTGATTTGTTTAATCATTTACTTATTTATTTGTTTAATTATTTATTTATTTATTGTTTATTTTATTTATTCATTATGTATTTTGTTTTTGTTGGTTGGGGGGTCTAAGAAAAGGGCACCGCAAAATGACAAGACTTCCCTTTCAGGACTCCGTGTCATGGCTCCAAGGCGATGATGGCTACGAGCCATCGAAACGCCCGGGCTTCCCAGTGACGGCGTCATGCGCATCGGTTTGGTGAATTGGGACCTGCGATCTCGGTCGATTCTCAGCAATTGGTACCCTTTTGTCTCACCCCTTTTTTGGTTGGGAGGGAAAGCCCCTACTAAAATAGGCGTCCTGAAAACAAAGTTGGTACGAACTTATTCTAACCTCTCTACTGGAGGACCTAGTAGATGTTCCTTGGCAGTTTTGAACATCGCCTTTTTGGGCCCTTTGGCTTGCTGAGTGTGTGTTTTTCTTGGGATGATGTGTTGAGGTTATCACTGTTTTGGCCCTTTTGCTTGGTGAGTGTCCCTTGGTGGGGGTGATGTTCTGAGGGGAAATAGGTTGACTCGGACAAATGAGAGGTGGTCGAGGGGAGGAGTCTCCGAAAAGACGTTAGATTTTAAGGCTGACTGAGAGTCCGAAAATTGATTGCTGCTGGCGTACCCGCAATGTGTGCCAAGGAGAGGAGCACCTTCGCTGGGTTAAAGGTGTATCTAGGATCTAGGTCCCCAATAGTGCCCTTTTACCCGTTTTGGGGGAGGGTTCCCCTACTAAAATAGACTACAGAAAAAAGGGTACCCTTATTCTAACCTTTCTACTGGAAAACCTAGGGATAATGTAGATTAGAGCTAGGTTGAGTGCAGGTTTGGTTTCCCTTCACCCGAAAAGGGAGTTGTGTTTTCACGAAGGCATGGCAGGCCAGCTTGCCGTTTGAGAGGAGGCAGCCAGGCGATGGCGCAAAATCCGCTGGGCCTTTACTTCCAAGTCTGCTTGAAGCTCCGAAGAGGAGTTTACACGTTAGGATGAGTTCCTCAATACTGTCCCTGACCCCAATCCTGCTATATTCAGTTGGTAGAGCTTGTATCCCGGTATTTGTTGGGTTTCATCCAACTGTTGCAGGATGTTGTGCATCCACAGTATGACATATCTGGGGTCCCCTCCCACACTACGTCATACTTATTGCAGATGGGTAGACTAAGTATGAAACAGGGTCTGATCAATGTGGTGTGTTGTGTCCCCCTTTTTTCGGGTTGCTATGTGACCAACGGTTTTTCAGGTAGGCCGTAATTTTGGTGGTTTGGAGTGGTGGCTTGGATTTTGAACCTCTTAGGGTAAATGGGAGGAAAACCACGGAACTGGCTCCAAGCCACAAAGTGGGAGTTTCTGGATCTCCTTAGGCCAAGCGTCCGGGCGCGCGGACGTGCCCCGGTGCAGACACGCCTTCAAGGTGGGGGCGCTGGGTCCGCCACTTGCAGGAAGGAGTTTGTGTGAAATTGGACCCCCAAGGCTTCAAGGCGGCAGGGGTTTTCTTGGGGGTTGCAATTGAAAGTAGCCAAAAGTTGACAAAAAGCCCAAAACAAATACATGGATCGAGAAAGTGGCAAGGGCAGCAAGCCCCACAAAAGAACAGAAGACGGGGGCCCAAGGACATGAGACCCACCTGTTTCACGAGCCGAAAAGGTCCGAATTCTGTGAGTGGCAAAGGGAACGCCAATCAAAAGCCGGAGTTCGTGGCCATGGTCGGATGTGTCCTTTGACAAGCATTTCTTCGGACTCAAAAGACATGGCCGTGGGTCAACACCAATGGTACCATTTTGGGGTAGGTGAATTCACCACCCATTTTAGAACCTATTTTTGTGGGAATTGGGATGTTCACTGGGGGTACGGGGTTTTGACCCATGGCCACATATTTGGACAGGGTTGCTGAAACGCATGTTGCTCTTCCCGCATTTGGACGTGTCGCCGTTGCGTGCCCAAGTCGCTTGGTATAGGATCATATAAAAAACCTTAAACGCGCCGGTGTTAAATTCAGCCATTGAAAGCAGCTCCAAACAGCTGCAACTGAGCCAAGGGGTCCAACCAAGTCCAAACTAAGCGACATCTCGGCTTCGGGCTTGGAGCAGGTGTGTTAGAAATGCTGGGTGTATTGTGGGGCGCCCCGGTGGTTACCCCGGGCTTCATGTTTGTGTTTTTGGACAGACCGTCAAGCAAGCGGTGCTTTGAGGTATCTGCTTGTGTTGACAGTCCTCAAAGTGTGTTCTGCGCTGCTCTGTGAAGCACGAGAAACCCCTGGGTGAGAATCCAAAGGGTACCATTTGCCGTGTGTGTTGCAGACCCCTAGGTGTTTGTTAAGCTCTGTGGGCGAAAAAAGACACGTGGGTGCCAAAGGAAGCCACCTAGCAAGTTGCGATCGCTTTTTTCAGTCACTGTTGCTGGTCGGGGTAGAGTTCATGGAAAAAAAGCGATCGCAACTGGCGATGCAGGCATTGGGTGCTACCTCAGAAGACAGCCCCCAGCCGCGCGGTGTTCGCGCCCACGCAGGTCCTGATCACCGACAGCCTGGCGGCAGGTTTGCTCGGCCGCTGCCTCGGAGAGAGAGGTGGAGATCGCAGCTCAAAGGTGAGGGGAGTGAAGAACGATTCACTCCCTGAGTTCCATCATGGTTGTTGTGGGAAACATGTTACATTTTTGCCTATGGCGGTTTAGTGGGGAATCCCCGCTGAACTGCTAAAACAAGTTTGTTTTTGCTCCCCTTCCAACGTCAACCAAGCCCTACTCAACACAAGGATTACGAGCTTTGACCCATTTCTGGGGTAAAAACCGTGGGGAGATTGGCAGCAGAAGGGTAAAGATCTTGGCGGAGACATCTCACTGTCGGGGGTCCCGGACTTGGAACTTTCTGTAGCATTTGACTGGCCAGCCAAACTAGGTCCCCTTGGCCCTTTGGTTGGGAGGGAAAGCCCCTAAAATAGACGAAGCAGGGAAAAGTTGGTACCCTGATTCTAGCCGCTCTACTGGAGGACCTAGCAAAAGTCTAGACTGGGCCTCATGTATTTTCAGGTTTGGAGCATTTCAGTGGCAAGACGTCTAGACGATGGCCAGTTCGCTCAAGCAAGCCAAAGCCGCCAGCTTGGAGAAAAGAGACGGGAGTGAGCAAGAAGCCTGCCCTGCCACGATTCTCTGGTGAAGCTCTCGGAATGGCCAGCTCGTGCTTGCAGGTTTTTTGTTTTGCATCCCGAGGCACCCACGGGTCTGTCAAAGATGAGATTCAGCAGGCGGGAGGGCAACTGGCAGCTTTGGGAAGCACATGCAAATTGGCTCGCCCAACAATGAAGCAACGCAGAGCAAAACTCGGACTCATTCAATGCAGGTGTGGATTGAAGGTAAACCAGCATGATTCGCCAACCGTTAAGCGTGCGCTTGCAGGGGCAATTCCGAGCCAGCGTTCACACGCAACCACCTGGATGGTTGTTTGGGTATCCAGCTCGGCTTGCTTCGAATTTTGGTGTGGGAAAGCCCAAGCCCAACATCTATTTCGAGACAGCAGGGCCTCGGTTCCGAGGCTCCTCCCCGAACTGTTCAAAAGATGGCAGAAAGCCTCACGTTGGAAGAAGATGTTCCTGATGTCCTTTGTCTAGGTCCCCCAGCTAGGTGCCCTTTCTCACCCCTTTTTTGGTTGGGAGAGTTCCCCTACTAAAATAGACGTCCTGAAGAAAGATCGGGGACCGTAACCTGCAACCTCTCAAATCTGGAGGACCTAGTGGCGGTTTCCCTCTTTCCCCAGTACCACCCATCAACGCGGGGGACCTCGGAGGCCTCATGGCTAGCCCGTTCTCTCGAACACCCGGTCGAGTAAAAATAGGGTGGTGAGGCCCATATGCCAGGAGACAGGCGCCCGCCTGGTCTTCAGCAACCGAAACGACTACTTCCCAGACACCAAGTATCGCGCCGGCGCCCCAAGGCATTTCTGAGTTGGGAGAGCAAGAACTAACTCCCGCCACATGTCCGCCTAGGTAACCTTCGAATGGACTATGATTTGATGCGGAACGCCCTGAAAAGTGCTGGACGTCAACCCTCATGTGAATCACGGCTGAGGGCCCCCAAGTCATTTGTGAATTTCCGCTTGGTTGTCGATGGTGGGATTCTGAGTGCTGCTTTGCTTGAAGGATATATGTGACGCCACTAGTGAAATGTAACTTAACATGAATCTTGGGCATGACTGGTCCCAGTCCACATTTGAGCAGCGCCATAAACCCTGACAATACAAAGTAGTAAAGGGGGGTGTCCTATAGAATCCCCGCGAAAGCCAAAACGCAGGCCGCGAAAGCTGGCGAAAGCTTATTGCGAAAGTAACCAAAGAAGGTCCCGCCGCGAAAGACCCGCGAAAGCCTGCATGCTGTGTGACAGTCCGCCGCGAAAGCGTCGCGAAAGCAATTTTAAAGAAAACAAAGCTCGCGAAAGCAAAACATGGGGTCGCGAAAGCATCGCGGAAGGGTCCGCGAAAGCAAGTTCATAGGACCGCTTTTTACACAAGAGTATTTGGCAAATTTGTTGCTTAGTGCATCAAACATTGAAAATGCACATGCCCCCCCCCCCCCCACAGGAGTGCCCTGGCTGCCAAATGTTGGGCACCAAAGTGCGCAGCTTGAATTTTGGGCCTTTGGAACATGTCTGAGCCTGCGCCTGCACCCAGGCCAGGGTTGCGAACAATTTTTGTTTGACCCCGGGAGCCAGGCACACCTTGGATTTGATTTGGAGCCTTTGAAGCCCTAAAGAGAGACCACCCCATGGACTCCGGAGCTTTCTCCAGGGACCTGGAGAAACCTTCGATTTGGATGGGGTCAGTCGGTCAGTCAGGCTCGCGAGCCGCGGTCAGAACGTCGCGGAGCTTAGGTCATGGGGATCTATTCAGATGATCCGGGCGTGATTCTGGATGTGCCTGGCTCCCAGGGAAGCCCCAAGAAGCCCTGGCCCGAGCGAGCGTGCATGGCCCAGTTGCCCAGTGGATTCCGCCCGTTTTCCGACTTTTTGGCAGGGTTCCCCTTTAAAGTGTACCAACCATAAGAAGGATGCGGATCCTTTTTCCCCACCAACCGAAAACGGATGCCCTTTGTCCCACGGAATTTTCACGGGGCATCTGAGTTGGCCACAAATTCCCCTGGAAGAGCTTCAAGTCTGCGGACCCCTGGCCACGAAGCCTGTGACGGGTGATGAGCTAGGGCCCCCAGCAATTGGTGCCCGACCTCTCACCCAAAAATTTTTTTGGCTGGGAGGGAAAGCCCCTAAAATAGACGAAGCAGAAAAAAGCTGGTACCCTTATTCTAGCCTCTCTACTGGAGGACCTAAATGAGCTAGGCATGCAGAGCTGGTGTGTTCTCTGACCGCGGTCACCTTTCAGCGCGGTCAGAAATGACCCCGTTGAAGATGCGGCGTGGTTGGCGGCTTTTGGATTCTTTACAAGCTGTACCGTGGATAGCTATTGGAGAGCTTCATTAATTGAACGATTCCTCTATGTTTGGATCTGCCTCCGAATGGCCCCCCAAAAAAGGGTGGTTCCCTCTTGGCCTCCCTTCGCAACCCCAAAAAGGGGGCTGTCCCGCCGTTGAGCTTCCAAAAGTTGAAAAAAGGCGACACCGAAGCACCCGAGTGGTTCGCGCGTGGCGCCGCCTGAAGCGGAGGTTTAGCTGCATGATGCCCCTGCTGATCAAGCACGGCGACGACGAGCGGAAATCGCAGCAGGGGACTTTGAAGGGTTGGATGGGGGTTGAGGTACTTTCAAACACCCAAACTTGGTCACCTGTACTAGGTCCCCCAGCTAGGTGCCATTTCACGCTTTTTTGGGGGAGGGTTCCCCTACTAAAATAGACTACAGAAAAAGGGTACCCTTGTTCTAACCTCTCTACTGGAGGACCTAGTATATTAGCCAACCTATAGTAGTCTTCCAACCATGGAGTAAAGTACCCCAACCCCTTATAGATAGGTGGAGTATGTACCCCGCCTATATTGGCCAACCCCAAGCATACCCCGACCCCGACCAAGTTCTTGCCATGAATGTGAAATTTGTAGTAATGATTTGGCCACCAACAGAAAAGACATCCTTTGCTGGAAAGGAGATTCGGGTGGCTCGTCTTTTTTGTTAAGCTTGGATCCAGCCCCCGCAAAGAAAAAGTGGGCTTCCCTTGTGGATTCCAATGATGAGACAGACCCAAACCCCTTGTTTCATGGCTTGCCAACTAGAAGTGGAATCGGACTCTTTTCAGAGTCGCGAAAGAAGAGCTGGGTGTTGAACACAGTCCTCGGTTAAAAAGAGGAGCAGTGCTTAGGTCATGGACCCACTGCTCTTTGGTACGGCCTGAGCCTTTCACCCTTTTGGAGCATGACAGCGCCGAATCACCGGGGCCGGGGGGGGGGGGGGGTTCCAGGCCAAACAAACAAAATCTAGTCGCCACCCCTGCCTCTGCTCTTTTTTGAAAAGCCAGAATGCAAGGAGAAGCTGTCACTCAGCTTATCTCCGCCTTCAGTGTGCACAGAATAGTCTTGTCGAGTTGTTGGTACCCAAATTTTGGGGAGCTCGGGGGAGAAAACACACACACAGTATTTGTTTTGTTTAGGCTTGGTTGTCTTTTGGGGGGCTCAGGGAATCCCCAAAAAACACATACACACACACAACGTGTGTTTTTTTAGGATTTGGTTCTCCTTTTGGGGGGCCAAGAACAAACCAACGCCTTAAAGTTGGTAACTTACGGAGAAAGAGTTGGAACGCCGAAGCTTAGGCCATCGGGGCAGACGGATTTGTGTGGCAAGGAGCACGGCGAGTGCGCTGGGACCAAAATTTGCCACTTTGGGCGTAAACATCGGCTCCACCCTCAGGCTGCAGCTCACAGGCAGAAACTCCTTTCAATCGAGGGGCACCACCAAGAGTGCCATGTTTCATGCGTCGACGCGGTTGCATGCAACGGCAGAGAGAGAGAGAGAGAGAGACCCCGGATTCCAAGTAGAACCGGTCTACAAGAAAGGGGGTGAGTCCCTCCAAAAGTGATGAATCCCTGCTAAAAGAGGACTTACCCTATTCTCAACCACGGTTTATCAATGCAGGCTGCCTATTATCTACCTGGCCGGGGTGGTTGACACGTTTTCCGTTTCCAAGTGTTTTCTTTGGTGGGCTTAACATCACTTTTGGGATACCATGGTCTCCCTTTCTCAGTTCCGGGTATGCGTTTGGGATGGGCCGAATCTGAGGGCGCGTGTGTTGCGAGGTGTTGCTCCACTTCTTGAATGGCCCTTTTGGGCCCACAGAGGGTTCGAGTCAGAGATTGGGCTCGATCCCCTTGCACCAAACAAGCATGGGCTTTGATTCAGCGTGGTTTTTTTTGGAGGAACCTTGGGCTTTCAATCAGGTAATTCGTGGGGGGTTTGGATCTGGATTTGAACGCTTGGGAAGACCGCCAAACCACCGGGCTCCAAACCACCAATCAGGGAAGCCAGTTCAATTTTAAAATCCACCGAACCGGTGCCGAGCCGTCTGAGAAGAGACTAGCACTCGAGGTACATCTTCCGGCCCGAGCCCCAGAGAGCGAACGAGACTTCTGAATGGTCCAATTGAGCGAAACCACAAACACTTGGCTCAAACTATATTCTGAAATCAGAAATCAGTTGTGAAATACTGAAACTATATTCTGAAATCAGTGGAGCTCGGCACTATATTCTGAAATCTGTTGCGACACTTCGACACTTCCAGTTGTTTCAGTCTCCGGCAATTTGGAGCCTCTGGTTGTGGCATGGCATGCCGCCTCAGGCACGACGCAGGACTTAGGTGGAATTTGATCGTTTTGTTTGAAGATCCGATTGCAAACCAGCGTCTCCGTAAAGTTCGACCATTCCATGAGCGCGGTCCTCCAACTTGCCTCTTGCGCAGCCGCCTTTGTTCCTCCCAGGTTCATCTTGACCCGGCGGATGCAAAGTCAGATCGCGCCGCGCCCAGCGTCGCCAGTGGGCTCCAAACCGCCGGGCTCCAAAGCTGATGGCTATGGGCCCAATGGACAGCCTGGTGAATGTCCTTTTGCACTGCCCCCGAAAAAAATTGCCAGCTCCAAATGAAGCCCCCCCCCCCGCATATAATTTGTATGTGTATGTCTTGTTTGGGTTGTATTTCGGGTTTCCCACTTAAAACTACGAGGGCTTTCACCAAATCCCAAAGCGATCCTCGCGCATGGGAGTTCCAACACCTGTTTATTCACCATCCACTGCGATTCCAGTAGCCAGCTGTTTTCATTGCCAGGTCGTACATGGCTTGCCCTGGCTACGGCAACTGGAAGCACCTAAGACCTAAATGGGAATGTAGTTCTCAACATTGCCTCCTGGGAGACTCCGTGTGAGAAAAAAAAAGATCCGGAACGCGAGAGTCCGGGCATCGAAGCCCATGGCATGGGCTTCTCGGCGTTGAGGCAAAGCGCCAAGGAACAGCTTCCCCGCGAGCAAAGCAAAGGTTGGAGCCCAGCTCACATGGGCAACCAGTCTTGGTGATAAAAACAAAAAGTCAGGTCACACGGCAGCCATAGATTTGTAGTTTTTTGTTTTTTTTTGGCCCAAGGAAAACCCAATGGGTGTGTCTCAATTTCTCCAGATGCCCTAGCAACCAGTCCACCTGTTCAGATGTTGGCAACCTCCTGCTGGTGATTCTTTAACAGGTGAAATCTGGCCTTCAAATGGCAGCCAGTTGTTTTTAGCCCAAGGAAACCCAATGGGTATGTTTTAACACTGTTGAGATTCTCGAGGTCGGCACCGGCGGGAGCAACATCAAGTTCATCCGCCAGGATTCCGGGGCCAAGGCGAGAAAAAGCGCTCGGTGAGCGATCGATGAGGCGAGAGATGTTTGTCCGGTGAGCCAAGGTGATTTGGCTTGTTTGGTCTGGTTTGGCCTTGTTTTGTCTTGTTTGTTTCTTTTTTTGCGCAGATGCGCGTACTTGTTCGCAACTTCTGGATGGCAAGTGTCTTTTTGGGGTGTTTATGTTGTTGCAAGTTTCAGTTGTTGTCGCTCGGTCGCTTTTTTTGGCAGCTCGCCGGTGCTTTTTGAAATCAGCTCGGCGAGGTGTTCGTGGAGAATGAAAGCATCCTCGGGCATCGGGCAGGCCGCGGCTGTGTGCCGGTGTCCTTCTTGCTGTCTCTTCACGACATTTGCGGGTGGTGAAGCTCAAGCTAATGGGATATAATGGGATTAATGAACCCCTGCTGGAGAAAAGGGGGGGATTATCAGATGAATGAACCCCTGCTGGAGAAAAGGGGGGGGATTATCAGATGAATGAACCGCTGGTGGAGAAAAGGGGGGTATGAGGGGTCTTCCTTCAGGTGTCCCACGTGAAAGGGGGGACCCGTTAAATGACATGGAAAGGCAGATGTGAGGGGTGAAAAGTCAAGCATAATTCTCCCATCATGAGATAAGTTGCATTTAGCACCCCGCAACTCCATTTAAATGATATGGCCCCTTGGTATACCTTGATCTTCATGAAAAAGCGGGCCGTTGGCTGACTTTCTTTTTTCGACCAAGAGCAAATCAAGAAGGACCCTGTTTTCGCCGCCCTTTGGAAGACCAAAGATATGGTTGAATGCGGCCTCGCCTACAGCTTGCCCACACCAGACACCTCCGCAGGCAAAGTCATCGGCACGTGGGGAGCCTGGTCAGCGCACCTGTGCGAATGTGAGCCACGGTCGAAACCTGGGTGATGTTTTTTAGTGACAGCCTTTTTTATGGCTGATTCTTGTCGATGTTTAGTTATCTGTTTTTTTGGTGATGTTTAGTGGCTGATTCATGTCGATGCACGCAGATGCTCCGGGCTTTTGATTTGGGGGGGCTTCAGGCGGATTCATCGCCGATCCGATTGACCTCTGCAGGGCTGCAGTGCGTTTGACAATGCTAGATCTTCGAACCTCTCGGCGAATCCTCGATCGACAAACACGGGCGGCTCGTCTTTTTTTCGAGGCTACCCTTTCCTGATTGCTTTGAAATGGAAACCAAAAATTGAAGCGCCCATTGCGGGGGAAAAGGAAACCACGGGTTGAAACTGAAACGCCGAAGCCATTTTTTGGTTTGGGCCCGGCCGGGGTCCTCTTTCTTGACACCCACATGACGAACACAAACCGCCAAGCATGAACTAAGACCTGGACCTGCAAGAAGGGCACCAAAAAACCGGGTGTCCATTGGGATGGGCCAGGCTTTCCATATTGGCTATGTCGCTTGGTTTTCGATGAATCTTGCCTTTTTATTGGAGTGGGTTTAGCACCTCCATGTGTTGCGTGGCTATATGGGTTTTGGTTTTTTGGGAATTAATCATGGGTGATGAGCAGAGATTTCTCTTTTGGTTTTCTTTGGTCCGCAGGGCCTTCGAGTTCGATGCCGAGGTTAGGAACAACTTCCGACCCTTTTTGGGTCGGGTACCTGGAGACCAGACCCCCAGATGCTGAGCTTTTTTCGACGTCGGAGGCCCAACACGATTCTGGCGGCGCTGCGGCACGTCAACGAGCCATCGCCTTGGATCGGATCGATCGGGAGGGATCCTTCGGGACCCCCGTTTCGATCCTCAGAAGTGGCACTTTTTGGTGTGTCTCCCGAGAAGGAAAAATTGAAAAATAAGAAAAAACCGCCATGAAGAGAGTTTTGTCCCCCTTTTTGGAGGGGTTTTCTGGAGACGAAACGAGCCTTTTTTAGAGGAGGGGCTTGGGTTTGAGCAGGGGAAACCACCTGTGCTTGTTGGGAAGCCCTCTTATTAAAATACCCAAAGGAGGATGCCCCCAGGAAATATGGGGGGGGGGGGTTGTTGGTTTCCTTCGGACTTAAAAGATGGATGCCATTGGTTTCAGTCTGCCGCATTTGCCAGTGCCACCTGTTACATGACACCCAGGGTTCCAACTAGAATTAAACTTCAAAGAATGTACCAGTAGGTGGTATAATAGGTTCTTCCAGGGTTCTTTCAACTAAATTAAACTAGTTCCAACTAGAACAACTTCAAGGCGAGGGTTTTTTTTGTTAATCGATATGTGCAGTTGGGAGATGCGGCTTTCCGTGTGAGTTGATGCGTTGGCAAAAGGCACACCTGGTCATTTTCAGCCTGACTGCCTTTTGTTTCCAAGGTTTTCGTCTAACTTAGATACTGAGGGGTTTTGACGGTGGAGTTTCATTCATTTTTGCCGTGTCTCCTTTTGTGTCAGAAAGCAAAAAGCCGAAACTTGCTGGTGCTCAGCAGGGAATGAGGAAAGGACCCCTGGGTTCATTCCCACATTCCAGGAGCACCAGCAAGTTAACCCCCATCACCCTCCCCAACAGGAGGCAGAATATATCCCCTACTCAAAATACCCGCTTTTTTCAAGGTATTTTTGCTGGAAAACCTGGCTTTCCATGGTAAATACCTGCTTTTTGAGTAGTGGGGCGACATGATACCCTGCAAAAAGGGGTATTTGGAGTAGGGGGTATCCTGACCCGCGCGGAGAAGCTTCCTGGGACCGTCGCCGGCGGATTCGCGAGGTTTGTGCAGTGCGAGAGCGAGTTTGAGGCGCGACGCCTGCTCCTGGCAGAGCCCTAGGTCCCCCAGTAGTGCCCTTTCTCAGCCCTTGTTTGGTTGGGAGGGTTCCCCCACTAAAATAAACTGCAGAAAAAAGTTGGTACCCTCATTCTAACCTCTCTACTGGAGGACCTAGATCCGGTTTTCTCGGAGGCCTTCCCCAGGTCCCGTATGTGCGACCCAAACGCAGTGCACGGGAAACCCGGGGCTTCTTTGTTCCCCTTGTGTTGGTTCGACGACGGCGTTTCTTCTCTTTAAAGGACCCGAGCTTTTCAGGGCACGGCTTCTTTCTTAAGGCCTTGGGCCGAAAACATCACGCGATGCGACGGACATTCCGATGCACTGGGGGCACTGAGCCAGGATGAGTTCTACCACGGCTTTGCCCGTATCGTGAACTTCGCCGAGGCGACTGTGGCAGTCGGCGGAGGTCACCCTGCGAGCCATACTACCATGTGGGGGGGGGGGTTCACCATCCGGGTGCAAAAAACTGGGGGGGTGGGGTTTCACCATCCACGAGGGAAAAGGTAAAAAAGCTGGGGGGGGTGTTCACCGTCCATGGTGTCCAAGCTGCGGGTGCCTAAAGCGTGTTTAAAAAAATAAAAAGCATCGTCTTCGAGGTATGCCTTTCCCCGCCTCACCAGGCCCAGCAACGCGGCTGGGAGCCGCCCCCGGAGCCCAAGGAGCGGCCAAAGACATATTATATATATATATATAAAATATTGATATGCAAATATATATATATATATCAAGATATATATATATATATAATATATATTTTTTGATATATTTGTTGTATATTCTCAAAGCTGGCTGAACTCCCCAAGGATGCCTCACCCTCTCTGTCTCTCCCCACCACGCTCTCGTTGGCTTCCCACCTCAAAGCTCATCCACGCCCGAGCACCCGCCTGTCGGCCGCGGTAGGTCCTCATAGATTCACTGGCACAAGCGAAGGTGGTGCTTTCACACACCCTGAAGAATCTAATTCGCCTGTGCATCCCGTGCTGATTGCACTCCCCAAGCGTCAGACCCCAACATCATGACACTTGTGCTGATTGCTTCAGCCACTGCAATCGAGTTCTGGCACAGGATCGAGCTTTAAGGATTTCGGTCTCATCATGTAGGGAGCACCTTCCCTGCTTGAGGCATTCGCGGAATATGGTCCCATCCATCGGTTTCGTAAGAGCGTCAGCAAGTTGAGCTGCACTGTGTACCCATCTCAAACGGATCCCAGTTGCTAGATGCTCCTGAATCAGTTTAGCTTGAAGAAGGGTCCTGAACTCACCACACGATGGAGTAGCTGTCCGGGTTACGAGGTCATAGAGGAATTTACAGTCCGTGGCTGACACGGAGTCAAGGCGCTAGCAAAGGCTGGCGGCAGTTGGAACAATATTTGATCGACACAACGCCAGTTGCACTTTGCGTCTAGCAACCATGCCCCGCATAGTCGCACCCACGATAGGACGTCAAGGGCTCGGCTGAGGGCCATGGATTCGGCTGCCAAGGTTGATGTCGTTACCCAGCATGCCAAATTATGGGATTGACCATGCTTGGCTTACCCTTTTAAATTTCCTCATGAGTGGCCATGATCATCATCCCCTGGTGGGAATCACTGGTCTTTTCGGAGGCGAATGAGGCGTCTGAGAATGTAAAAAATCTCAGGTCACGAAAGGCGATCGGAGGAATCTGCAGGCACACTGCGGACGTTTGTTTAGCTTCATGAAGTAAAGGCGTTTGCGAGCTTGCTTGCCATGTCTGGTCGGGCATTGACTGCCGCGTATTGTAGACTACCTACTAACGCACGAAGCTGCTACTTTTCGGATTCATTGATGAGGCCGTAGGTTGTTGTCGCCGGCTTCTGTCGATGCTTGTGGGCTCAATTTCCTAAACATATTCACCTTGTCTAAGAGTAATCTTCCCATCAGGGCACTGCTCCAATTGGATTCCGGTGAACTTGAATGCCCCCTTCTTCTTACTGAAAAAGAGATTTGGAAGACTTGGTCTCCACCCGCAAACCATCATCGACATGCAGACCTATGTACCCATGGGCCTGTCCCTGTTCATTGAACAAGGCAAATACACTGTCAAACGGCGATACCTTGAAGGTCAGGGATTCAAGAAAACCTCGGATTTCCTTGTACCACAGATACGGAGCATCCACTCTAGCACCCAAGACCAATTCTAAACACAACCTAAGCTAGCCCGCAACTCTCCAAACCAATTCCAAGAACCCTAAACCTACCCCGAACCAACCTAAGTGCTAAGCGTGCTCTGAACGCAGCCCAATCAAACCCTAAAGCACTATAAGCCGACCCTGAAACCACGTTAAGCCCACACCAAGCCAAGCCTACTCCCAAAAGACAGCCTAAACCCACCCTAAGTCAAGCCAAAACCCACCCTAGACCAACTCCAAACCAATTCCGCCGAACCTAGGAGAACACCTTTCGTTTGCGGCAACTTGCAGGCCCATTCACCGGGCGCTTCTCCAAGAGGAGGAAGAAGAGGAGCCAATGACTTTTCCAAACACTCCAAGCAGTACCGCCAGTGAGGTGGAAGTGCAACGGGCTCTCAATGAGCTGAGGGCAGGGGTGCTGGCGTGGGTTGGGGTCAGCTTGCTTCTGCTTAAAACCTGTCTGGGTAGTACTACCCAATAATTGCAGATCTCGGCCGGCTTGAAGTTCATTCGCGCGCGCATCTCTTCTGGCAGTTCTATTCCCAACAGTCTCTGATCCTGCATGTTGCCTCTCAGGAATGCCGTTTTCACATCAAAGGATCGGAGATCCCATCTGTTATTCGAGATGAGTTGACATAGCAGCATCCGTGACAAGCGACTCATGGTGGGACTGTCTCTAGGAATTTCAGCAGCTTGCGGAACTACCAACCGGGCCTTAGCCTTTTTATCTGGGTGGCATTTTGTCCCTGACCATCTTGTACGGGTGTCCATGTCAGGCTCCACCGGCGCCGCATGACGTTCGCTGCAGGAATTCGGCTGCGTAGAATTCACGGTCTGAGTGTCAAGCCAGGAGTCAATCTCCGCATCCTTCGCCTTTTGAAACTGTTTCCTTTGATCGTCACCCCAACGCCAGGCGCGAGCCTGTGCTATCGGCGTTCGTGACTTCATCAGGTTTGAGGCCGGGGAACCTGGCTGTCAGGCGGGACTATCTGCGGCTCCGTGCAATAGTCAGCCAAAGCGTTGTTCGCTAACCTCGCAATTGGGCCAAGCAAGGGATTCATCAAAAGGCCTGAAATTGGGGATGGATGTTCCGATGAACGCAGGCATTGGTTGAAACGTGAGATCGAAAGCTTTAGGAGTTCAATCCCTAAAGGAGCTATAATGTTTTACGTTTCTCTGTCTTGCGCCGGAGGCTGCCCATGGATCTATGTGAACCAAATGAATCCTGCCGGCGCCAAGAAAATTGAGGGTCATGTCAAACAATTCCGAGCGCTGCTAAGAGGCCTCAAACGCATCCTTCGCGACGTGCACGAACACTGTGATTGCCTTTGAGCTTCCTAAAGCATGTCAAAAGAGCCTGGTGTCCGAAACTTTCATGGACCTCCGACACTTGCACCCGATCAGAATGCCAGCTTGCGCGACAGACTGGATGCCAAAGTGGACTGTCCATGTGTTCTTGCGTGCGCGTGTCCTTGTTCCTGTTGTCAAAGGAGAGTCTGGAGCCAACACGTTGCCTCCAAATCAAGATGCCAGGCGCACACGACGCCGTTGGCTCAAGCCCGGTCTCACAACACATGTTGCCGAGGCTTCAAAAGCAAACAAACATACACCACTGGTCAAGCACCTTATCTGTCAACTTGTTCCCCTTACAACCCTTCCCAAATGCATCCCGCTGTTCTTCCTGAGGACCATCCCTTTGTAGAGGGTTTCCTGTTGGTTTCTCCTTCAAGCCTGAAGGGTGTCCCGGGGCCTGTTTCAGTATGGATCCTCTGTTTCCGCCTGAAAGGCGCACCAACAAGGGCACCGCCCAAGAGGACACACCTGAGCAGCTGCAGGGCTGTGGGTGAGCTGCGTTCCGTGTGGGCCACTTGGATTCAATCGGCGACCGGTTTTTTGTGGGGCCCGGACATAATTGCCACATCTCGGGCCTTCATTTTGCAAACAACAACGTTGCCATGGTGCCTGAGGGAGGGCGCCTGGAAGATCAGCTTTTACTTGGACGGACCCCCGTCAGTGTCACCTTCCTCGCTATTTGTTCAAGAAGCGTTGGGCAAGTGACTGCTCAACTTTTCCAGCAGCTTCCGACCCTGCTGTGCATGGAGGCCGGCCAGAAGGGCCTCGTTTAATTTCATTGTTAAATGTATGTTTTGTTGTTTCTTTTGACTGTTTGCCTCTTTGTCCGTTTTTGTTTCTTTGCTTGCTTGCTTGCTCGCTGGCTCGTTTGCCTGTTGGTGTGTGTGTGTGTGTGCATGGTTGTTTCTTTGTTTGTTTTCTGTTTTCCTGTTTGTTTCCTTAGTTGCTTGCTGGGCTGGTTGTTTGTTTGCCTGTCTGTTTCGTTTGTTTATTTGTCTGCCTGTCTGCCTGTTGGCAAATTTGCTTGCTCGCCCGCCGGCTCGCTTGCTCGCTTGCTCGCTTGCTTGCTTGGTGGGTTGTTTGTTTGTTCTGTTTGTTTGTTGGTTGGTTTGTTTCTTCATGTATTTTGTCTGCTTGTGTCTTCACTTGTGTTTTGTTGGTGCTTGTTTTTCTTTCTCTGTTTGTATGCTTGTGTTGTTGTTTGTTTGTTCGATTGTTTGTTGGTTTGTTTTGTTTATTTGTTGGGTTGTTTGCCCTAACCCTCAACCTAAACCCCAAACCCCCTAAACCTAAACCCTAACAACCCCGCCTAAACCCTAAAACCCCTAAACCTAAACCTAAATTAGCCTAAACCTTAAAAACCCTAACCCTAAACCCTAAGAACCCTAAACCCGCCAGCACGATCATACAGCGTAATAAGACCTTGTGGGTGACACCTATGTTTTGTGAGTGTTTGGTTTGTTTGGTTCTTTATTTGTTGTCTGTTTCTTTACTTGCTTGGTTGGTTGGTTTGTTGGTTGACTGTTTGTTTGTTTGGTTGCTTGTTTGTTTCTTTGTTTGTTTGTTGTTGTTGTTTGTTTGTATATTTGCGTGCTTGTTCGGTTGTTGTGTGTGTGTGTGCGTGTGGGTGAACCATGCCTGGCACAACATGTGACAAGAGTGGGACTCTGCCCAGCGCGATGCAAGTTGCTGCGGCTCCCACTCTGCCAGGAATCCCAACAGACCATCACCCATAAACGGACATCCGGGATCCCCCCTACAAAGAGTTCAGCAAAACAGTCATCGTTCTGTTCAGCAACATTGGGTATTGGATCTCTATTTGGGTCCCTTGTTGTGCTTTCTTCAGGCCTCTCCAAGGGACCCTGCTTTGCTGACCTGCTGGATGAATCTTCTCCCGGTATGGACGTAGGCACGATTGCTGGACCCAGGTCTTGGAATTGCGCAACAGAAAGCATGTTTCTGTACTGACCGCCTAGTTTCCCCCGGTTGGTACACTCCACGGTGAGGTCTGGTTCGGTGCACAATGTTGTCGACCTTCACAAATGCTCTACGTGCACTTTCACGTTTGGCTAACTGCGCACGAAATTGGATTCTCTCGGCTGAGTCTTCTTCCGTGGCTGCCCCCCCCTCTCTGTCTCTCCCCGCCGCCACGCTCTCGTTGGCTTCCACCTCAAAGCTCATCCACGCCCGCCCACCCCTGAGTGTCGGCCGCGGTAGGTCCTCATAGATTCACTAGCACAAGCGAAGGTGGTGCTTTCACAATATATATATATATATGATACATACATGCTCGTCGAAATGGACCATGTCGGACCCCGGAAATGGTGGGGGTGTCCGTTCGGTCTGCCTTTAAGGTGAAATGGGTACCCAAAAGCAGGTAGACAAACGGGGGTTTGTCTTTACATCTTGGGGGACTTGTTGATACTTGTGTGGGATTTGGCTCACATTAGCAAAGAGGGTGAGGGGGGGTTGTCACGACGATTTGGGGGATTTCGTCACAATTGCGTGGGGGCCTTCATCGTTGAATTTGTGTATGTGCCATGGACAAAGCGCACTTTTGTACTGACGGGAAGTTACTTTGGTATCCGTCGTTTGGTGCTTTGAAAAGCGCAGTCGCATGCATTCGCTGGATATGTTTTTTTCTTCGCACTTTTCTTGGGGTGGACCCAAAAAGCGGCATCCAAATGCCTTGTCTTAATCATGACCTGTTGGTTTGAGCGGTTCAAGCATCACCTATCGTCACCTTTTGGTTTAAGCCATACTGGCCTTTGAGGCAGTTCAGAAAGTGCCTTTGGGTGTTACTTCCCTTCTTGTGGTTGAACTTCAAAGAACGCCTTTTGGTTATACAGGGCTCCTCAAAAGATACAATAAAGGGATACCACCATTTGCAAGGCAATGTTCAAGTGTATAATGTAAGGATCCCTGTTATACTTCCCTTGCGCGGTGGTTCAAGCGTCACTTGTTGGTTACAATTCCATTGTTTGTGTTTGGGTAGTTCCAACATCAGCGGTTGGTCGTCCTCGGGTTTCCGTATCCCACGTGAAGCCAATCTTCAGGAATTCAGACATGCTAAATCTGCTTCATTCACGGTTCTGCAAAAGGAATACTCGACAATCGTACCAACATCAATTCGCATCAACCGGCAAGACCGACAGTGGCCTACCCAAATCCCATGGCAGAGATTGTCCGCCCATATCAATCTGTCGTTGTCAGAGCGAAATGGGCTCGTCTCGAAAGAAGGGGACCTCTCAAACAGGTGGTTTCCCGTTGGCTTCCTTTTAAGCCCACCCCAAAAAGGGTACCGAGCCTCAAAACAAGCTACATTTGCCCAAGCCAGGGCAGCCGAGCTGCTTACCGAAGGGGGTTCCACACCGTGAGCTGAACAAATTGGCCGAGCCCCCGAAAAATGTGCGAATTGCGAATCCTCTAAACTTGGTGGCTCCCATCCGGTTCCTTCGCCTTTTAGCTTGGGGTTCAGTGGTTGGATTTCGATGTTCCCCACTAAAAGTGATTCACGTTTAGCAGATCTGAGGGCAGCCCAGAAAACGATGGAAAGTCCAGGAGGTCTTTGGGCCAGAAGATGTCTGAAATTCGATGTGTGCATTGTCAGGCTCCCCTTCAGTTTCCCCTTTTTTTGGTGAAAGCCCCTTTGGGTGTTCACTTCAACAAGACACACCCTTTGCTGTCAAGATACAGGGACCCCAGACAAGTTGTGGCGTTCTCTGCTTGGCTTCGCTTTAAAGAAACCCCCAAAAGGGTACCGAGCCGGTGAAGCTTCAGGACTTGGACAAGCCAGTGGCCAACCGACGCGGGGTACCGAGCTGATCTCAACGGGGCCCTGGTTCTGGCTCCCGGCTGGCTTCAATTGGTGGGGCGATGCTTGAGTTGTTCTTGCTAGGATGCTGGTTTCTGGCTTTGACGGGAAGTGCCACTTGCTTGAAACTGTTCAGTGATTGCTGGAAAGGGAAGTGCCACTTGTTCAAGGATAAATGGGTGTGCCTTTTCCCAGGGTCGCCTTTTGGATAGTTTGAAATGGGAATCAACTGCAAAACCGCCACCTTGGCGGGGGTCCTGCTTCCCTCATGGACACGGACTGGGGCCAGACTCATCCTGCTCATCGTTTCCACTTCCCAACCAAAGCTACTGCGACCCAAGTGGGTAAATTGACCTTTACATACCTGGGGTAGACTTAGGATACATTTTACATTTTACCAGTGACTCAAAGTGAAGCAAACAATAAGATTTACATTCTATAACTGGGCCTAGCTCTAATCATGATTCATGGGCGTGTCTTTGTTTTGGTTGGACCCCATGGAGTTTCCTACCCCATCCCACGCGACTCGGTTCGGTGCATGCTGAAACCAAAAGGCTTTGGTTGCGAATTGTGTTTGCGCAACCGGGCCACCAAAAGCAGGTTGTTTCAACAGCTGGTAGGACTTGCAGTTACGCCGCGTAGAAAGCAGTTACGGCGAGTCATTCTACCATTACGGCGAATTAGTTGCACGTCTCAACCTGGGGTGTTTTTTTTTGTTCTGCATTTGGGTTCCTTGGAATCTAAAAGGCGGAAAACAAGCAGAGAAAACGGACAGCAGTGTTTCGACAGCGCCTTCGCGCTCTGCCCAGGGGCTTCAGCCAGAGCCTGAGTCGACGGAAGCGTGGAAGCGAGAACGACCCCATGGGGCGTTCAATGGGGGGAGTGAGTTGGTTAAGGGGAAGCAACCCGGGAGATTCATGAACATTTTCGTTCAGGGTTGCTTTGAACGTAGCCAGATGTAACCAAATGTTATCATCCCACATGGACGAATCGTTCAGGGCGGATTCCATAAAAGCAATCTGGTGGATTCTTAGATTTGTTCCAGGGGATCTAAGTTTGACTCAAATGGTTGAGTGGCCTCCCTTCGGGTTCGTATGGGGGATTGTCATTCATGGGGAACACCAACCCAAAAGTGATCCGGAGTCCCTCGCTTTACTGGGACACCTGTAACGGCGGGCAACACTCCATCCTGCATCATGGGTTGACCGGACATGAATCCCCACCTAAATGTTGTCCGCCAAAAGGATCCCTTCTGGAGATTCACGCCCATGGAAACCACGAGGAAAGCATCGTCGTGCCTCTGGAACCTGGCAACAGAGAGGAAGCCCACGACGTGTTTGTTGCTTTTGGCATGTGTTTTTGGTTGTTGAATTGTTTCGCTGGTTGGCTGGTTTGCTGGTTGGTTGTTTGGTTGTTTTGTTGTTTGGTTGTTTGGTTTTTTGTTGTCTGGTTCTGTTCGTGTTATCTAGGTCCCCCACAGGTGCCCTTTCTCACCCCTTTTTGGGGGAGGGCACCCCTACTAAAATAGACTACAGAAAAAGGTTGGTACCCTTATTCTAACCTCTCTACTGGAGGACCTAATTATTTAGCGGCGGGTCAAAGAGCAAAGCTTCTTGCAGACATACCCGGGGCTGCAAGGAAGCGAACCTGAGTGGGGGGGGGCTTCTTTGGTTGTACAGGCAATTGGGATTGCTTGGAAGCAGCCCCGGGCTGTTGGAGAGGACGGAAAACCACCATTTGCGGGCTACAAAAGACACCCGTATGGCAGAAGGAATATTCTCGAAATTTGGAAAGTTCAGTGTCATCGAGGTGCCGCGTGATCGGCGCTTGAGTGTTTGCTTCAGGGCAAGGGGATGCTCACCCGCTCTGCCGCGTCTTTGAACGCCATGCCAAAGGCGCGGTGGGGTGGCGGGGGGGGGGAACGGGGGGACGGCGGCGGGCATGTCTCAAAATGGAGCATCCACAAAATGAATGGCAGTCCTCGAGTCACCAATTGACACGTCACCAAGAAGGATACCATGAGCAAAGTCACACCCAAGAGGGTATGGTTCTTAATTAAAGATGAGAGCCGCTTGGTTGAATGTATGAAAGTGGTTGAATGGCATGGACGCTGGCCGCTCCTTGGCTTTTCGAAATTTTCCTTTCTGAAAGCTGACTGTTTCCCTGCAGAAAGTGTAGCTGCTGAGAGGGGGGTGTTTGACCCACCCAAAGGGAGAGGGAGCTGGATGCGGGGTGGCGCTCGGCTGGGAGGCTGCTCACCACAAGACGGGTGACGCGCTCAGGACGGAGGTCTTCAGGCGAGCTTCCCAGCAATGAGTTGGAATGACCCCCAAGCTGAACCATCCAACTGGTGGTTTCCTCAAGAACACACAGCCAAGGGGTATCCCAATTGAGGACACGCCCATGTTCATCCATGCAACTGGTTTCCTGAACATGTAGCCGAGGAGTCTCTGAAACTCATTGCTGAGAGCCGGGGGGATGTCTGATGTCGGGACACGCCCATGTTCATCCAGAGGTATTCTAGCAAAGGAACCCAAACGCAGGTGAGCCACGTCCTCAAGAACCTGGGTAGATGATCCGGTTAGTAAGGGATACTCCCAACCATAAATAGCTGCGGCCGCCTTCTTAGATCTTACATGGTTCCGGGTACCCCCTTTAATAGCGGATTTTGATTACTCAGGTGACTCCCTCAAGGACATCGTGCCTCCGCCGCCTGCCCATGGCAAGGGCACAGGCGGGAGCTTCACTTTGGTGGGGGTTTGGGGGATATAAGCACTAGACAGAGGGAGGTATACCCAATTCCAGTGGGAAATGGGGCATGTGGCCACTTGGCCAGAAAGGAACCCCATCTTGTTCTTAGGGGTAGTGGTTCGGGGGGTACTGGAACACCTTCTCGAACGTTGTGTGGACACACTGGTTGTGTGCGCGTGCCATTTCGAAGTTTGACTTGATTTCCACCTCGGGCAGTCCGATGTTTTGCCGCTCCTTGTTTACTACTACTAGTACTGTTCACTAAAAAAGGGCGCGTTTCTCAGGTACCGAGCCTCAACAACCTCCACGCCATGCACCACCCTGCCCCCATGCCCCACTTCTCGCATCCAGCATCACACACAACTCACCCAACCACTCCAAAGCTTACCCCTATCTTAACTGACCCCATACCATGAGCCGTACCAACAGACGAGCGTGGAATCGTGGAAATGTTCAAGGTATCTAGCCACATTCCCTCTTGGAACCATGCGAAGTTGACAGACAAAACGAGCAAAGAGCTGCGCAAGTGCCGCAGATCTTGCAGAGGACCCGTCTCAACTGCAATTTGTTCCACTGAAAGGTACAGGCTTATTGGGGCCTTTGCTGTTCCAACCCAAACCTTGCGCAAGGTGCCCAGACTACCATCCCTTGCGCTTTTGGATATGGGGGTTGCTGGAAAGGTCCTTTACATGGGATAAGAAAACCAAAAGCATGATTTTTCCCACATGGGCAAAGTTACGCGTGGTCATTTGGGGGCCGAACGGAATACTGATCAACCCCCATATGTCCCGCGTAGAATTTGGAGAGTTCTCAACTGATTGAGCGCCTGGTGACCTCGTTTGCGATGTGATTGGCTCTCAGGGTGTGGCCTGGGTCGAACCACACGCCCATGGGGTCATATCGGCATATCGGGTACATCTGCTATGTACGCTGTGCCCCTCCTCAAAATCGCGGGCCCTCAAATGGGCGTTCCTTTTGGTTTCCCATTTGAAACCACGCCAAAAGGATGCCCTTCGTAAAATCCAGACCCAATCTCACTTCCTGAGTTCGTGGACTTTAAGCTTTTTGGGACGACCATGTTGGTGATAAATAAAAAGTTCAAACTTTTTGTTGGCCAACCCACTCGGGAAGTGAGCAGTGGACCAGGGATGTTCATTGCTTCCAAAAGACACACCGGGGATCCCAAAACGTGGGGCAGCCAGGCCGCTCGCCCGTGGGCGAGGACGGGCCTTCGGAAAAAGCCGGTGGGAAGAAGCTCGCTGGGTGAAAGGAGAGCAAGACGAGGCTCCAAGAGTTTGTGAGGCCATGTTCACAGGGAGCAAAATTCCTGATCTCTGGATATTGGCCTATCTCTGGGTACTTATGCAAATAGAATATATACACGTACACATGTGGTGTTTAGGTGTCACCTTTGTGGTAGGTAATGGTTTGCGGGGGCGTACGGAAAGCCTATTTGGTAGTAGGCTGGAACATGTTTAAAGAATGTGACGACGTTGAAAGAATGTGAGGAAGAAAGAGGGAGGGAGACAGAGGGAGGGAGGGAGAGCGAGTGGGAGGGAGGGCAGGACTGCCTCCCAGTTGAAGCAAGCCAACATGTAAGATCTTTGAGCTGGTCTGTCATTCCCAGGCTTGGACTTGTCGCAAGATAGGACAAGATAGGATGCCAGACGGTTTTGGAGGAATTGTCTGTCAGAGCCCAAACGGGTGCTGTCATTAAAGATACACCCAGTGAAGTCGACTTGTCGCAGTCCATACTTGCTGTCTCTCATGTGGGAATTTGACGCCCTTATCAGTAGGAAAGGTCGGGTTGTTCCAAGCAAGAAAGCACGATTGAACCAAAAAAAGGGGGGTTCCTTAACCCTTCGGAATCCCATGCATCCAGGGTGCCCACCAAAGGCACATTTGAAGGAGGGTTGATTAGAATGAACTGAACTGCCCCCATTTTGGACCCTGCCCTTCACCGTTTTTCCATTCAACGGGGGCGTTGCACAAAAGTCCGCGCCTGGATGGGCAGGAGGTCGAGAGCTTGGCGTCCGCCTCAGAGTTGCATGGATTTCCGGGGTCAGTTCGAGGCTTGGGACGAAGATGAAGCAGAGTCCCCCGAGTCTTGGAGTGAGAAACTCCTGGAGGTGTTTTTTTTTGTTTTTATTTTCTTTCTGGGAGTCCGAAAGCACTAGAACAAACAGATGTTTCGGAGTCCGCAATTCCAACAAACGATGAGACGAGCAGGACATGTTGACAAGAGGCAGCTGGCAGATTCCGCCCGGAGCTTGCTGGTGCGATTGGTCGGGAATGAGAATTGGAATGACCCCTTGAAAAAAAAAAAAATCGACTATGGTGTCCTTTCAGGAATCCCCAGATTCATTCCATTTCTCATTCGCTATGAATTTCGCACCAGCAAAAAACTTCCCTCCCGATGTCTTACGAGATTCCCCGATTTCGCATCAAGGGATTCCTGCTCAGATTCATTCCATGTCTCATTCCCCGATTTCACAGCACGATCGATTCCCCGATTCCTGTGGTTTCCTTTCTCAGACTTTTTTTCTCATTCCATTTCTCCTTCCCAAAAAAAGAAGCTCCCCAAAAAACACCCGGACAAAATGGAAGCGCCCAACAACACCCGGAAAAACATCGTTCCTTATCGACTTCGCGCCCAAAAGCTCCCCAGCAATTTCTCGGATTCCCCAGCGATCCGAAGCCATCTCCGAGGCGGGGGCCCTGGAGAGTTTCCCCGCGGGCACCGTGAAGCTGCAGCCTGGGGCCCCCGGTTTTTCGGCGTTTCGGGCGCGGATTCGTTTGCGGGCGCGTGCGTTTCGGGCTGGCTGACTTCGGGGGAAGGCGAATTGAAGGACTTGCTGAAATGAGTATGTTTTTTAACTCCCTGTTGCTTTGTTTTGTTTTTGTTTTTTTGTCTGGGGAATCAATGACTACTGGATTTTATATATTTGTTATGTTTTCCAAGGAGGTGTCCGAGCCATTTTTGGAACCCACCGGCAACTAAAGAGGAACCCTGCAAAGGTCGGAAGTTTCAGAGGAACCCACTCCAACTTGTTGGAACCCATTAGCAAATGGATCAACTTTTAGGTGAAAATCCAGTGACCCTGTTGAAACCAAGAAAGATGGGAGTGAGTTGCCCCAAGCGAATCGAGCCCATTTTGATCCATGGTTAGTCATGGCCCCAAAAGATGATCACCTTTTATTTCTGGGTCCGTTGGGAAACTGAGGGAAGTTGATCGGACAAATGGAGCTGCACTTCCCATTTCGGAGAAAATCCAGGGAAGAAAATTGGACACCTGGTTGATTCACCGGGTGCCTGGCCCATTTTACCATGGCGATTGTTTTTTTGCCCGGGCGCCCGCCCAACAAATCCGGTTGATCGATTCGGACTATATCAGGGGACAAGTGCTAGGGTTCCCCTTGGGTGGGCACAACATGAGGTTCCCGTACCTTGGATCGGATTGATGGTTCTAGGAAACCAACGACTGGTTTTACCGGAACTTGGCGGATCGGCGCTCAGTTTGGCCAGTGAAGGGCACCCTTAGATTCACACGTTCCGCATTCTTGCAAATTGATCTTCCAGCAGAGATGAGATGGATGAGGGAGAGTCTAAATCGCCACACAGATGTTCCAGATTGAATGAAAAAAACATAAGTTGCATGCACCATTATTCCGAATGTGCTGTGCGCCGTTGGTCTCGCATCAGGTGTTGGTTTCTTGGTGTCGCAGCCAAAAAGGCCAGTAGGTTCCCTGTCTTCCCCTTGCAACGGGTGCAATCTACTGGATGAGCAAGTCTTCTTGGTGATTTGGGCGGCTGGGAAAATCAAGTAGCCGTGGGTCAACACCAACGGGATCCCGTTTTCGGGTTGGTGCATTCACCGCCCATTTCAGGCCCTATTTTAGTGGTTGGATTGGTTGATGTTCACTGGGGGTATTTGGGTCTTGACCCCATGGCCAAGTTATCCCAAATCCACAGCTTGACGCCTTTTTCCGGGTCTCTGGCTTTGGTTCAGCCGGTCCGAGGTACTCCATGTGCTGCGAAGTGCCGGCCGCCTGCGCTCGGAGCCCACAGGTGTCACAGGTCTCCATGTGGTGCCCCGCAGGTAGCGGGGAGTTTTGGTACCCGAGGGGATGGATTGTTGCAAGCCTCATTTCATTTTTGCCCGTTTAGTGGGAACTCCCCACTTACCTGCAAAAAAGCAAAGAAATGATCTTGTGCTCCCCTTCCAAGGTCAAACCAAGATGGCAAAAAAAGCCCACGGCGCAGGTTCAATCAAAAGAAGCGGAGATCGGAGATGGTGTGATGTGTCTTGCGTTCTCAGCCCCAGGAAAGGGGAGCTGAACACCGGGGAACGTCCCGGGGTTGGAATTTTTGCTCAGGGATGAGTCGTGAAAAACGATTTGGTTGGTTGGAATAACTAGGCAACGTGAGGGGAGGCCCCGTACTTGCTGCACAATGTGCCTAAAGCAAAGGCAGTCTTCCACTTTGCAAGGGATGTGTCCCACATTTTGCTCGGGCTCCAGGCGATTGGTTTGAGGGGCAAGCCAAAGAGACCGAAAAGGATGTTTGTTCAGGTTGTTTGCAGCCCTCAAGCACTTACTGGTGCTCAGTAGGGAATGATCAAACCCTTGTAAACCATCCAACCGGTCTCCTTCATTCGGACATCCCCAAAAAGTTTGTTCCCTTTCTCATTACCGATTTCGCGCCAGCGAGAGAAACCGCACGAAACCAATGCCCAAATTTCCTGTTTCAATTGGGCTCAAAGAAAAAAGGACACACCCAATGCCCGGAGGGGTGCCCCTCCAGAAAAAAAGCAAAATCCGCAGGCCCAATGCCCCCAGGGGCTGCTGACACTGGCCCAGGTTGGGCTGCTGGTGGGCACTGGCGGCGAAGCGATCCGCCAAGCGGAGCAGGCGCGAACGAGCCCAGAAGCCCCGGAAGCCCCGGATGGCGGCGTGGGGTGGGGGAGGGGGCCAGGGGGGGGGAAGGTGGGAAGGGGGGGGGGAGGGGGAGGAGGGGGAGAGGGGGAGGAGGCGTGGCTTCTTGACCAAGAAATTGGCAGCCATTTGAGTTCCTCAAGAATTTGGTTGGCGGGCTTTGAGTTGGAACATCATTTGGTGAATCCATGTTCCAAAAAAGAAGCCGTTGTTTTTTTGGTCGCTGGTACAACCGCCGCAAGCAGCTGACCCAGTTGCGTCAATGGATGTGGCGTTGGCTTAGCGGATGATGGTGTCCAAGCGACATCTTGAAGGATTGCATTCTCCCTGGAGCGTTGCTGTGAGTAATGTCGGTGACTGTTTTGTCTTCTTCCCCTGCTTCTTCCTGCTTCCCTTGCTTCTCTTGAATCTCTTGCTTGCGTTTGCTTGCTTGCTTTCTTTCTTACTTGCTTCATTGCTTTGCCTCACTTCCTGAGTTCATGAACTTTAAACTTTTTGGGAAGACCATTTTAGTGGTAAATGTAAAGTTTGGACCTTTTTTTGGGCCATCCACTCAGCCAGTGAGTTGCTTATTTCGCCCATTTGCGTGGTTGCTGATGTTGCTCGTATACGGGTCCCTAGTTTGAGCCAGGCCTCCGGCGCCAAGATTGAGATCGAGAGGTCCAGTCGAGGAGAGAGCAGGAGCGCGCTGGGGAAGGTGCAAGCTTTTGCGGGGTGGATTCAAAGGGAAACCACCCCATTGATATGTGGTGTTTTTTTTGAGGGAAAGCCCAGGGGTGAGCTCTAAACTACCAAGAACCGGGTGAGGCCCAAATTTCCACTGTCCTCGTGGGGGAACAAGTCATTTGGACCTTGAGCCTTTTTGTTTGATTTGGTAGCCTTTTGGGGCCACTGCCTTTGCCCCCCCAGCCAATCGACCGAGCCCGGTTGGCTTACCATTCTGACAGAGATCCCTGCAGCGGTGGAAATGGCCACATGGGTGTCTCCCAAAATAATAGTGACCCCCCCCAACAAAAAAACGGATGTGTCTTCTGGTGTCTGTTTAAAACAAGCCCAAACAAGGTTCCAACTCAAAGAAAGACGAGCTACTCATGCGCGCGAGGACAATGACTCTTGTTGGCCGGCCACTCGGGTTGCGCTCGGCTGGTTGATTCGATGCGAAGGGCACGTCCGACGCCGGGAGTCGCGAACGAGATCTGGGAAGAACCGCAATGCGGGTGGTTCTTGTCACATGGCATGTTCCCATGTTTGGACAGCTAACGCTTTCCTTATTCGCGCGGTTTTCCTTATTCCTGTTTTTGGCCGGGGGGGGTCTGGGGGGGGTGTTTCAAATTGGAATTGAAAGGGAAACCCGTCGCCTTTTCATTTTCTTGTCAGGATACACAGCCAAGTGAGTCACCGGGGCTGAGGCACACTGCTGAACATCTACGTGGCGCATGCCATTATGATGTCCAGGCGAAGGGGTCTTGGGCCCGGTTTGAGCTGTTTCCACCAGGGTCACTGGGCCGGGTTCGACCAGAACTTTGAAGAAACAGGTTTTGCTTTTTTTGGCTGCTGCAAGGCATGTGGGTATTCAGAAACGGAGTTGCATCGCTCCAAACAGCTTTCGGTGTGGCGTTTGCTTGGTGGTGACTTTGGGCAGTTCCCAGTTTGGGTACAAAAATCCGTTCGGTAGAAGCCCAATGAACTGAGCAGCGGCGAGAGATCCAAAGAACCGCAGACGCCGCAGACCCTTTGCTTCTGATATGGCTGTTTTTTTGTTTTGCTTTTTTTGTGTTGGTTGAGTTGATGCCCCTTTTTGGAGTGGGTTTAAAGGAAAAACCAGAAGGAACAATTTTTGGGGTAACGCCCATGTGTAGGCAGATTCCTGTTGCCAAGGGCTCAGGTTCCTTCTGCCCTTCCGGATCTTCGCCCTTTTTTTCCCCTGGAGCTTGGACCAACACGACAAGATCCGTATTTCAGGAACCTCCAGGTCCCATGGTTGCGCACTGGATGGGCGTTTGTGGTTTCTTGAAACTCAAGCTTATACCAAAAAAACCCATCGATTCCATGGAAGCTCCCAAAACCCCCTTGAAAAGACTTGGCGACCCATATACAGTGGCCTTCTGGGAGCTTCCATGTCAGTCTGAGGGAGACTATCCTCGGCCTTGTCTTTCTTAACTTTTCGGGGTCCCCGGATTTGGAGACGGGCACGTGCAGGCAGCTTTCTCCCAGCGTCCCCAATGTTGCCCGCAGTCACTCTGAGACAATTTGGCTGTGAGGATACATGTTACATGTTGAAGTGAAACAGATAATATATAGCACATGTCTATGCAGCATATGCGCACATTGTACCGCACTACATTGCATTCCGTTGCACAGCAGTAGGGACATTTGCTAATGCGTTTGCAAGTCCTAGGTCCTAGATCCTATCATATTCGGTGACTTTGACTGGGGGTTTTTAGGGCCGGGAAATCGAAAACACGAGAAAAAACTCAAGCCCTATGGCCCATCGGTTTGTCGGAGCCAGGCAGTCGGATATGACCCCCCCCCCATGTCTGATGTTCACAAAAGGTTCCAACCAATTCAGCTTCAAAATGGTGGTTGCCTCCAAATGAGGCAACCTCAAAAGGGATATAGTCTCTTAAGCACCCCAAAACCCCAACACATGGTGTCTCCACAGAAACCCGCAGAAACCCAAACGCAGTTCCCAGGCAGTTCAGTTTGTGTCTCTCGTTCCAGGTTGCAAAGCCTCGAGGACCGGCAATTCGCGTCGTTTGGGTTCGCGGCTTGAGCGCTGAACATGCGAGGTTCAGTCATGTTGTGTTGGTGTTGTTCAAATGCTTCGGAGAAAAGACCTTGGTAGCTGCAGATGTGTTGACCTCATGGAAAATCTTAGGAAGTCGACCTTTCCAGCTGAACACATTGTTGCGCGGGCATGTCACTTGCAGCCGCTGGTTGCGTCCGCTGGTGCTGCTTCCCTTTTGAGTGATCCAAAAGCGAACCCCGACAGCTCGCAGCTTGGAGTTCCGAGAAGCTGTGACGAAATCGTTGGCGGGGTGCGTTCGGTTTCAGCGATGGTTCGTGTCAAGGAGCACCTGCACACCCTCCAATCATGGAAGCTGACGATCGGAGGGTGTTGGACAACCTTCCTTTTGGGAAAGCCCACAAAGTGCACTGCCCATGATTGGAGGGAGGGTATCACTTTGAGCAATTCGATGGAGGTTCCTGACTGGACAGTGAAGTTTGGTTCAGTGCTCTGCCGGCGCTGCAAACAAACCGCAAACGGCATGAAGAACGCGAGCGTTTTAAGATAGCTGTCAGGTCGTCAAACACGGTGGCACGTGTGGGCGACCCGTTCCCTTGTTGGTTACCTACCTGGTTTGTTCCCCTACCATCCTTTGGTTCCAAAACGCTGGTTCCCTCCCCCCCCCCCCCGGCCCCCCCCGCAAAAAAAAAAAAACGAAACGAAACACACACACACACACACACAATGGAAAAGAGACGCCCAACTCATTTTGTTGGTTCTTTTCCTTACCGCTTTCCGCCCGTAGGCTGGGCCCCAGGTCAGCCCTCCCCACGTCGCCGCGTCGCTCGCTCAGAGCTCGAGGACCCCGAGGAGCCAGAGCCGCTGACGCGGGCGGCGGCCTATGGGGCGCGGGAGGATCTGGAGGAGACGCGGGCGGTGGAGGTCCAGGCGGGAGGTCCAGGCGGAATGTCCCCCCCCCTTCTCGATCCTTTGGTTTGGGGTGGTAGAGAAAGGCCCGACAAAGAGGTGTGTCCCCCCCCCCTCCTCCCTTTTTCTTGGGTTTCGGAAGGAGGGTGGTCGAAAAAATGCACATATGAGCACCCCACAAGGATCGCACTTGATGGTGCAAGTGCTTTGTTGATGTTGGAAAACACTCAAATGCGTCTTTGGTCGCTGGTTCGACTCGCGTGAGGAGCAGGAGGAGCAAGATCCGGCAGACGAGGAGCCTCTTTTCATGTCGGAGCATTTGGAGCCAGAGCATCTGGAGCCGCAGCATCTGGAGCCAGAGCATCTGGAGCCAGAACATCTGGAGCCAGAGCATCTGGAGCAAGACCATTTGGACGAGGAGGATATGGAGGCGGCCGCGACGGTTCATATGGCCATGGTTCAAAACCAATGGTACCATGTTCACTGGGGGTACGGGGTTTTGACCCACTAGCATATGGCCATGTTTTGTGATGGTTACCACTCAAATTTCACTAGACATCCATACTCATGTCAACGTCTCAAACCAGAAGTCATGTTGGGGCTGCCCTTGCAGCTTGTGCACTTGCATGCATTCCCCAGTTTCCAAGGCGCCCGCAATGACCAAGGACTCCACGTGCTTGGCGAGTCTGCAAGCCACCCAACCACCCCACGGAGTTCTCGACTGGGGCCCCGTTTGGAAGAGCCGGGTCGAGCAGAGTCGAGTCAGGCGGAGAGTGATGAGGAGCCCGGGGCCCCGGCAGGCGTTGCGTGGTTTTGGGTTCCTTCCCAACGGGCCGATTTTTTGAATGTGAGATCCAGGCCCACTGCGATGTTTGTTTTGGAAGCCTCCTAAAGAATTTTTCCAGGCTGCATTTTCCTCAAATTTTGAAGGGGACGCCGGACACCTGACGCTTTCCATGAGCCACCAAACTTGGGAAAGCCCCGTTTCGCTTCGCTTCGTGGGCCTGGCGCCCGAAAGCACAGACATGTCCTCAGCGTCGCGCGCTTTCCGAAGGGAAGCCGGGACAAGGCAAGGAACCCCTTTGCGAACCAGCCTTGGAGTTGGGGTTTCAGTCTGCGGCTTTCTTCAAAATCCCCTTTCTGGGTGGTAAGATGGCAAATTTTTGGGTCCCTCTAAGTGCTGGCTTTCGGTGGGAACCACACCAACAGTAAACTTCAGGGCTGATGAAAGTGCAGCTGTAAGAATGAATGAAGCTGTAGGGCCTGTAGTGGGATGTTCAACCCACTGAGTCAGTTCTGACCATAGTGAGATGTTCGGGGGGGGGGGGGCCAGAACCATGCCCCCTGGTTATAAGATCGATCAGATGTATGGGACCCAGAACCACTCGCCGAGTCCCGATGTGATCCGTGAGCAGATCGCCAAGCTCGAGGACAGATTGACAACTTTTGAAGCCGCTGCTTCATCGGGAGCTCCAGGAAACTCCGCAATTTCAGGGCTGAAGTCCTACTCAGTTGCTCAGTGGCACCCTTTTTCCCCTTCTTTTGTGTGGCTGCCCCACTAAAAATGATCTTCCCCAAAAAGGGTTTCCTTTTTTCCCAGGGTTACTGAACAACTATGAGTTTTGGGAAGAGGCACCGGAATCCATGCGCTTCCCAGCTTCCAGGGTTCCCCTTGTGCCGGGCTGGGTCCATTTGTTGCAGAGATGTTGCTTCACTTGAGAGCCTGGAAGGAGAAGCTGGCGAGAGCTCTTGCCCGGCGTGCTGGGAAGGAGTAGCCGGACCGATGCGCGCTTTCAGAAGGAGATTCGCTTGAAGACATGGACTTGTAAGTCCGTCTCCCAGCTAGGTGCCAACTTTTACCGTTTCTTTTTTGGTTGGGAGGGTCCCCTACTGAAATAGACTACAGGAACAAGGGTACCCTTATTCTAACCTCTCTACTGGAGGACCTAGACATAGAGTTGCAAGTGGGAAGTGTAGAAACTCTTGAAACGTGATTGGACGTAAATCCCATATCTGCCCAAAGATCCTCGATTCACATTTCATGTCACATATATGCCTATACGTGATTCTTATTTTATTTGATATATATTTTTCATATACGTTTCAAATATGGCGTACAACAAGTAGGCCGTTATGACTTGAGATACAGGGAAATTGTGATAATAATTGATGTTGATGTTGCGCAATATTGGGTGATGGTTCGCAACATCGGATTATCATTATTATCGTGGTGTTCTTTATTAGCAAATATAGTGACGGTAGACCCGACTTAAGATATAGGGCACTTATTTATCATTATCATCACCATTATCGAAAAGAAAAAAATCAAGATATAATAGGAATTATACACATTTTATATTTAATTTCTTAATCGGTTTTGTTAAATGGAAATGATCTATATACAATAATTATATTTAGGATATTGGATTGATATATAGGAAATATAGAAGAATCACTATTATTATGATTCTTGATAATGTTGTGAATATATAATAGTATGTTTGATATTGGAATTAATTTATATTATTGAATTATATATTTTTAATAGGTTATTATATGTTTAATTATTATAAGTATATATATATTAATATAATTTGATTTGATACAAAGGAAATATAGAATATTTATTATATAATAATGATTATTGAGATATTATAAGGTTTATTATTATTGTATTCCGAATTAATTTTGTAAGGGATATAAATGATTATTCTTGTAATTGGTTGTGGTTTGGATGTTTTGTGATAATTATTAATTATTGTTATGTTGATTTGATATAATATATTGATAATAATTGGTTTTGGGTGTTAATTTGTAGTATTAGAATTCTTATTATTAGTATAATATTTTTGAAAATATATGATTTAAATTATTTAATTTGAAAAATATTATATATATAAATTTAAATAATAAAATATAATAATATTAAATATTTTTTTTTTATAAATATAAATATGGTTTTTTATATTTAATTAATAAAAAAAAAATAATTAATATTAATAATTGCCATAAATATATTATTATTCTAAATCTTTAATATTATTAAAAATCATTATTAAAAATTATTACTAATAATTATAATTATATTGGAATTTATAATTTATATTATTGTAATTAGATTTATTTTTATATAAATTGGTATGGTTTTGAGATTGTATTTCTTATATATTGGTAAGTCTTTGTGGTGGTATTTTGGTCGAATTGTAGTGTTTATGGTGAACGATTATGTTTGTGGTGATTGATTTTTTTTTATGATATAATTTGTCGCCTTTTCGCATGATTTGAAAGATCCCGAAATTTCGGGGGGTTGTGCATAATTTTTTTTTAGAATTCCTAGACTATAATTTGATTAATTTTTCGCCAATTTTAGTTTATTTCTGGCGATATAATATATAGATTTTTTTATAAATCGCTTTGGTCTCGAGGTTATATTTTTTATGCACCGATAAATCGTTATGGTGATTTTCCGGCCGCATCGTAGTGTTAGCGTTCTCCGTAGCACAAGTGCCCGCCTCTTCGCGCGGCCCGGAAGGTCGCGAAATGTTACCGAAATTTTAGGAGATTTTTAATAATTTTGCTTAGAGTTGCCGTGGCATAATTCGGTTAAATGTTCTCGAAAGTTGGTTGTTTCCGACGACGCGGTTCTTAGGTTTCCGGATATTACTCCCGAAAATTTCTTTAAAATTTGGTGGCTTTCCGAAAAAATAGCGAAGAAATTCGGGCATTTATCCGAATCGAAATTTCTCGAAAATTTCGTGTCTATATGTCCATATCTATCTATTTCGTAATCTCTATTTTTCTTTATCTATCTTTGTATATCTCTGTATATCCCAATTTGTTTCTTTTTGGTGTTTGTGCCTCTCTATTTGTATCTGTCTATATGTGTTTCTCTGTTTCTTAGTTTGTCTCTGTTTATCTCTATATATCTGTGGTCTTTTTGTGTTTCTAAGTATTTTCGTGTATCCGTGTTTATCTATTTGGTAATGTCTGTCTATGTTTATCTCTATTTTTATTTTTTGTCTGTTTATGTTTATTTCTGCGAGTTGATTCATAGAGATGGCATATTTCCGTGTTGCCGCATGTCGCATCTCCCTCTATTAAGCTCCATTTTCTTCCTTTCATTCTATCTTTCTTTTCGTTCCTAATTGTTTCTACTATTGTTCTTGTGTATTTGTTTGCCTGCCTCCCTCTTTCGTTCTTTCTCTCTTTTTCTTTTTCTTTCTCTTTGTCTTTCTCTCTCTCTCTCTCTCTTTCTGGGTTTCTTTCTTGCCCACAGGATAAGGGATAGCTTGCCTAGGTCCTATTACGGTATCGACTAGTCTCTCCCGGAGCATCCACCTCGAATATCTCCATTAACAATATCTCTTCCTACCATAAATCTCTCTCTCCTTCTCTTTTTTTTTCTTTCTCTCTCTTTTATTCTCTTTCTCTCTTTTTCTCTATTTTTTCCGTTTTTTCTTTATTTTAATTCTCTCTTTTTCTCTTTATACTCTTTCTTTTTTATTTATGGTATTTTATTTTCTAATCTATTTCTTTTTCTCTCTATCTTTTTATGTTTTTTATTTGTTTTGTTTCTTTCTTTAATTTTTCCTTTTTGTTCTTTCTTTTTTTTTAATATTATCATTAATACAATTAACAAATTGGTTTATTTATAATATATTAAATAAAATATATCAATTTAATTAGAATATAAATATAATTTCAAAGCCATATACAAATTCCTCAAATAAAAGTAATTTTAATATATAATATAAAAAACAATAAATATTTATAATAAATATAATTACTATATATATATATATAAATTCAATAAATAATACCTCAAAAAAAGAATTTAAATAACCTATTATAATAAAGAATTCAAATATTTATTAATTGCAATTAATAATAATATAATTAGCCGAATAACAAAATAATAATTATTAATAAAGAATTAATTAATTATAAAAAAAATATAAAATAATAATCCTATAATATAAATTAAGATCCAATATTAATAATATTCATTATTATTATTTTATATCCACCATATATCAAATCAAAATAATCACAAATATTAAATATCAAAATATTTAATTATTCTTATGTTTTTCCAATATCAACAATATACAATTATAAAAATCATAATTATTTATTCCCATATCTCAATTCAATCCTATAACAAATTTACTAATAATTATCCCAAAACACCAATTATTAACAATTAAAAATCAAATATAAAATTAAAATATATATTTTAATTCCTACAAATATGGTGTTCTTCATATTATTAAATACAATAATATTTCAAAAAAAACAAAACATTTACTAATAACTAAAATATATAAAACACTCTACATTTATTTACATAGTATAATAAAAATAAGACATATTAAAATATTTTTTTAAAACATATATAAAACTTAAAAACTAATTATATTAAATTTAATAAGGATTCTTATGTTATACACCTGGACATTGCCTTATAAATGGTGGTGGCCATTTATTTTGATGGAAAAAGCCACGTTTCAAATGGGCAAAATGTATCCCTTAAGGAGCCCTGCTTAATTTAAGATATAAAGACAAACAAATGTGGCGGCCATATGGCCAAGGGTCAAAAGCCAAATTTCGTCCATCAACCAATCCAACCACTAAAATAGGTTCTAAAATGGGTGGTGAATTCACCTACCCCAAAATGGGATCCCATTGGTGTTGACCCGGTGGGTGTTTGCATGTGCATGCCAGCGCTACGTAGTCGCTATCATCCAGCAAGGCGGCAGATTCCATTTTGTGCCTCTTGGAAGCTGTCGCTGCCAGCGCAGTCGACGGGATGTTACAATGATTTGCTGGTGAGTCCTTCACCAAAAGCCTGGCCAAATGACCATCCAGCATATCAGCGGCCGGCTTTTTCCGGCAAGGGAACTTGTAAAAAGGTGGGTCTCACGAGGTTTGGGGTTCTAGCCAGCAAGCCAAAAAACCCACTGATCAACGTGATCCGGGCTGAGCCAACGGTTTTCTCGGGCTCGGCACCGGTTGGGATACTGGAAAAGGGGAGGGGGGTGAAATTGGGGGGGTTGAAAGCGAGCCTTTGTCGCACGACTGCACAAGCCACCCTGAATTTTTTGGGTACTTCACACCAAAAATCGCAAGCCCGCGGTGGGCGGTTTCCACGTTCGCCACGCCGCCTCAAAACCGAAGCGGCTCGTCAAGTCGCATCGGCGACCGGTGCGGGGGGCATCGTCTCTTTGGAATCCTTGGACTTGGCGGATCTCGTTGAGATACGCCGAGCCCTACGAGGCTCACCTCAGTGCGCGGAATTGGAGCCGACTGGTTTGAACCCGACCCCAAAAAAGCAAAAAACGCGGTCCTGGCAAGTCTGAATAGTCCCACCCAACAAATTGAGTCTAGCTCTAAGCAGTCTAAACCACCTTTCCATCAGTCCATCCAGTCTCGGCTCAACATTGAAGCCTTCGGCAAGTCCGGGAAAACCGAAACTTGCGCCACTGACCATGCTGCACGCAATTTAATTAAACAAAATGAAAAAACATGAAAAGAGAGAAGGGAAGAAACCAAAAACCGAGCGCCCGTCCCAAGGCTTCCAGCGAGCGGCCGAAGCTCGCCTGGGATCGGTCCATGTACATTGCCTGGAAGGCGCCCACCGAGGGCCCCGAGGGCATCCGCGCCTCGGAGCTTCCGCTTCGGCTCGCTTCGGCGCTTCCGCTTCGGACGGGGGGACGGGGGGCCGCCCAAGGTGGGCAGAGGGCGGAGGGATTTTTTCGTCTTCTTCCCCCGAAGATGTCAGAGCCAAAGGAAACGCGTCTTAGACGGAAGAAGGGATGTGGGCCTTTTGGTGTGAGGGCATCCAAACAAAGATAGACTGGTTTTGGTGGAGTTCTGTAAAATAGGGGTGAAGGGCTCCCTTCTTCTTCCCCCGAAAGACATGTCATAGTTAAAGGAGATTGGCGGAAAAAAGAGAGAACAAAACGGCCTTTCAGGAGATAGGGAAGCCTGTCCTGGCGCATGACTCTTGGGTGGGTGAAACAAATAGCGAAATGCTGCGAATGTGCGAAGTTGTACCCAGTGTGTTGTGGAGCTTCTTTCACAAAAGCAACACAAAAAACACTCATTTGGAAGAACATCGGGGGGATCCCTGTTCCACAATAACTCATCATAATATGATCTCATCCTCAGTTGCTCCTTAAGACTTTTTGACGGTGCGTTGATACGCTGCGCTCCGAAAGGCGTCAACTGAGGCAAAAAAAACCGGCCGTGCCTCAGTCTTCCAAAAGGAGTCTGCGCACCAAGCCCACGTTTGGGATTGTACATGAATGAGGTGCATCCAAAGTTCCTGTTCCTTTGCCAGCCTTTCCAAGGGACAAGCCTACGCAAATCAATCCACACGTAGCGCGTTGATTTTGCATCCAAGTCCTGTCAACACCAAGGTGTCAACATGTTGACCATGCCACAACGCAAGCTCCCACAGCCCTTTCTGTTTTTGACCACCCACATGAGCCACGGACTAAGTGTGGAAGGCAAACCAAAAACTTCTGACACAACACATGGAGTGCATCTCCTATTTGGCTGACTGCTAAGAATCCGCTAATTGTAAACGCTTCGCGTTGCCCGCCTCGGCCCAGCCTAGTTTGAGGGAAGGGTCAGGAACACCGAAATCCAGTGTTGGGAAGGTCCGAATACCTGAAGCTGGCTCCAGACAAGTCAGACAAGCCGGCCTCGCCTGGTTGGGCTGGGCCACAGGCTAGTCTCAGACACATCAGATAAGCCTGCGCTGGGCCTGAAGCTAGTCTCGGGCAGCTTGGCTGGACCTTGCTTGCGTGGGTTGTTGGTTGAGCCTGAAGCTAGTTTACGGCGGGCTGGGCAGCCGCACTGAGGGGGCTGGGCTATGGCTGGGCTGGGCCTGAGGCCAGTTTCAGACACGTCAGACAGGCCTGGCCAGCAGGCGGACTGGGCTGGGCTAGACGCTAGTTGAGCCCAGGCTGGTGAGGCCCAGTCTCGGCGCTAGATAGGCTGAGGCCTGCAAGTCTCAAACAGGGTGGGCTTGGGTGGGGTTGGCTTAGGCGGGTTGCTGGTTGGGCTGGGCCTGAAGCTAGTCTCAGCCACAAGGCTGCGAAGCCATGGGTGGGTAGCTGGCTGCTGGGCAGCCGGACTACGCTGTTGGTTGCGCCTGGAACTTCGGCTGGGCGGGCTGGGCTGAGCTGTGCTTGGGCGGGTCGTGGATGGGCTGAGGCTGGGTAGCGAGTTGCTGGCTGGGCTGGGCCTGAGGCCAGTCGCAGACATGTAAGACACGCCAGCAGGCGGCGGGCTGAGGGACTGGGCCTGAGGCTAGCATACCTTAGACTGCGCCAAAGGGGCCTGGTGAGACCAGTCTCAGACACGTGAGACTGGTCGTTGGCCTGAGGCCAGTCTCAGACACGTTCGACAAACCTGATCTTGGCACGCTGGGCTGAGCCTGCTGGTGGGCTGGGAGCTGGGGGGCCGGTAGTGGCTGGCATGCCCTGAGATGCGCCGGGGCCTGGGCTGGGCAGGCTTTGGGCTGGGCCTGACGAAGCCATGGGTGGGTCGCTGGCTGCCGGGCAGCCGGACTACGCTGCTGGTTGCGCCTGGAACTTGGGCTGGGCGGGCTGGTGCTGAGCTGTGCTTGGGCGGGTTGCTGGATGGGCAAGGCCTGTTTCATACACACTTGGGCCGAGGCTGGGTGGCAAGTTGCTGGCTGGGCTGGGCCTGAGGCCAGTCGCAGACACGTAAGACACGCCAGCAGGCGGGCTGAGGGACTGGGCCTGAGGCTAGTCTCAGGCTGGCATACTTTCAGACTGCGCCGAAGGGGCTGGGCCTGCTGGATGACTTGGGGCCAGACGCGAGCAGGAGGTCAAGGCCTGGCCAGCCTGGGCTGAGTTGCTTGGGCAGCCGGACTGAGGGGGTCGTTGGCTTGAGGCCAGTCTCAGACACGTTAGACAAACCTGACCTTGGCACGCTGGGCTGAGCCTGCTGGTGGGCTGGGAGCCTAGTGGCTGGCATGCTCTGAGATGCGCCGGGGCCTGGGCTGGGCAGGCTGGGCTGGGCTTGCTGGATGACTTGGGGCCGTGCTTGGGCTAGGCCTGGGCTGGGCTGACAGGCCTGGCCAGCAGGCGGGTTGCTGGTTGGGCTGGGCCTGAGCCTAGTCTCAGACACGTCAGACAGGCCTGGCCACCAGGAGGTCATGCTTTTCAGGACAAAAAAGCATTTTTTTAGTGATTTTCGCAATTGTCAGCACATTTTCGACAAAAATGGACCCATGGAGCTGGACGCCGACGAACCCCGAAAATTTCAAGGCCCGCCGGACAGGATTTTGGGCCAGCCGACATGGGTTGGGGGGGGCGGCCCGGCAAAATTTTGGTTGGGGAGGGGGTTGGGGGAGGGGAAAAGCGAAGATTCTCTTTGGAGAAGAGATCTGAGCGCCCTTGGCCCCTTTGGGGCCGAGGCGAATACCAAAGTTCAAAGCTGGCTTCAGACATTGAGCCGAGCCTTCCTCAAGTCGTCGCCCTTCCAGGAATTTTGCCCACGGTATCCTCCCTCGAAAGCGTTGTTTGTTCTCCTCCCCCACCTTTTTTTATGTTTTTGTTTGTTGGTGTTTTTTGTTTGTTTGGTTTTTCGGTGTTTTTTGGTGTTTGTTTGGTTCTTTGTTGTTTTCTGGGGTTGACTTACAGGTTTTCAAGGGAGTGCCCCTTTGGCCTCTCCCCATCCATTCGCCCCGCCCCTCCCCTCAAGATCCTTCCCGGCCGCGGTGCGAGCCGCCCCTTGGGCCACTCCTCCGCTTTCCGGTGGAGCAGAGCCTCCGGAGCGATACCCCACGAGCGGACTGAAACCTCCTGGCTTTCTGTGTTTTTTGGGGTAACCTGTTCTAAGGTGGTGTCTTTTTGGTGATTTGTTGCAAGGTGGGTTAAAAGTGTTTTTTTGTTTTTGTTTCTTTTTTGGGGTCATTTGGCGGTGGCTCAAAAAAGCGTACCGAAAATGGAACCCCCTGATACATGGAACCAAAGACCAAAACCTGCGGTCCAATTCCTGGTGGTTTTATTTTGTTCCATACCCAGTTGTTGTAAGGTGGGTTAAACAGGAAAGCCCATAGGTGGCCTTCTGGAAAAATCGATGGGTTTCCCTGGCAAATGGAATAAACCCCATCTAAACCAGTAGAACCCCTCTTCTTTTTTTTCAACAACACTCACCTAAACAGGTACACCTATGGTTCGGAAAGCAACATTTGGAAAGCCACCCTTGGCGGTTTCGGTCCGAATCCCTCGTTGGACTCACGTCAAGCTCGAAAGCCAGGGGCCTCCAGCTTGGCGTCGATCTGCGCCATCGCCGACTCAATCTGCCTCGGACCCGCTCAGCGAGGGAAACCCGCTCCCACCCCCGTTGCCCCGCCCCCCCAATGTTGGAAGGGGAGCTAAAAATTGAATTTTAGCAGTTCAGTGGTTGGAATCAGAATGTGCCTAATGTGTCCCAACAACCACCATGCAAAGGGCGACCACGGACGGAAGCCACCCGTCTGGGGACGGAAGCAACCGCTTTGCCCCGAGCGACAAGCTCGGCTCTCCAAGCTCTGCCAAGCTGCGAGGCAATCGCTTGACTGGGGCCATCCACCTGGGATAAGGTGACGGCTCAGCTTCACAGGTTTTCTTTTTGGAAACATGGAGCCCTGCTAAATGGGAGAAACCCCATCTAAACCAGTCCATCTATGTTTGATCAATTTCACCTAAAAAGGACACCTGTGCTCGAGTGGGGCCAAGAAGTCCGAACCATGAACCCTGCTGGGATTTTGGGGTGGCTTGGAGCCCGGCTTGGATTTCCGCAGTTTTCCATGAACCCTCTACCAGGAATCTCCCAATCCCAATCCAAAAGAAGGAAATACCTGAGAATGTTGACAACCCCGGAAAAATAAAGAAAGAAGAACGGTGGCCGGAACCAACGATTTCAGGTGCCTCGAACTCAGGCTCCTTCCGTAGGGTTTTGGGCATGTCTCCCCGCCGGAAGGAGTCATTGTCCAAAAACGGCGTCTCTTTAACCAACCCTCGTGGAGGAAACGTGTGAATCTGCTGCACGTGCCTGGTGGACAGACATCCTTCGGTTGGATATGTCCATGTTTTGGGGTGAGACCCCCAAAAAGGGCGGGTGGGTTTCCCTTGAAAGCCCCCGGAAAAGTTCCCCTCAAAAACAGACACGCCCACTGTTCCGCGGGCATTGGGAATGTTCATGGGCTCCAATCCTCCTCCCCTGACCCCTTCCCTGGTGATTCCCCCAGGTTGGCTCCAAATCAGGGACCAACAAGGCTGTATTGAGGTCTTATCTGGGCGGGAGCCGGGATCCGTGCATAGGGGGCCTCTGTCTGGTGGAAATCAGAAGCAAACCAAATCGTTTCGGGATGCTCCACGTCATCCCGAAGAAAATAGATTCGCCCCATAGGTTTGGTTCCCACTACGTCTAAAACTACTGACCACCAAAAGGACACTCAAACAATTTGGCCTTTCCTCGTGGTGAAAGTAAACACCGCCCAAGGTGACAGAAGGGGATCCCGCCATCTGAGCTGAACACGGCATCACAAGCTCAGAATGTGTTTGTGTTGTGTACATGGACAAACCATCTGCTATCTGTTGCACAGCGGCAAGGACAATGGGTAAGTTCCTGGGCTCTTCCTGCCTTGGCCAGTTCTTCACGCCTCATCCTGCCTCATGCCTCATACCTCTGAAAGGAAGACTCTTCTAAGTGGATTGCCCTAAAGACATGCCCTGCACATCAGCCAAAACGCTTCAAGAGCGAAGGCTAAGGTGCGGCTCTAAGCTGCGGCTCAGCGGCGGTCCTCTCCTTTCTCTGCATCAGCTCCGGATGGCAGCTGGCATGTGGCGCGTGCAGCTCCTCGCTCCTCCTGAGAGTCTGAGAGGGAGCGAAGAAAGCCTGGTTGCGGAAGAGACCTGCCCATGTCCCAAGGAAATGTTCCCGTCAATGTTGATGAGTAGAAGATAGCGCAATAAGTTTACTCCAGTGTTGCATGATCAGGTGATGCCGAGCACCTTTTCAAGTGATAACGTGTTCATGGGGATGAACATCCTACGATGATCACACACACGGGTCAATTTTTCAGGGGGAGAGCGGTGATTGGACCGGGCTACTCACTCGGAAGGGTTCGCCATGTTCAGTGAAACCCAAATACCTTCTGCCAGTCGTGCTCAGGATTCCGCCCAATGCTTGAAGGCTTGCAGAGAAAGTTGTCAAGACTGAGACTGCTTTCTCATGTCCACTTCAAACATCCCGCCAAGGCAAAAACAAACAAGCGTGGAGAACAGCACGTCCAGCCTCCGCCGTTTCCAGCTTCCTAATCAAATACAGGAGGCTTCGACAGGGCCCAAGAAACCGACGGAAGCTCCCCATCACCACATACCAAGGACACGTAAGGTTCTTCCAAAAGGTGAGGCTTAGCACCCAAAGGGGGAAGTAACGCTGGTTTCCGTGGGTTGCTTCGACTAGCTCGGGTAGGCCGAAGAGTTGCGCGTTCGGCCGCTCCGGTGGGGGAAGTTCTGCAATACACACTGGCCGCAAACATGGATAAACATGCCCTGAACATAGGTGGCCTTTTGGAAAAATAGATGGCCCCGGTAAATGGAAGAACCCCCATCTAAACCAATGGAACCCATCTACTTTTGATCAAACTCACCTAAGAAGCACACCTATGGCCACGAATGAGTGCGCTCCAAGCCAAAACATCTCCGTGGATGGGATATGGGTGTGGTGGTCAAACATTTCGGGTCACCCCAGAATGCAACCCTGGTAAATGGAAACACGGACTAGATCCAAGTCCTGGAGTCTGGGGGTCGTCTCAGAATTCTTCGGTTGGAGACTTTACTCCACACGGCTTTGGGGACTTTACCCGCTTGATCCAAACGCAAAAAACTTGCGCCACTTCACAAACGTAAGACACAGCACTGAGCATTGTGAGTGCTCTGGTCATGAGGGAGATGACTGAAGAACACTAGTCTTGACCTTCAGCCCCATTCTTTGCAAGCCAGACTTCTCCGCGGGTGCGTCACCAGGATCAAGTTTCTGATCTGGGCCTCCCCCGATGCAATTCACTTGCTGGGGCGAGAGGCAGGAAATGACCTTCGGGGTGTGGGGAATGAACCTAGGGATTCCATATGGTTTATAGGGCTCATTCCAGCACATTCCCTGCTGGCGTGTTTTTTTTGCAGGGTATCCCCTTTAAGGCTGTCTAAAGGTACAAAGCAAACCGATCCATTTGGGTTCCCGATATTGAATACTTGGGCTGCATGAAGATAGGGTCTTTCGACTAATGGGGGGGGGGAATTCGGAAGAATGGCAGCCGCTCGCCTTTAGGGGTGTCCTTTGACGTGACGGTACCAAGCATCCAGCAACAGCAAGATTCCAGACATGCTTATTTGGGTGCGGTTATCAAAAATAGGGTAACCCCAGAATGGAACCCTGGATGAAAACGAAGACTAAAACCTGCGGTCCGATTCCTTTTGACATACCCATTTAGAGACAAAGCTAGACTAGAAAGACCTTGTTGCCGCTTCTTGGGCTTGAGTTGTCCAAGAGGAACAGAGAGCGGCGACACGGAGGAGACAGAGGGAGACAGAGACAGAGAGAGAGAGAGAGAGAGAAAGAAAAAGAAAGAAAGAAAGAAAGAAAAAGAAGAAAGAAAGAAAGAAAGAAGGAAGGAAGGAAGGAAGGAAGGAAGGAAGGAAGGAAGGAAAGAAAGAAAGAAAGAAAGAAAGAAAGAAAGAAAGAAAGAAAGAAAGAAAGAAAGAAAGAGAAAGAGGAACAGCTTGACGCGGCTCACACTCACCTCTCAATGACGCAGAACGTGATCTGTACCGAACGCATGTTCCGGAGCAAGGCTTTGCGCACGCGACACCACTCTTTAAGGCACACGAGACGGGGCCCCGTGCCCTGCAATGGCGATAGGGGTCTGTCCGACAATGGGGGGAACCTCCTTTTCGTCTGGTGCATGGGAATCTGAAGGCAACCAGCCCATGTTCGGACCTTCCCCGTTCACCCCTTTACGAGACCCAGACGGAAGCCAGACGGGAACACCAGCCGGTTTCCGGTGCTCTCCAGTTTGCCTAGTTGTCTCCCCCGATATATTTGGTTCCAACTATATCCAAACACTACATTCACCACCAAAAGGAAGCTAAAGAAAGAAAAGAAGATGAAAAAAAAGGCCCTGGGAGATGGATGAAACTAAACACCACCATTTCAGGGAGACCCAGCAGGAAACCACAGGGAAACCACCCCGTCGCCGAAAAAAACACCCGGCGCTTACGGGCCGATGCCGCCCCAGGGGCTTGGCTTCGCCCGCGGCCCGGTCCGTAGCTCCGCGGCCAACAGCTCCACCTGCGATCCGTGCGAGGCGGTTGGGTGTCGTCTGCGAGGGGAACCGGACCCCCACCCACCTCCCAAAAAACCAGGCAGAAACAAAAAAAACATGGGTGGGTTTTTTCTTGGTGTCCCTTTGAAGCCAACCAAAAAGGGGGTAGCCACAAGCAAACAGTTGAAACCAATTCCCAAGCGAAGATGGATTGAACCAAACACCAAACCCGCTGCAAGGGGATCACTTGCTGGCTAGGGAATCCACAGATTTGGGCAATGAACCCAGACATCGCCCCGAAAACGGCCGTATTAACAGGGGAGGAACCCGTTCAAAACCAGAATGTCGTACCTTAAGGGGATGTACCACACCAAGGGGTGGTTCAGGCAGTCGGCTAAAACTTCCTGTCAACTTCCCTCCGGTTTCTGAAGGTTTCATGGCTTGAACTGTTTAAACAAACTCCTTTCAGCTTTCGGCTGACCTTTGGCAACCCGTAGTGCTGGTAATTACACCGGATCCACTCCTTTGGGCAGGCAAAAGGGCAATCTGTCCTTTCGGTTGACCTTCTTTGGCAACCCCGTAGTGCTACCCCCAAAGTGGTCGCGGGGGGGCCCCTCGCAAATGGGTCACCCCCATCACCAACAAGGGGTGTATGAATCACTCAAGAGCTTGCTTGCTGTATCGACCCCTCTGCAAAAACATCCTTCACTGATTGAAAATTCAATGGAAAACTGTTGGTTTCCCACCAAGCTAAAGTCAAAAAAGATCCAACCCAATGGCACATCAAGAGAGAAGCCTTCCCTTGGCATCACAGAAAGTGGCCTTACCAAAATCCCAACTTCCACAATGCGCCTGGCAACCCAGCCGATCGAAGCGCTCCTCGGACAGCTGGATCAGCTCCTCGCCGCGGTTTGGGCGGTTTGGCGTCTTCCCCGCCTGTGGCTCTGCTGATGTGTGATTTGCTTTGCAAGAGGCGGTTTCTCGTTTTGTTGATGTTCTGTTTTTGTTCTGAGTGCATGTATTCTTGTTTTGCTCTTTGTGCGTGTCGTGCCGTGTTCCTTTTGCTTTCCTCTGGCACTTCTTTCCGAAAAGGACTGGGCGCTTCAAGCTGGGAGCTGCTTGGACTTCCCCTCACACTAAGGTGGGCTTCACCCAAATCTCCGCCGCCAGGTGTCTTCTGGGATTGCAACCAGAACCTGGCGGTACTCATTGACCAATACGGCTTCAGGGCAAGGAGATCCCTGGAGAAATATGGCCGGTCCGGCCCATGGCCGCATAGTGATGATCATGGAACAAGAGTCACTTGGTTGCGATCGTCTACGGCTCTGAGTCACTCTGCTTTTTGCAGATCCAAAACCTTGCCGGCGCCGCGTTCAAACAAAAGAAGGCTTCCGCAAAGTTTATTGCCCCTCACTCCTGGTTGTGGAAGATTTAGACCAGTGTCACTGGATTGTTTTTCAGCCAGCCGAACGTCGTCATTACCCTTCAATTTGCCAGGATTTGATTGAGGCCCATCTATGCTCCACAGCTTCATTGGCTTTGTCCAATTGACTTGCAATAGGCGAGACACTTATACAAATACATGCCACTTTTTGAAGGCCGCCTATGCTTTTGTGGGAAACCGATCAGCACCCGGCCATTGTCACTGTCCCGGTCAAGTCGAAGCTGGGAGGGTCGACACCGTTGAAGGATCCCCATTTTTCCGGCGGACCGTCCCCCTTTCCAGGGATCCTTTCTAGAAAATCTCCGGAATCCCAGAAAGAACGGCCGGTTCTTGAAAAGAACCATGGGTTGAAAGGAACGGACAAGGAATCAACCCCCAGAAAGATCCGCTCCGCGTCTTCCGGAAAAAGATCCGCTCCGCGTCTCGCCGGTCCTCCTGCATCTGCATGGACTGCATCAAGTTGTACTTGATGAAGCGCGGCGCCTGTCTGCCGGTCAGGCGCGGAGCGGAAGTCAGCAAAAATGGAATGGATGTTGGGAGGAAGGAAAGCCACGAGCGTGGGTCCCTCGTTGCCAGAACCAATGTCAGTTCGTTCTTTCAAGAAGCTGACGGGTGTGCGAAAAATGGCTGGACCCTCATTTGGCAACCAATCAACCAGTAAAGCGTGGAAGCCCTCTGTCCCATCTCAGAGTCGCTTTGCCACCGTAGTTGCCATCAAAACCTTTGAGCGGCCAATCACATGCCTTGCCAATTTGTGCTCTTAAACCTACACTATTGGGCAGGACCAACCCTCGTTTTTGGGAGCAACCATGCAAGTGTCCAATAAACGAATGCTCGTATTTAAGCTTGCAAGTCTCGGAGAAGATACCACACATGGATCCAATGAGGTGACAGAAACAACTCTTATAGGTAGGCAGCCACACATTGAGAGGTATTCAAGCATGTGCTGTGTTCTATTGTTCGGCCTACACGTATCCAACGACTACACTTTTCGCAGCAGCTTTACATCTGTGCGAGAAGGTGTCATCAACCCGTGCATGTTCAGAGGCAATCGCACAAACCCGTGATCTACGCCTACGTCATTCGTTCACCCTCGACCATACGTTATCCAAGGCGAAGTTCAACCTACGCGTTGATGCGGCAAACGTACATGTTTCAGGCAGGTGCTACCCTTCACAATTAACCATACCTTTGTCCAACTATTCTTGATTTGATGCTTATTCACTACCTACACATTCAGGGCAACCACACATTTTGCCAGCATAGTGAAGGGTGCAACCACACACTTTTGGTCCAAGGTGCTTTGTTCAACCCCCCACCATTCAGGGCCTCTGTATTTCCCCTTTGAACGTCACCCCATTAATGGAAACTCCCCTCAAAGTGGCCTTTCCAAAACCCAGCAAGACGGAAGTACAAAGGAAGCCGTGGATGTTTCAATCCACCAAAAGGGGCGAAAACAAGTGAAAACCCCAAGAAGCAAAATGCACGGGTTCGTCTGAACATCGGACATGGGGCCTCCCTCAAATTCGCCGAACATCCCTTGCTTCCAAGTCTCCGTCTTGGAGTCATGGGCCCAGCGGCTCAGGGGGCCGATGATGTCCGAGACCTTCAAGGTGCCCGACTCCTCCATGTCGATCATGTGAAACAGCCTCAACCATAGGTGGCCTTTTGGAAAAATAGATGGGCTTCCCTGGCAAATGGGATAAAACCCACCTAAACCAGTGGAACGAATCTATTTTTAGCCAAGCTACTCGGCTCGCCAGCCGAGAGAAACACAGAAAAGGACTGGAGGGAAACGTGGTGCCGAGCATGAAAAGCCCCGAAACAGCATCCACCGGCCCGGTGTTTGCTGACAGATGGGGATTGGATTGGGTGGGACACTTCGAGTTGGGTGCCTCACTGAAAACGACGACGTACGGATGCTTTTGGACTTTGGATACGGATCGCCGGGTTCCTGTGCCCTCACACAACCATCTTCATCTCCTTTCGCGGGGACTTGCCCGCGAAAGATCCCATGATTGACCGCATTCCGACCAAATCTGCTGCGACCTTCCACCCCACTGCTCCTGGAACCCGGCCGAGCAATTCCCACGGGTCCGCAAGCCAAGCAGCTGATGCAAATCGCTCTCATCGATGTCCATCACCTTCAACCGGCTCTGGAACACCGCATCCGTCCGCGCCCCGTCGATCAGTTCCTCCGAGTGCGCCCGAGTGGGATGGGTGTCTTTGAAGTTGTCACCTGCTTTTGGGTTTGTGGGGAAACCAAGGCCAGGTTGGAGGTCATCGTTTTCTTTTTTTAAGTTGTCAGCTTTTGGGTTTGCTTTAAAGGGAAACCAACAAACAAACCACCTCCCGCACAAGCAGCCCAAGGCCCGGCTGCAACAAATCTGGGTCACCACAAGAGGAAGGAAAGACGTGGCACCGTCAAACTTGGCCAAGCAACCCTCCCTCCATGAGTCAAGCTTTCCCAAGCAAGCACAAGCCAGCGTAGCGAGCATTCGCCTGATTTCTTTGCCAAGGCTCGCTCAATGTCAGCTCTCCTGTGCCAGCCTTGTCAATCCGTCTGAAGACGTCGTGAAGAAAGTTCCTGAGAAGGATTCGACTCTCCAAAGAAAACTGTTGCCCCTGCATTGCGAAAGCGTGAGCATTGTCCCGTTGTGCCAACACAACGCATCATCCCATTGTACCAACATATCCTCCGCCTCATTCCCCAGCACCCCCCAGCATTCCCAGCAATAACAACATTATCAGCATCACCAACATCACTAGCACTGCAAGCATCACCAACCTCAACAGCATCATCAGCATTACCAGCATCATCAAGATACTAAACACCACTGAATTCAACCCAAACGTATCTGCAGTCACATATGTGCAATCTCCTGAATTAGGCCAACCATCAGCGTCGCCAGCATTATCTGCATCACCAGCGTTCCCAGCATGAATCTTGTTGGTCGACAGACTCCCAGCATCTCTGCAGCCTCCCCAAGCACATCCACATCTTTATTGCGCTATCTGCAAAATGCCAGATCTGCGATATCAGATTCGTTTCCCTTCCACTCATCTTCTTCGTCTTGAGAGAACCCATTCTTCGAATGCACGATAAAATTCGGTGTGGCCATCCAATACAACCTGCCAGCAAACAGCGCAGCGCCAACTTGCTGAAATGGGGCAACCAGAAGAGGTCCCCTACATGTGACCTTGTTTGAGCTCAAGGGAAAGCAAAAAGGAGACCAAGAATTCTCATCACTCTTGGGCGCTTCGCATGTATGCACTTGTGCTCCACTATCGAGCCCGAATGCCAAGATCCGGAAAAAACATGGTGCAACTCAGCGCCTGTTTCTGGCCAATATGTGTTCTACATTGCTCTTTATGTTCTTGTTCCGAGTCTATGGCGTGCGCAAGTACTCATTGTTCCGAAGGTCACGGTGGCCACGCACAGAGGGCAACACCAATGATCACACCAAAGATCGGAATTCAGTCTACAGTCTGGTCATTCTAGGAGCCAAGTCAAGCCCTCCCAGAAACAAAGTTGCAGGTGACCAGTTGCAGCTTCGCTTTGCTGTAAGCGCTTTAGGAACTCCTGTCTAAATCGAATCACTCGGATCAAATAGGTCCAGTCGGCTCAAAACTCGGGAGCCCAACAAAACCCTCGCAGCTTCCTTTGGGTGAGACATTCCATGCTAGAAAACCCCCAAATGCTCCAGGTGGAGAACCCGCAGCATTAAAGGGCTGGTACTTCCAAAGTAGAGAACCCTTGAAATGGTGGGCTTTCCCTGTGGTTTCCTTTGAAGCCACACCCCCGAAAAAGGGGGCACCTCTAAGACACGCCATCAACCCCTGGCGACTCCCCCAATCCGGGAGGCCTGTCGTTCTGAAGGTCGGTTTCCAGATCCTCCGCCAAGGCTTCCACGTCATGCAGGCGAGCCTCCGCGAATGTGTCGACCACCACCTGGGCGCGCACAGCGAAATCTTCAGCCGCTGCTTGATGAGTAAAGGAGGGGAATGAACCTGGGATTCCCTTGAAGGAAACCATCAGGGGATGGTTTTTTGGGCTCATTCCCTCATTCCCTGCTGAGCACCAGCAAGTTGCAAGCAGAACAAGTCCCAGCGCCGAGGAAACTGCACTTCACCATTCACGCCAACCCGGCACTCGGGGGTTTAAGGAGTATCTCCCATGAACCATTCTCTAAAAAGGAGCACCTTGGCACCTTGGCCAGAGGGGGTGCGGGTGAGAAACTGGTCACAGACATACCCTGTTCGCCTTAAAAGGGGCTCCGACAGAGGAGGATGGTTTAAACATGATACCCTCACCACAAATATATGGTCCCCAGCAAATACTCTTGGCGATCGCCAGCTCCTACGCTTTGTTGGGGTCACTTTCCCCAAACGCGGCACCATCGTTGCAAGACCGGCTCAGTGTTCTGCGACGGGTTCGGTCGCATTCCGATTTCTCCGGGGGCGTCTGGGAGCGGAATTCCCGCAGGGGAGATGTGCCCGTCCTTTGGCAGGGCAAAGAATTGTGTCCCTGGTTCATGTAAAGAACTGTGCCTGGGCAAAGAACTGTTTTAGAATACACGGCATCCGATTTTGCACCAAATTGCCGCCAAAGGGCCCCTCTTTTTTTCTGGCACGCCTCTAACATGTGTGAGACATGTCTGCATCGTGTCGAAGACAGGGGCTGTAAACGGGTGTTTGCTGGAAAGGGTATCTCTGAAATGGGCTACGAACACCATGTTTGCCGCCCATCACTGGTGAGGCTTGAGAATGTGGTGCTAAGGACGCATATGGCTGTGGGTCAAAAATGGGTACCCAAAATGCAACCCTGGTAAATGGACCCCACGACTAAAGCAGGCGGTGCTCTGGTGGCTTAACTTTGACCCACACCCGTATGTCCCATGGACGAGCAATTCTCGGCGAGAAGCCGCAACGATCAGGTTCAGCACCCCGAAGACCAGCGTGAGCTGCGACCTGCGCAAGCGCTGATTGTCAGAGCGGTACGTCAGATATATATATATATATATATATATATATATATATACATATACATATATATATATATATATATATTATGCAGATACATACATATTGAGCCATACGATGAACAGAACCAACCAATGTTTTCCTCTTTCTACCCCCCAAAAATTCCGTCGCAAACCCGGGGTAGCCAAAAGCAAGTCCGGATTCTTCCTTCGGACCTGTCCCCCGTTTTAAAGCCCCAAACCACAAAAACGAAATCCCCCCCATGCCCATCCCCCCACCCATCCCCCACCCCCCCCCCCCACAAAATCCCCCCCCCCCCCCGGGAAAAACCGCTCGTCGGCTCGGCTCGGCCGCTGCTCGGCTCGTCCGAGGCGCCCCACAAAGATCACCGCGGTGCCCGGCGCTGCGCGGATCACCGGCACCGCCACGGTGCCCCAGCCGTCCCCTGCGGCCAAAGGAAGCGACCCAAAAAGTTGCTGGGATCCGACCAATTGGGGGGGGTGGTGTGGGGTTGGGGGTTGGGGTGGGGGGGTTGGGGGGTTGGGGGGGGCGGGGGTTGGGGGGTTGGGGGGTTGGGGGGTTGGGGGGTTGGGGGGGTCTGGGGGGTCTGGGAGGTCTGGGTCTGGGGGGGTTGAGATGGATCCTCACCGATTGCAACCAGACAAGGGAAGCTTATTTGATTTCAGTGGGGGAACCAAACCAAACCACCAAGAAGAGCTCCCATTTCAGGTTGGTTCAAACGGAGGTTTCCTAAAAAGGCAAACCAACGTTACCCCCCCTCCCCTCCCCTCCCCCCGCCCGCATTTTGACGCGCCATGCCCGCGGCTATTTCACCCCGGGATCGCTCCCGTGAAAACCCGCCTGCCACCACCGTCTGGAAGAGCAACAAGTTGGCCTCCATCACCTAGATTTTCTCTCCTTTCTTTTGGGGGGGGGGTCCTTTTTGACTCGGTTTACCGGGAGAAAGAAGAAAAAAAACGGGCTTCAGGCGCAAAACCCGGCGTCCGGTTCAGGCGCCAAAACCGGTGTCCGGTGCAGGAGGAAGGTGTTTCAAGGTCCTGTTGGAACCTGCCTCTTGGCGTCCGGTTCGTGCTCTCAGCAGAAAAAGAACCCAGGAAATCCCGCCATCCGTAGCCTTTGATGGGACGGCCAGCTCCCTGTGGAAAAATGACAAATTTCTCCGGGCTCGATCACAGAGTTCCGAGCTCGGAGGCGGAAAACGCGGATGAGTTCTACCAGCCAGACCCAAAAAAGAACCCAATTGTAGGTAGACACTTGTCCAGAGTGGGGAAACCCCATTTTGGTGGGTTGACTTGAGTTGGTTTTTGGGTTGAAGGGACACCGAGAGAAACAGGACTTGGGCTTCATGAGCAAGACACAACCCATGAGTTCCATCCCGAAATGGTCATCATTTACCTGGTGGCTTCTGGCCCACCTTTCCGGTGCCCTCTGGAGCACCTGACCCCCCGTCATTTGCATCAGTGCCATCTTGAGGATCCAAACAGGTGTGTTGGATTCCCATGTTCCATGTTGTGCAGAGCAGAGCCTGTTGATGTCGACATTAGATACTATGCCTGGCGCCAAATGAATACATGTATATACATATATAGAGAACAAATTCCATTTGGAGACCGCTGGGCTGGGCTAGACCAATCCGAGTGTGGAAGAACCACATGATGCAACAACCATTGGCGCTATTGAACCGCCATGTGACGCTTGTCGTTGACTGCAGGCATGCGTTGCAGTCGTCGAAAGTGCCCAGGTTCTCATTCATGTCCTGAATGATGGGGTTCACAAATTCCACCAGCATCATGGAGAAGGCCGTCATCACGATAAAGCAGAGCAGGAAGGACCACATGAGGGTGCGAAAGACGGTGGCCATCATGACGATGAGCTTGTAGAGCTCCCGGAGCATTCGGAGCCGCTTCAGCAGACGCACGGTCCGCGCGATGCGCACCACCCGGAAGACCCGCAGCAAGCCGAAGGGCAGCCCGATGTCGGTGTCCAGGATGGCGGCGATGAGGTTCTCCGCCCAGCCGCACACCACGATGACGCCATCGATCACTCCGATCCAGTCCTTCAGGATCCCTAGGCCCTTGGAGTAGAGCGAGCATAGGAGCTCAGCAGTGTAGAGGCTCAGGCACACCTGGAGATGGAGGCCCTCTATTTCAAGTTGGCAGGGAAACCAAAGAGAACGCCTTTTCGCCATTTTCGGGGGCAGCCAACATGTCGCCAAGCACCTGGCCAATGATGTTGTAGGCAGCCGGAAGCTCTTGCTGCGCGGCACGGGCATCCACGGATGCACAGGTGCAGAAGGAATCCGCAAAGACCACCACAGCCATAAGATTGGCCACGAAATAGCTGTCCAGCACCTGGCAGACAAACCCAGGTCACAAGTCTTGGAGGGGCGCAAAATCGCAGTCTGATGGATTTGTTCGCCGTGGGTCTTAGAGGGTCAGGGTAGATAGATGGCTGGCAATGGGTAGGCAGGTGGCTAGTTGGGTGGAAGGCGGTTTGTAGGTGACTAGCAGGTGGTTTGTGCCCGATGCCTTTTTGCTGATCAAAAAGAAAGTTGCCCAAACAGAATCAAGGTCCAAAATCCAGTTGGTTTCCTCAGAGTTCCCTTTCTGGATGCATTAAGAAGGAGGACTGTCAAGAGAAAAAGAACCCCATGAAATTTGGGCCTCCCACGTCAAACCCAAAACCAGACATCATCCCAACTGCCCCAACTACCCCAACTACCCCGACGACCCCAACAACCCCAACGACCCAACTGCCCGTTCCCATCGAACCCATCAGACCCCCCCCACCTTGTTCACCGAGCTGCGCACGCTGTTGGGTACTTCCACCTGCGGATGGAATTTCTTCGTTTGGGCGAAAAACCTCTGATCACTTCTCGCGGGGGGGTGGTTCTTGAGGATTGAAACACGGGGTTCCAAGCAGAAAGGGGAAGCACTCAAAAAAAACGCACCACGAAAAGTTGGAGGAATTGAACGACTCAAAAAAGTTTCAGTCTATGCTTCCACATGGGGCAACCATGTTTACCCGAATGGGAAAAACAAACCGAAAATCCCCGCGACCTTCCCGGGTGAACCGATGAAGTTGGAGTGCACCGGCACTCCGCGTCGGCCGGTGCTCATAGAGGAGCTAGTCATGGTCGCCTGCATCTCCTGGTCTTGACATAGATGGGTCTATCCTTTGTTGTGGGTTTTAAAGGAAAACAAAAGGAAAAGCAACATGTGTGTGTGTGTGTCTGTGTCTGTGTCTGTATGTGTGTGATGTTCGTTTTTCGTTCCTGTTTTGTTTTGGGGGGGAGGGGGCGTCCGTTTAACAAACGAACCCATCATATTTCAGCTTGCCCTGATTGATTGGTGGTTTGGGGCCGAATCGATTTGGTCTCCCCTTTACCCTTGCAAGAATCACGGGTTCAAAGGTTCAAAGGGTCGAAACCTGGGTTTTGACCAGCAGGCGTCTTCTCGGGGTACCTCAGGAATGGCAAGGGCCCGTCCTTTTGGTTTACCTTGAAAACCGACAAAGAGAGGCACCCAGCCACCCATATGAAGCTCCTTCAATAGGAAAACAAAAAACACAAAGGCTGTCGAAAAAGACCTGGATAGATGGAATGTAATCTTCTACCCTCGACCACCAGGGGGGCGCGAAAGGTGGGGAAACATGAGAATCTTCTACCACGCCGTTGTTCGATTTGAGTTGGTGCCCATTGTGACTAATCGTGCTATGAAGGGAAGCCAAAAAAAACGGTGGCAATGTTGAAGACTGCCTATCCTGTCCAACTGCGTAGATTCCGCTAAGGAATGCCTATTCTCAAGCCCTCAAACGATGTCCTGAGAACCACTGGGCAAAACCCCATGCTTCGCTGGGAACCAAAAAGGATTCCTCCTCCCCCTTGGTTGCGACATGTGTCACTCACTTGCCCAGAGGACCTAGAAATAAAACTGCTAACCATTTGGGACCCAAGGGCGAAACACCAAAGTCAAAAGGTCGATTCGCTTTGGGCAACTCAGCTCAAACCATGGAAACGACCTCAGGCCCGAGTTGGGTGAAATTTGAGCTACCCTTTTCGCTAAAGCAATCCAAGAGCCCAAGGGCTAAAGCCATCCAAGAGCCCAAGGATTACAACAAACTCGGGCAAACTGATGGAGGGGAAAACAAGAATCAGCCACTAGTCAATTTTCTACACTCCATAAGAGGGTATGGGTCAAAACCACCAGGGGACCGCAGGTTTTAGTCCTTGGTTCCATTTACCAGGGCAAGCCATTTTGGGCACCTATTCTTGACCCACAGCCAAGTGGAGTGATGGAGTTCAAAGAAAACCAACCCCAGAGTTCGCCTCAAGCCAGCGCTCGTGCGGAGGGGGAGATCGAGGATCCTTGCCAAAATGGGTGGGTGCCTAATTCTACCACCCTGGTAAAGCGCCAGTGTCAGTATCAGAAGCAGAATGATGGTGGTGGCTGTGGGTCAAAAATAGGCACCCAAAATGGCTTGCCCTGGTAAGTGGCAACATGGACTAGAACCTGCGGTCCCCTGGTGCTTTAACTTTGACCCATACCCGCGTGTCACGATAGAGGGGGCGCCCAAAATGATGATTTGTGTCCTCCGATTTCCCTGCCTTAAATTCACCAAAGGGGTGCGTTCCCTCTTTCTTTTTCTCTCTTCCTTAGGTGATTGGCCAAAAAACGGCCGGATTTGATTGTGGAAATGGTCTACCCATAAAGTCACCAAAGTTCGAGAATGTGCGTTTTGCATTATTCGCCCGCTTCTAGTGGTTGTATACCTGGTTAAACCTCCTTTGAAGTACTGGAAACCCTCTTTGACTTAAGTGTTCCCCCCCAGAAGAAAAGAAGAGAGGATAGAAAAAAAGGAGAAACAAAAAAAAAAGACGACGAGGAAGATCCAAGTCTCATTCTCCCAGCTGTCCGCGCTCCGGGTGTCCGCGCTCCCAGTGCGCGCCGGAACGGTCTCCATGGCGGTCGTTGGCCAGGGGAGATTTTTCAAGGTGCTCAGTGCGGTTCCCTTGCGTTCGTTGAGGAACCCCTCTTCGTTTTTTGAGCTCTTTGGGCTTGGCTCGAAGCGGAGGCCACCCAATTTTTGTGGGAAACCCACAATTTTGTGGGAAAAACAAAAGTTCCTTGATTTCCTCTTTGGTTTCCTTCTTTTTACGACAAGAGGGGTTCTTTGGCTGGTATCCAAAAGAAACATCCGAAGCCCAAATGGGCCCCCTCATCTAGATAACCTCTCCTCATCTAGAGACATAAATCGCTGCGTCAAAGTAACTGGCTCGCCATGTTGAACGTGGTATATGCAAAACAAACCCAGGTATTCAAGCAGAAAGTCTACTCTAACGCACTGGTACTTCAGTGGTCTACCCTGTGAAGAATCAATATCTGCTGGCAAGGACTGCCTGAAGTCCCCGTTCACGGGGTGCCGTTTCAGAGTTGGATTGAACCACCTCCAAACGGCGTTTTTTTCCTACGACGGGGGAGAAAAAAACGCGATCGGGCGATCTCAGAGGAAACGCAGCGGCGCGCCTTTCAGCCAAGGAAGCACGACTGTGTTTTTTGGAGCCCTGGTGAATGGCTTCGGACCTGTGCCCATATCCTGAAGGTGGTTCAAAGTGGACTCAGCACGAAAAGGTCGGCGTCCTGAATTCAGCACCTTGCCAGCCAATGAATCTGCAACAACCATTTCCTGCAACCAAACTCGACCTTTCCAGTTCTCCTTTCATAGGATGCGTGAAGAATTGAGCCTTGTCCAGACTCGGTCAGCCGCTTGGATCGCGGGCGTTCGCGAGAGGGCAAGGTTGTACAAAACCACCGACTCTCTCCTCCTTGTTGAGGCGCGAGCGAAAAAAGAAAATGCTCTCACAGAAAAAGGCTGCATTTTGTCACTTACTTGATGATTTTGGGTTACCCGGTTTTTTGGGTGGAAACCAAAAGTTACACCCATGGGCAGATACTTGATTCAAGGCCTTGCATGTGGGTTTATCCGGTCCGTTTCTTGTTAGTTTGCTTTCTGTGGCTTTTTGCTGTTGTTACGTGTTGTTACTTGTTGTTGCTTTGCTTGTTGCTGCGCTTGCTTTCTGTTGGCTGAAACTCGACTGAGAAGTCATTCGTTCCAGGTGCCTCATCGTTCGTCACTTCAGAAAGAATTCACCAAGGCTTGACTCCAAGCGAACCAGGGGGGCTTCACTTTGATTTCCCTGCAACAGCCTCAGAAAAAGCGTCTGCCATAGCTTCATTTCTTTGACGTGTCGCTCATCGCGCGATCTGTCGAAAACTCTCTTCATGGATCAAAATTCTCCCGGCCGTGCTTTGCAGAGTCCGGGGAAAGATGTGGCAACTACTCCCAACTTCGGATTGGTCCGGAGGATGCCTTGTCAGAGGAATTCCCCTTAAAAAGCCACCCCTGGCGATCCGGATACATCCGAAGTTGAGATTGATCTAAAAACCCACAAACAGCTTGAAAGCTTTGGATTGAAGGCAGCGCCGGGGAAGCCCTGGCTCACTTGCGCAGCTCAAAGAAAGAACAAGGATCGACTTCATCTGGCCGTGTGGTTTGGGCGCCCTTGGGCTGGTCCTTTCAAGGGCCAAACGGAACGAGACTCACGTCAGCAGCTTTGAGCTTGCAACTCCTTGGGTCCGGGAGGATCCCCCTGGAACCCCATCTGGAAAGATGTGCCAGACCTCCGAGCCTTCGGCCCAGTCAGGCCAGGCTCCCATTATTTCCAACCTCCGAGGAAACTTGTTTGAAACTAAACGAAACCAAAAAAAAACGGAGGCTTGAGCCAGATGAACAACACCCAAAAGGGGATGCTTGAACGGGGAAACGCAGGGATCAGAACTCCATGGGAGACTCCGCCTCAGAAATCGCTGGTGACCAGCCTCTCGGGGATCCACGCGCGGATCGTCCTCAGCTCGGAGCGCGACAAGCCTTCCCACGGCGTCAATCAAGAAGGCCAAACCCCAACAAAGACCACAGAAACCCCCAGGACAGGAGAAACCCAGCCAAGCGCGCCCCCAAATTGAGTTGGCAAACCCCACAAAAGCCCGAACTAGGGAAAAAACCCAAAGCCGCCCCGGGAACGTTTCTGCCTCCCACCAAAAACCAAAAAACAAAAAAAGGCGCCAAGGTATCGAGGCAGAGGCGCCGGGCATGGGGCTCACATTTCGCGGCGCCATGTACATCGCCTGGAAGGTGCTGTGGGAATTCAGCCGCGTGGACGTCCGGCGCGCCTCGGGATTTTATTATTTTTTTAATTATTTTTGTTTACTATTTGTTTAATGAGTCTGGAAAGGGTCACAAACCTCAGCATTTTCTCTATGACTCCTGTGGGTTTCTGTTCCTCTTGAAAGGGTCTTCATGTTGATCCCATATTCATCAGAGTTTGTATGTTTGTATGATTGCATGTTGTGGGCTTGGAGTCGTTGCGCGCACACGCGCATGGACGGCTTTCTCGGAGTGATCCTGTAGTCAAAACGTGTGCTTGATTCCCTGTAAGCCACCCCTCTGCCCATGTGCAAAAAAGATGGGTGGTCAAAATTAAACCACCAGGATACGGACAGCAGATTTTAGTCCATGTTTCCATTTACCAGGGTTCATTTGAGGCACCTATTTGTGACCCTCACCCAAATGTCCTTCCATAACCTCCTGACTGGTAAGTGAGGCTCCTTGATGAAAGTGCCTTTGCTGGGGGCAAAGAAACCAAAGGATGCAAACCCAAAATGAGGGTGTCCCATATTCCGAGGACGCAGTGCTTCTCAAACCATGCAGGGCTTGACATGCTCCCTGAAACTCCTCGGGACCAAAAGCAAATTGCAAATGACAAAAGCCGTCGTGTCTTCGCGTTGAGACCCTGGCAACCTGTATCCACCCACTTAGCGTGTGTGGTTTGGACATGTAGCTGTGGGTCAGAACCAATGGTACCATTTTGGGGTAGCACCACCCATTTTAGTCTATTTTAGTGGGGATTGGGATGTTCACTGGGGGTACGGGATTTTGACCCATGGCCATGTCGGTCCAAATAAACGAGAGAGATGCGCCCAACCCGAAATTGACCATCTGACACATCAATTCTGTTCATCCAAAACCCGAAGACATTGGTTGGACACTTTCGGCAAAAATCCATGGAGGGAATACCCAATTTCTGTTTCCTCGGTGTCCCAACTCTTTTCATCAACCTGTCTCGCAGCTTCTTCCGCTCGAGATTTGATGGATCGGGACCTTTTGAAAACTCCCCTTCACAGGCCGAACGGTCTATAGATATATATATATATACAACTTTCTAGACCAAAACACCTGCAACAAGCAGGAACATATTGGTATTGGAGGAGGGTCCTACCAAATATACAAATATATATGTGTATATATATATATATGCTGCTAGTTCTTGCTTTATACAGTCCTCCGGATTCCTTTTGCGAGTTTGTCTCAAGATGCCCAGTGGTACCACAAAAAAGTCACGACTTTCCCGGTGTGACTTCTCCCGGGGTACCAGTCCACCGTGCTCTTCAAAGAGCCCCTGCTAAAAGTTTAACTTTTCGTGGGTTACTAAAAAAAAAAGCACACTACCACTCAACGCTAAAAATAAACCTAAAAAGCAAAGGAACCGCATGGCTGGGAGCCACCAAGTGACGTGTACCATGAATTTCTTCGGACCATTGGGGGGTCCATCGAATTTCTTTACGTGGCATGGCACCAGCGTTCCTCTTGGTCTGGATTGGCTTAGGCCCCCGGGCCTGGTGGTTTCCTGTTTGCCCACGCAAAGAACAAATGATCTCCAAGCAAAACCAAACAACTCCAAACAGCTCCAAGCAGCTCCAAAACAAAACCAAACCAAACCAAACAAACAACTCCAAACAGCTCCAAGCAAAACCAAAACAAAACAAAACCAAACCAAACCAAACCAAACCAAACAAACAACTCCAAACAGCTCCAAGCAAAACCAAAACAAAACCAAACCAAACCAAACCAACCCAACTAAAGACCGCTCCAAATCCACTCCAGCTCCAAATCCAGCTCCGACGGCCTCACGCGCGCAACGCATCCGCGGCGCCATGTAGGAGGAGGGCACCAGCGAGGATCTTTTGGACACCGGGAACAGCAGCGCCTGCGAGGCTTGGCTTAGGCTCGTCCAGCTGAAAGGTTTCGCAGGCGGTTGGGGTCGTCCAGCTGCGTGAAATGGGTGGCATGGGGGAAGCATCACTTTCGGAGCAAAACGCCCCCATAATAAATAAGGGCGGGCAGATTAATTAAACAGGGGGTCGTCCTGGGTGAAACGACTGGGGAATCAGCCCACTTTTGGAGGGGAACATTTCCATTTTCAAACTGGGGCTGATTCATATTAGGGTGAACATTAGAAAGGTTTCAGGAACTGAAAAGGACCTTTATGGTTGGTTGGTTGGCTGGCTGGCTGGCTGGCTGGCTGGCTGGTTGGTTTGTTTGCCAAGAGCGATGCTACGGCCAAAAGTAGGCACTGGAGAAATACAAAGAACTGCGAGCAACTTGTTGCCTGACGAGGCCCAGGAAACAAAAATAATCACGGGAACGCAGGATTGCATTGGGAGCTCAGGGACACATTGCATAAACAACATGCTTCTGCATCCCAAAGCCAAAATTGTCTACTCTCCCACCTTCAATTTTGTGCACTTATTGTTTAAACATCCTCAGGGCAACCAATTTCCGGGAAGCGTGTTTTCAGGGAAACCAAACACTCACTGTCTCTCCGGGGAATGCATTGGTGGACTTCGAGAATCCGTTTCAAACGGTTCAGGACTCGATCGTTCGATATCTCCGAGACGGTCCCTTTTCGTAGATTGAATCCTTTCACACGACGCGGGTGCATCACTGGCATCATCTGGATGACATTCTGCAAAAACAGGGGCACAGGGGGGTCAAATGAAGGGCCTATTCGTGTCTTGTGGCATCCAAGATGTTGAGCCATTGCGATGTTTAGATGTTAATACTGAAAATATGAATGGCTTAAAATATGAAAAGGCTTACGGGCTTACAAACTGAAAATATGAGTGGCTTAACATGTGAAACTCTTAGTACCTTAAAGTCTGCACAACTTAATGGCTTAAGCTATTAACATGTGAATGGCTTAAAACAAAAACAATAAACAATACGTAATAGGCTGAACATCTCATCTGAAAATATTAATGGCTGAAAACCTGACAATCCTAATGGAAAACAAAATGCAAGAAAAATGCACTCGTTTGCAATCGCTGATCTTGCACGTAAGCCTTTCCAAAGGGAAAATGTTCAAAGGGACAAGTCCAAAGGGAAAACTCCAATGCGAGCCTCGCAATCGCAAACGTTCAATGGGAAATTGCCAAAGGGATAAACCAAAGAAAAAGTGCTGAAGACAAAAAGCCAACGGGAAACATGCATATGGGAAACTTGCAAAGGCAAACGTCCAATGGGAAATTGCCAAAGGGAATATTGCACAGGGAAAAATCCAGGACAATGTAAAAAAAGGGGAATTCCAAAGGAAAAAGTCCATTATATTGTTCATGGTTGTTGTTTTCTTTTAGAACTCCAATGGGAGACCCCCCAAACAAAATCCAATGGGAGACTTCCCATGAGGAAACTCCAAAGCGAAATTCCAATTCCTGAGACAATTCCAAAAAGGAAATCCAACGGGATAATTCCAAAGGGCACAAGTCGACACGTAGAGTTTGCAGGCCTGTACTGTCGGCGATCCGAGCCGGCGAGTTAAAGTATACATGTCGTGTGCGGTGGGCAGAGATGTGGCCATGGGTCAAAATCCAAATCGTGACCCCAGTGAACATCCGATTCAATCCCCACGATACTAGGTTCTAAAATGGGTGGTGCATTGGTTTTAACCCACAGCCATGTGCTTAGCTGGTAGGGGGCAAGTTCCTTTGACCCCTCCGGTTCGATTGGGCGAGTCGGTGTGTCCGAGAGAGAAGATCCAGTAGGCAGCCAAGCTCCAAGGGTATGGGGTAGAAGGGGAGAGAAGGTACAGGCACGGGGGCGTCAGGGGAAACTGGATGAGAGAAAAATACAGGCTGAGACGAGTTGACGTTGACGAGCTGCTCAGGGTTTTGGCCAACATGCCCCATACTTGAGGGCGATGAATCGGAGGGAGTGTAAGCATTTTTTCCCGCGAGGAGGGCGGTGTCATCCGCGTACTCAATATCATGAAGTTAGGGTTAGGCGCGAGTGCCCAGGTGCTCTGGGCGAAGGTTAGGGGGACAAGGGACATCTGCCTGGGGAAGGGAGGATCGGATGTTAGCCTCCTGGACCAAAAAAACGGGTAGGATCCTAGTATCCTCGGAGAGATGACGACTACAAGGGGCTCTGGAACCTGAGAAGCGAGGAAACAAGGTCCAGCTCGGAATCGAAGGCCTGACCAGTAAAGTAGACTAAAGGTTGCGGTGTGTCGTTGTTCATAGAGCTCGACAAACCGGACGAGACAAATGGGGAGGTGCAGGTGGAGCGGGCGCGAAAGCCAAATTGCTGCGCAGGGAGGAGGCGGTTTACCGCCTCGGGCGGTGAGAAGAGGGATCTTTGGAGTCCTTAGCGCCCCCCACTTGTAAAGCATGTTCAAATCTGGCAATACTCCAGAAGTCTGGGGACTCTGCTTGTAGAAAGGCGGTTGACAAATGAGAAAGGAGCAAACTGTAAAAGCAGAGGAGCGAGGACCCCAATTGTTTCAGGGAAACATTCCCCTGTGGCTAAGGGCATCCCCCAAACCGTTTCCTGCCCAAATGGGTCACTTCCTACCTACCCATTGCGCCAGCAAGAAAAGAAAGACCTGCAAGAAAATTTGAGTTGGAACGACCCGCCTGGATAAAAACTCCATCCCTGGTTTCTTCGGGAATCCCCGTAACGGTTTTTTTGGGGAAACCAAAACCGCCCACCGCCCACCGCCGCTTTCGCTTGACGAAGGCCCCAACCTCCAGCTTGGCGTCGATCTGGGATACGGCCGCATCGATCTGCTGGCTCAAGGAGTGGATCTCGGAGCTGAAACTCGGAGCATCCAGGGAGACGCGATCCTCGGCGCTTTTGGGGGGTTTGAGGGCTCGGCTCAAAAAAGGGGGGGGGGGGCTTTTGGGAGGGGCGAGTGGATCTTTGGGTGGGGTTAGGGTTTGGGGTGGGTTTAGGAGGATGAGCCCTCAAGTGGACCTCGGAAGAAACTTTACGGCTTGGAAAATGGTGTGAGCCCCTGGGCTGTGAATGAAAGAATCAGATCGCGCATCCCCCTTGCTGCAATGGAAAGTGTGCCACGAAGCAGGGTACATGGAACCCAAAACGGTGGATGTCCTGGTGGTTTGTGCGAAAAAACCAAAAGAGGGTGCCCTCAAAAACACAAGCCTGTATTCAAAATGAAATCGGGGCTTAGAGGTGCACCCTGACTCTCGCAGCCACCACAAAGAGGTTTGCATGCTCTATACTTAACTAGGTCACTTTGCTGGCATTATGCAAGATAAGGTGATACAGAAGACAGTATTACACACCGTTTGGGGCGCGTGCCCTCTCCGGGTGGCCTGTCCCCTTAGCAAGGAATTGTTTGCAAATTGAATTCGTGGCGTATGCAATTCCGGGCTGCAAAGGCAGCGTCACTTAACAAGCGAATGCGTCGGCTCGCCAAAATGGTGTCTCTGTGCAAAACAACCTTCAAGCAAGTCAAGGATCCCCCGCACAATTTCACGAATGTTTGGCACAGTGAGGCCTTGGACACCGCAGCACACTCGAGCCTACTTATTGGTTTTCACAGCTTTCAATCGCTGTGGGGACCCGTAGGTCCAATGCCAATCACGCCGACGCGATTGCAAACTTTCCAGGATCAAGATCTTTGTTGAAAAGTTCGGCGGCTTGTTGATCCGTCGGCCAGTACTCCAAGCACAGGTTATGCGCTCGCATCGTGGCGCAGATCTGTGGGGCAGCTTGCCCTACACTCCTTGGACGAAATTGCAGTATCTCAACTGTAAAAGGCTACGCAGCTCACCGATGCGCTATCTAAGAAAGTGTACAGACATCCTTCGCGTCAGAAGTCTCTGTGGCAGGAAGTTTGACCGCTGCTTCTGGCTTTTACCCAATTAGCATGTGTGAGACCATCGCCGCCCGCTTTTCCCGAAACGGAATCACCACGCGGTACGGGCGACGCCTTGCAGGGCTGTCAAGCCGAGTGTCCATAACCCAAAGGAGTTGCGGCAAGAAGAAATGATGGAACTCCCTCTCCATCCCAATAAGCTTCCATACCAGGCGAAATGACAAATGAAGCTATAGGACTCATCAACGCCTGCGCATGGAGCTATGACAATATTCAGCCCCGCAAGGAATCATGGAGGCACACGGAGACCGCCAAGCTTCGCAAACTGAGGGCGAGAAACGTCTTCAGGGGGGACAGTGATCGAGACGAGGCAGGCGATTTCGGGATTTTTGAGGACCTAAAGGTTACCGCAACAGGTCTCTGCGATTAACGCCAACTGGTTTAGGGAGCCTTAGAAGGAAATCCAAGTTCGAAAAATTAATGTAGTAAAGGCTTACGTTCAACGTGATGTGAACACGACTTGCGTGGAACTTCCCAAAGCTCCTGGCAGTCAAGTTCCATGAAGTTTAACTCCGTAGTAAAGTTGCTAGGCGGAGCTCAAAGTGCCGTTTTCCTTCTTCCTTTTACTTTGCTGACGCAAAACTTCTCCTAATACTGTGGCGTTAAGTGGCCCAACGCGTGAGCGCGACAGGTTTTGGAAACGTCTTGGTGAACTCGACTTTGAAACCCCTATGTCAATAGACCGCATTCTTGAGCGAAAGCGCTTCGTCCATAGGAAGGCTGGTGTCACGACCATTGAATATGACATGAATGAGTTCTCTCAATGTGCAGTTGATATGCACCTGCAACTGAAATCAGGATGCAAATTCAAGAATGTGCCAGCGCCTTTCTTGACGAGTCGACAGAGGATTTGAATTCTCGTGGCCAGCTCAAAGATGATGCCGCCAAGATTCATGAAGTGCCTTTGGTTGGCAAGGCTCATGAGTGCCGGCCTGCTGCGGTCCATAACAACATGGTCCGTCAATCATGTAATGCGCTTCCTTGCGAGTTGGCCAAGACCTCGAGTTATGGCTGTTCACGGATTCAGACCATGCTGGCAGCGGCAGCAGAGAAAGGATCCTTTTAATCGTTTTCTTGGTGCTCTAAGCGGCGAACGACAATCAGTCGCTCAACAACTGAAGCAGAAACCGTATCATTGCGGTACAGTCTCTTTAGTGAAGGGCTGCGCCATCTCCTGCGTCGATCACTTCGTTCAGTTGTTTCTCAATTTCAGGCTTTGACATGTTCCCAAAGGATTTAGTTAGCCTGGTGCAATTTAATCCCAACGTTTTGGACACAATTCCCATGTTCGAAGTTTCGCGGCAACAGAACTCTATGATTGTTCCATAGCCGGGCAAGCGCTTCTGCATAGTTTCGGAACGCCATGCCCGTCTCTTTCGCAAGCCTAAACTTGGAGAGAGAATCCGCTGAAGCACCAAACCTGACGGTTGTTGGTCGTTTGACTGGGCCTGCTCCTGCTTTGCTTGGAACTCAACCGAAGATTTACTTGACTTGGACACTTCGAGAAACTTCGCTCCTAACACACGAGCTAGACACAGGGAAGCTTTTGTCGGTTGACAGGTCGGCTTCGGGCGAACTGGTTCAGCCAAGCTAGCACCTGGGCTTCGTCCTTCTTGCAACACGCGGTGATGCTGGAATAAAGGGTGTCTCCATGGCCTAATCACAATGGCTGGACATGGACTTTGATTCTCATGATCTTTTCCTCCATTTCGTAGCGGCTGGCCTCATCATCCCTGCTACTTCCTTCTGATGAACTAGATGACGATGCGTCCTTAGTCTTTGACCTGCTTTTCTTGCTAGGCTTTGACAGCTCCAAAACTTGGTTTTGAAGTTGGCCCATTGATCCACCACAGCTTTCAAAACCTGCTCTTTACCGCCATCAGTATCAACTTGTTTAGGATTGGTCTCGGCTCTTAGCAGGTCACTGGGCATTGGGTAACCGGTCCTTGGGGCTGGGGTGATTCCAGCTGCGGCTTGGTCCTGCGCAGGCGTCCGGCTCAGCTGCCTTGCCACTTCCGGCAGAGGCGCGGCTAAAGCCGCTGCACTTCCACCTCCTGGGATTGATGATATTTGAGAGGCAACTACTGCACGGAGTTGCTCACATTCGGTTTGCAAATCCTGTAGCTGACGTGAAAGGTCATCAATTTGGCCTTGAAACTGCGCCATCACCCTTTGGTTCATGGAACTGGCCTCTGCCTCGTAGTACCTTCTCGCACGTTGGTTGGCTTCCTGCTCACTGTTTTGCATCTGACCCAGAATTTGGCAATGCCTGGTTTTCGCTTCAAGTTTCAACTGCGACGCCTGCTCCTGACTCCTTGAAGCCGCGTTAGACAACTCAGACATTTCCAAATTGCGCCTTTGCTTGGCAAACTCCGAAAAGCCCTCTTGATGCTGCAGGATCCACACCAAAATTTACTTGGTTGAGTTGCAATTGATTCTCTGATAATGCAGTACTGACTGATTGCCGGCGTAGTGAAGTACCCTATTGTCTGGCGATTGTTCACTTAAGCTCGGCATTGGCCTCACAGGAGAGAGTGTAGGTGGTGATGTTTCGGAACTTGCCAGCGTTGGCTTGGTCTGCATTACTGACACCAATTGAACACTCTGCCAATCGCGATTGACCCAATGATATATCGCACGCCCGGCTGATCGTCCACGACCAACAAGATTTCACGTGCTTTGCAATCGTGGCCTTCGTCTTGCGACCGTATACCAGAAACATTACTGGAAAAACAAATGCACGCATCCATCAGCAAGCGCCTGATATAATAATACTCCTCAGCCCCACGTCTCCCAATAAAACTGCAAGCACAAAAAGAGACGTCTTTCCTCGCCAAGTTAGCCAACAAATCAAGAGTTCGCCGATCGACACTATGGGTCCCACCTCGGTGACGCGCAGCTCTGACCGCCTGATCGGGATTCCAGACAAAAGCTAAGGGAAGAAGGATCGTCTTGAACAAGTCGAAGGTGACGCAGCCCTTAAGCAAGCCAAGCATCGCTCGCGTGTTCAATTCTTCGGCTCCTTCACACGCCTGCGTGTTCGCAGCAATCCACAATTTCTGGTCCCCGAACTTAGTCGCCAGCGAACCTGCAGTGTTCAGCCTGCGAAGATCGTCCAGGTCGGGCTCAAACTGCAGACGGCGCAGGCTCCTCCACGATCTCGCCACGTCAACGTCAACGAGGTCGATGACAATCGGCTGGTGCCACCTCACGCGTCCTCTTGCCGCCACGATCCCGGCGACCGAACATGCACCTGCGGTAGTTACCGCCTTCCTATGGAGTATCCCGAGTAAACAGGAAAGAAACACGAGCAACCAGCGAATACGGCTGATAACCCCAATGAAATAGGAGTTGAGAGGAAAACCCTGACTCTCGCAGCTACGCTCCTTTTGCCTCGCTACGATGGCCTTGAGCCAAAATATATCGTGGCATTTTCTTGTAAGCAAAGCTTACCACTGAAACACGTAAGGAAGCACATGAAAATCAGGATACGATCCCGGAGTTTTCAGCTGTTCAACTGACCATCCCCTGTCGCTAAACTACTTTGAACAAAGGGAAGTAGCTTGTATAACCACTTAGATCTTGCAACCGAGCAATCCGATGTCAACCTGATATAACCTACGTGCTAAGTGGGCACATCCAAGCAGGCAACGTCTTCCATGAATCTTCGAATCTCACAACCTCTATGCCCGATTTTACAACCGTTGAGCTTCACAGGGCTACCACCACCAACTCGCAACCTCAACCAATCGCCATGGTCCTCTTTCTCATCCCCGGCGAAAAGGGCAAATGACACCCAGCCACACGAACCTTTAAAAAAAAAGCTAAACAGCTAAGGGGACGGCCGGGAACCGCCACAAATGGACCAAAAAGGGCGACAGGCCTTGTTGGCCCAGCGACTGGCCTTGTTGGCCGACAGTGACCAGCCAGCCAAACGACCAACAAACTGACCAAGCAAAACATATAATGTTCGTTTGGCTGGCTCGTTTGGTCAGTTGGGCGAAAACAAACTCTATGATGTACCAGGTCAAACAGCAATGTACCAGGTCAAACTATATAATGTACAAACTGACCAACAATGTTCGCAAAACAAACTCTATAATGTACCAGGTCAGCCGGGCAAAGACATATTGCCCGGAGTCTACAATCTACCAGGCCAACATTATCGAGGTGACAATAGACAAAGGGCCCTATGGGTGTGTTTTAAGATAGGGCAAGCCCTCAAAATGATTGGCTTCCTTGGGCTTTCCTTCGACCGAAGCAAGAATCAACTCCAAAGACACCTGGCTGTGGCTCAGAAAACCGGAATTCCCAAATGGGTTGCCCGATCGGGAAGTGGAAGCATGGGTACCAAAACCTGCGTAATGTCTAGCTCTTTAATTTTGAGCCACTGCCATATCTCATCGAACACAGCCCGCAGCATGGCAAAAAAAAAGAGCCAAGAGTCTCCCGTCTGCCGTGCAGTCGGGGAAGTCGCCGGCGTAATGAGCTCAGGCTGACTGCTGGTATGCGGCTTGTGCTGCTCATGCTCATCAGAGATAGTCGAGCTCCTAAGTCACATGTCCGGATCAAGAATCAGGTTACCCTTAGTTGCGGGTACCCGAAAAGGGACTTTGCCAACATGACTCCACGGTTTTGTGGTGTCCAGGAAAGCCAGAAGGCAAACCAGAAGCCTTGCGCCAGAAACTGGATTGGGCGCCTCTTTTTTAAAGAGAGAACCACACCCAGTCTCAGTTTTGAACATCAAAAGACGAAAGTCCTGTACCCCGTCGAGTTTTGCTGGCTCAATCAATTGAAGCCTTTCAGCCAAACCGAAGAGTGTTTGGAGGGCTACCCTCGAGAAACCAACGAGGAATCTTTCGGCATTCCCAACAAGACAAACCCACTGGCAAATTGTCACGGGAATTCGAATGTACGAAGCAGATTCGGATATTCCGTTGGCTTCAACTGCAGCTCTTGCATCAGTCAGGGTTCCTTATAGTTGTCCGGGAGGGAACTCACCTAAACTTGGCAACCAAAGATCAAGAGTTGAGTCACAATCAAAACCCCGAAGGTGATGCTGAAAAACCGCCACAAAATGGAAACACATGGCCACCATGTTTCGACTATCCCCATAAAAGGTATAACATGGCGGGCGCCAAATCCTACTGTAGGGAACACACTTTTGGGTTTGATTGGCAACAGGGATGGGGTGGTTCATTGGACTTCCCTCCAGCCATCAAAACGAATCGGCGCCGACTCAAAAACGTCGCGACCATCTGAGCTCGCCTTTTGTTTGAATCTCGGTACCCCTTTGTTGGTGGTTCTAAAGGGAAACCAAGAGGAAAAGCATCATTTTGGGGGTCCCCTGCTTGGTTGCTGTTGACCCCCCTGCAAAAAGTGAATCACTTTTTTGGGGGGTTCGTGGAAAATAACCTTTATTTCAACCAAAAAGTGAAAGTCTAAAGATCCAAGCCAACAGGAGTCAATTGGGGGTCTCCTAAAAGAAAGACACACCCATCTTCCACTTGCGGGCCAGCAAGTGGTCTTTTAAGGCCATGGGTCAAAATCCAAATCGGTTAGGTTGCAGTGAACATCCGATTCAATCCAACCACTAAAATAGGTCCTAAAATGGGTGAATTCACCTACCCCAAAACGGTACCAAAACGGTTTTGACAACCACAGCCACCTCTGTTTCAGTCGTTGACCCCACAACGGTACCATTGGTTTTGACGCACAGCCTTTTGCCAGAGCGCTCCGTGTGGCCGCTGTGCGGCGCGCTGGCCTTGCGGCTCTGTGAGGCGCTGGCCAACGAAGTACTTGCCAAGACAGTCGCCGGCACGGTCATCAGCCCTGGGGTGCGGTCGTTTTCCCAGACATGTGTTCTGGGGCGTGGTCGTGTTGCCAGAAACGTATTCTGGGGCGCGGTCGTGCTCCCACAAAATGTATTCTTGAGGAACCCGCCCTCAGCTCACCAAAGCGAGAGAGGTGCTGCAAAGACCCCACGTGATGGCCTATGATGCCTTCAACACCTCAACTTCAAGTCAAATCGCCAACGAAAAAAACATATCTCGACCCGGAAGTTTTTGGCCCGTGCGTCTCATCTCGCCAACAGCTGTCAGGTCCTTCTCACTGGTCCAAACACTATTTTCTTAAGCCCGGAAGCAGGGTGTCATGGGCGCTGGGGAGGGAGGGGAGGGCCCAAATAAGCCCTGATTAAGACCCTAATGAGGCCTTACTTGGGGCTTATTGGGGCTCCCCCCCGCCCTCCCCCCAGCCCCCGTGAGGGTGGTATTTGAGCAAAGCAAATGCCCAACGAGCTTCACAAATGTCCTGGGTGCTTTCTATCCACAGGATCGAAACAAACCCGGACCACCGATCACAGCAAACTGCTGACAACGAGGTTGACAGCAATGGTGCTGATGATGAATGAGAATGAATGATAGGTGATTAATGATGAATGATCAAAAAAGAATGAATGACGGGTGATGAATGATGGATGATAGATGATGGATGATGGATGGTGATGATAAGGAGGAGGAGGGGAAGGAGGAGGAGGCGGAGGATCATGATGCTCATGGTCGCCACTATCTTGATAGCGTTGGAATACTATCACGTGATTTCATGTCTGTGGGTCAAAAATAGGGTAACCCCAGAATCGAACCCTAGAAAACTGAAACATGGACTAAAACCTGCGGTCCCTTGGTGGTTCAATTTTCACCCACGGCCACATGTTGTTTCTGTCTTAGGAGTTTGGCAGCTCCTTTTCCGACTGCTGAACTTGAATTTGCCAGCGTCAAGCGGCTCCGGAGCGGCGAGTCAAGATCTTCCAATTGTTGACAGCATGCAATCGTGGTTGACGTTGGAAGGGGAGCAAAATTCATTTTTTGGCAGTTCAGTGGGGATTTCAACCACTAAACCACAATAAGCAAAACTGTTTCCAATGTTTCCAACAACAACCATGCAAAGCGGGCACGAAGTCGGCTTCGGCCAGTCGGCTCGGAAACTGCGCCAGGGCACGCAACTGAGTCGACATACGACTCATCTGATCACTGAGCATTGCGAAGCGGCGGTTGGTCATATCCATCAAATCCTGCAGTAGGCTCTCAGTCGTAAATCGTGGATTTGGGGAAGCAACCTTGGGGGAAAGCACAAGGCTTTGCTTTCCATACTGATAACCAAAATGAAGCATCGCGCGCGCTCACGCGCGCGGTAAGCGATACCCAGCTACTTCTGCGAGTTAGCGACTCGAGCTCTTGGCAATTGCAGTTTTCGAGTCTAGTTTGGCCTGTTCTTTAAGTTTCGCTTGCCCAACGCATGCGGTGCGCAAATTTGCACCTATCTGCACTGGATACAAGGCGTCCTCCTGCATCTGCATTGTCTGGATCAGGTTGTACTTGATAAAGCGCGGTGCCTGATACTTGTTCACCATGGCCAAAACTTCCAACGTCGTGGCCCCAAGCATTGCAATAGTTATCAGCCCAAGATCCCTATGGGTCTGTGACCATCCGTGCGAACCACAACCTTTGACCATCCATATGGTTTTGCTTCTTGGAGCCTGTCTTGGTTTGCTTAGGGACAGAAAGGAAACCAGGGCCTGACACGGGAATCGGCATGGCCTCTGGGGGAGAACTGGAACTGCCGAAGTCCGGCTGAACCGAGCTGAATCCTTCGGGTGAATCCTTACACCGAAAACAAGGATCCACGTTAAACCCTAGGGACACTCCGCACCAAGAGCCCCTCCAAAGAAAAACCCTTCTAGCCACCAACCCCCACGCTAAACCCCACTCCTTCCCACCCCTTCGTCCAAGTCGCCGTCTTGGAGTCGTGAGCCCAACGGCTCAGCGGCCCAATAAACTCCGATACTTGCAACGTCCCCGACTGATCGATGTCGATCATGTGAAAAAGCCTCAGCCGCAATGTCCAATCCAATGTTTGTGTATGTCTGTGTGTTCGTGTGTGCGTTTGTGGATGTATGTCTGTATGTGTGAATGTGGATATGTGTGTATGTGTGTATGTGCGGGTACAGTGTGCGCATGTATGTGTATGTATGTATGTATGTATGTATGTATGTATGTATGTATGTATGTATGTATGTATGTATGTATGTATGTATGTATGTATGTATGTATGTATGTATGTATGTATGTATGTATGTATGTATGTATGTATGTATGTATGTATGTATGTATGTATGTATGTATGTATGTATGTATGTATGAATGTATGTATGTATGTATGCATGTATGTATGTATGTATGTATGTATGTGTGTGTCTGTATGTATGTATGTATGTATGTATGTATGTATGTATGTATCTATGTATGTATGTATGTATGTATGTCTGTATGTATCTATCTATCTATCTATCTATCTATGTATGTATGTATGTGTGTTTGTGTATGTGTGTGTGTGTTAAATATGTTTGTGCGTGCGTACGTGCGTGCGTGCCTACGTGCCTGCCTGTTTGCCTGGGTGTGTGTGTGTGTGTTTGTGCGCGCGTTTGTGTGTGTGTTTCTGTGTGTTTGCGTGTGTGTGCTTGTGTGTGTGCTTGTGTGTGCGCTTGTGTGTGTGCTTGTGTGGGTGTGTCTGTGTCTGTGTCTGCGTGCGTGTCTCTCTGTGTGTGTCTGTGTCTGCGTGTCTGTGTGTGTGCGTGCGCGTGTGTGTGTGTGTGTGTGTGGGTGTGGGTGTGTATGTCTGTGTGTGCCTGTGTGCGGGTTCATGTTGTTGTGTGTTGGTGTCCTTTGGTGTGTGTGTCTGTGTGTGTTTTGCGCATTTGTGTGTGTGTGTTTATGTTTGTGCGTGTGCGTGTGCGTGTGCGTGCGCGTGCGCGCGCGTGCGCATGCGCGTGCGGGCGGGCGGGCGTGCGTGCCTGCGTGCCTGCGTGCGTGCGTGCGTGCTTGCGTGGGCGGGCGGGTGGGTGGGTGGGTGGGTGCGTGGGTGTGTGTGTGTGTCTGTGTCTGTGTCTGTGTCTGTGTCTGTGACTGTGTCTGTGTCTGCGTGTGTGCTTGTGTGTCTGTGCTTGTGTGTGTGTGATTGTTTGTGTGTGCGTGTTGTGTGTTTGTGTGTGTGTTTCGCGTCTGTTTTGTGTGTGTGTGTGTGTTTGCGTGTGTTGTGTGTGTGTGTTTGTGTGTGTGTGTGTCGGGTGTCTTTGTGTGTGTGTGTATGTGTTTGGGCGTTTTGCGCGTGTTATGTAACTGTGTTTTTGTGTGTTTTGTGTGGGTGGTGTTTGTGTGTTTTCTGCGCGTTGCGCACGCGCGCGTGCGCGTGTTCGTGTGTGTGTGTGTGTGTGGGTGTGTGTTGCGTTTTGTGTGTGTGTGTGTGTGTTTGTGTTTGCGTGGTTGTGTGTGTGTGTGTGCGTGTGTGCGTGCGTGTGCGTGCGTGTGCGTGTGCGTGCGTGTGCGTGTGCGTGTGTGCGTGTGCGTGTGCGTGTGCGTGTGCGTGTGCGTGTGCGTGTGCGTGCGTGTGCGTGTGCGTGTGTGTGTGGTGGCGAGTGCGTGTGCGGTGTGTGCGTGTTGTGTGGTGTGTGGTGCGTGTGTGGGTGTGCGTGTGGTGTGCGTGTCGTGTGCTCGTGTCGTGTGTCGCTGTGTGTGCGTGGGTGTGTGGTGTGTGTGGTGTGTGTGTGTGTGTGTGTGTGTGTGTGTGTGTGTGTGTGTGTGTGTGTGTGTGTGTGTGTGTGTGTGTGTGTGTGTGTGTGTGTGTGTGTGTGTGTGTGTGTGTGTGTGTGTGTGTGTGTGTGTGTGTGTGTGTGTGTGTGTGTGTTTGTGTTTGCGTGCGTTTGTGTGTGGGGTGTGTGTTTGTGTGTTGTTGTGTTTGTGTGTGTGCGTGTCTGTGTGTGTTTATGCTCGTGCGTGTGTGTGCTTGTGTGGTTTGAGAATTTGTTTGATTTGTTTGTGTGTGTTTGTGTTTTGTGTAGTCTTGTGATTCTGCGTGTGTTGTGTTGCGTGTGTGCGTGTGTGTCTTTTTGCGCGTGTTTGTGTTGTGTGTTTGCGTGCGTACCGTTGTGTCAGCTGTGTATGTGTGTGCTTGTGTGTTTGTTTCGTGTGAATGTTGCTTGTGTTTTCAGTGTGTGTGTGTGTGTTGCAAGCGTGTGTGTTTGCGTGTGTTGTTTGCGTGTGTGTTTTGTTTGTGTGTTTGTGTGTGTTTGTCTGGTTGCGTGTGTTTGTCTTGGTGTGTGTGTAATTGTGCTTTGCGTTTGTGTTTCTGTTTGTGTGTGTATCTGTTTGTGAGTTTGTGTGTCTATGTGTTTGTGTGTTTGTGTGTTTGTGTGCTTGTGTGTGTGTGGTTGTGTGTGTAGGTTTGTATGTTTGTCTGTGTGTCTTTTGTGTGGTGGGGTTCTGCGTGTATGTGTGTATGTGTGTGTTGCGTGCGTTTCTGTGTGTGTGTGTGTCCGCATGTATGTGTGTGTGTGTGTTTGCATGTGCGTGGGTTGTGTGTGTGGCGCGCGCTTGTGTGTCTGTGTGTTCGTGCTTATGTGTCTGTCTTTGTGTACTTGCGTGTATGTGTACATGTGTGTCTATTTGGGCGTGTTTGTGTCTTTTTGCATCTGGGTGTGTGTGTGTGTGCCGGTTTGCTTTTTTGTTTGTTTGTTCGTTTGATTGGGCGCTTGCTTGCTTGCATGCTTCCTTGCTTCTTTGCTTGTTCGTTGGGTTGTTTGTTTGATTGTTTGATTGTTTTTGGTTGTTTTTGTTTGTTGTTGTTTGTTTGCTTGCTCGTTCGTTCGTTTGTTCGTTCGTTCCTGTTTGCTTGTGTGTTGTGTGTGTTTTGCGCACGAGTGCGTGCGTGCGTGCGTGCGTGCGTGCGTGCGTGCGTGCGTGCGTGCGTGCGTGCGTGCGTGCGTGCGTGCCTGCCTGCCTGCCTGCCTGCCTGCCTGCCTGCCTGCCTGCCTGCCTGCCTGCCTGCCTGCGTGCCTGCGTGCCTGCGTGCCTGCCTGCCTGCCTGCGTGCCTGCGTGCCTGCGTGCCTGCGTGCCTGCGTGCCTGCGTGCCTGCGTGCCTGCGTGCCTGCGTGCCTGCGTGCCTGCGTGCCTGCGTGCCTGCGCGCCTGCGCGCCTGCGCGCCTGCGCGCCTGCGCGCCTGCGTGCCTGCGTGCCTGCGTGCCTGCGTGCCTGCGTGCCTGCGGGCCTGCGGGCCTGGGCCTGCGGGCCTGCGGGCCTGCGGGCCTGCGGGCCTGCGGGCCTGCGGGCCTGCGGGCCTGACGTGCCTGACGTGCCTGACGTGCCTGACGTGCCTGACGTGCCTGACGTGCCTGACGCGCCTGCGTGCCTGCGTGCCTGCGTGCCTGCGTGCCTGCGTGCCTGCGTGCCTGCGTGCCTGCGTGCCTGCGTGCCTGCGTGCCTGCGTGCCTGCGTGCCTGCGTGCGTGCCTGCGTGCGTGCCTGCGTGCGTGCGTGCCTGCCTGCGTGCCTGCGTGCCTGCCTCGTGCGTGCGTGCGTGCGTGCGTGCGTGCATTCTTGCGTGCGTGCGTGCCGTGCGTGCGTGCGTGCGTGGCGTGGCGTGGCGTGGCGTGGCGTAACGTGGCTGCGTGCCGTGCCGTGCCTTGCGCGCGTGCGCGCGCGCGTGCGCGTGCGCGTGCGCGTGGCGTGCGCGTGTGCGTGTGCGTGTGCGTGTGCGTGTGCGTGTGCGTGTGCGTGTGCCTTCGCGTGTGCCTGTGCGTGCGCGTGCGCGTGCGCGTGGGAGTGGGCGTGTGCGTGTGCGTGCGCGTTTGCGTGCACGTGTGCGTGCGCGTGCGCGTGCGCGTGTGCGTGTGCGCGTGCGTGTGCCTGTGCGTGTGCCTGTGCGTGTGCCTGTGCGTGTGCCTGCGCGTGTGCCTGGGCGTGTGCCTGGGCGTGTGCCTGTGCGTGTGTGTGTGTGTGTGTGTGGGTGCGTGCGTGCGTGCGTGCGTGCGTGCG